AAGTCACCTTACTTTTTGAACACACCTCGTATGTATATCACGTCAGAAGTGTTTGTTACTCATTCGAATTGCTGATTAACCGATTCTTGGAATTCAATCTTTTTGTGTTTTCTTCGAGTGGTTTCCCCTATATCACAAGCCCATACGTACTTTTGATATGGATTACAGGTTTATATATATATAATTTTCTCACACTCCGAACAATTGTTTTCATTGTTTTAAGTAAGACGCATTTTCTTATATTTTTTATTGCTGGTTAACAATACGAGTAGTAATAACAAGTTATCTTTAGCTTATCTTAACGTGTTCTGATTTGCAAAAAGTCTAGTTTACCGATTGGCGATTTCACGAGAGTTTGTTAGTTAAATGCAAATGGTTAATAATTATTTAAGCAATCTTTTTTAATGTACTTTTAATCGGATCTAATGGGGATTTCACGTGAGCTTGTTTTCTATATTTATTGGAACTTGTTAAGTACTATTCAATTATATTTTTATCATAAACTGGTTTGATTTTGGAATCGAAATAATGTCGCATGACGAATTCACGTGAATTTATTTTCATTTATTGACTGTGCAACGTTAGATGTGAAATTATTAGGAATTTGCCACTTTTAGCACTTGCAATTGATATTTGAAATTTCAACCAATTAAATTAGGCGCTTAATTTGCAGTTTGAGAAGCGGGAATTGTGCAGAAATTGAATTCAATTGATCGGTAGTTTCCCAGCTCTAGAGGTATTCGTCCAGACGTAGCTCAATTAACCGATGACAGCAGGTGCCGGGACCAAATGACAGACGGACGGGCCGACAGACGGACAAATTGAATCGTTAGGGGGTCGTGACACTTACCCTCAGACTCACCTTATTCGCCATTTTTAGAGACGGTTCTCAATTGGCAAATATCTAATTGAAATTAAAGCGAAGCCAACAGCTGTCAAAAAGGAAAAAGGGTTGTGAAAATTCAATGTCAAGTGCGTGTTTGTAGCAAATCCTTTGCGTCAGCAAACTCGGCCTGGTTGTGGTCCTTCGAGTGCTGGAGCCTTGGGGGCAATAAGGCCAGATATTCATATAGATACAATGGCAGGCTGTCTCGCCTGTGTCCTTGCTGTTGGCTGCCGTCAAGGATACGGGTTAAAGGGGTGGGAAAACCCGCCTGTTGCGCGTGTCGAGGTCAGCACTATGGACATCTGTGACGTCAGGCAGATGTCCTTACGGTCAGATGATAAAAATCATGGCGAACCCTGCCGTTTTCATCTGAATAACTATTTTTGTTTAATTTGTTTAAAGCGGATGTCAGATTTTACTTATTGCTTAAAATGAGTTAACAAGGTGTAATTATCTAAGTCTAAAATTTTAAAATAACCCCACCTGACTCTGTCAGACTAGCACACTTTTTGCTATTAAGTATATAATTATATGACATAAAATAGTTAACAAATTAATACAGTGATAAAATTTGCTATTACTTTTCTTCTTTTTTCGTCATTAAAAATGTTATCTTGGGAAACATTTTCATTGACCTTTTAGTGTTAAAAATACTTTGTGTAAAATAAAACGCAATTTTATTAAGTTTGCAATTAGAAAGTTGAACTCATTGCTCTTAATGGAATGCTTTAACCGTACTTCTCAGATGTCGGCTTAAATACTTCCTTTTATGATTTGCATTTTGTATACACTTGGGCGTTATTTGTTTTCTTTCTCAACTGGAATCGAAAGTGGTTCTCACCCACATCAAGTTGAGCAGCAAATTTGGTTTCTCCTCCATTTGCGATATGGCTCTATATCTCTGGAAAGTCTATATGTGTGTTATTTTCTGTTATCGTCCGTAAAAAGCAACTTGTTCACAGATGAGGGGAGGGGTTACTCACCCTTAATTAGCTGATTGAACACAAACCAGTTGAAACAACAATTAAAATACTTGACAAAAGCAGTTTCCAGCCAGGCGGTATGCACATATCTCTGTGGATAAACACAAATGTGCTCAGATATTAACAAAGTCAGATATTAATCCAAAGGTGTGGTCTGTTTTGGTAGGTAAACAGTGTCAAAGAACTTTAGTTGAAAGCAACAAATGCTGCTTTGCTAAATTTCGCTACCTTTGCGAATCAATTCCTCAAATGTTTGTTTTCTTTCTACCTGAATATGAAATGCAAATAAAAGTACTTAATATTTTATCACGACTGTTGCAAACATTTCCCATATTGAAGAGCCCCAATGTGATTCTCAATTAATAAGTCACGAAGCTTCATTTCCTCTCTTTTTCAAAATTTATACATTTTGGCTTCGCAAGAAGTGCCAAGGAAATCCTTGGGGTCGCACCTCCTCCAACTTCTCCTCAACGTTTCGGTTGGCTCGAAACAAGCTTAAAATTTTTAATTACCATTTAACTTTTGCCTTTTTGTCAGCTGCTGTTGCCGGGGTTTTTAACTCTTTAATTACATTTGGGATTTGGCTAAATATTTTATGTATTTATGAGGCATGTAAATGGCTTTTGATATTAATTTATTATTAACTTCAAGACTAAGTAAATGCGGTATTACAATGGGGAATATTGTGACACGGCTTAAATAAGTTGCTTTTGTACTGAAAGCCAAATAAATTGTACTTAGAAAATGCAATAATAACAACTCGTATAGCATGGTGGACCTTGTTTTAAGAATTTTCTTATCAAGTATTAAAAGCATTAAAATTCTTTAGCACGCTACGAAAGAAATTGAAACTTTTTAAAAATGGAATTATATGTGGGAGTTCTCACTGGTTTTATCAGTATTATTTTTTTTTATCAATTCTATATTTACGTATATACATTTATGAACCTTTCTTATCCACTTTTTTCATATATGAAACTCCCAGAACCCCCTAATCCCCATTCCCCACTCCTCACAACCAGTCGGTTTCCAAATTGCGACGCTAATTAATGGCTACAACTACTGGCACTTACAAAAAGTGGCTGGCGTCGACAACGTTTTGGCCAGCGTCGTCATGACGGCCAACAGAATATGGGAATGGGAGCGGGAATTCCGCTGGGGCAGCGGAGGTGAGCGGCGAGATGAGGTGGCTTCTTGGGCAGTCATTGAACTATTTACGCATGGCCTTGCTCAATTTATATAATTTATAATTCTCAATTAGATTTCTTATACGTTTTTTTTTTCGTTCTGCCGCGGCTATGCCAAACCCCATAATGTTCGTTGCTCGCAGATGTGCGACTGAAACGGAGAGCCAAAACACACGGCGAAATGAACGTCAAACATTTTTAGAGCTTTGCCCATTTAATTGTTGTGTAAACAAATGGCAAAACAAAAAGGAAAACAAACTTTACCCTTGGGCCTATGACGAAATGTGTAAAAACCGAATACGATATTCTGCATCGATTCATCGAATCGCGTGGGGTGATTCATTCATAACCATTCACTTGCAATGGCTCATATGATATCATTATAACTTTTTAAGTTTTATGGCGAAACTGCACACAGAAAAATAGTCTTCTGGATCTATTTCTATTTCGAATTCAAACGAAATAGAAGTTTTATCATTTGCATTTAAAATTAACAAGCTCACTAGTAAATCAAGTCACATAGCCCTATGAGTAATGATACATATATTCATTGTGGTAAGGTTTCTGGATCATTTCAGAACTTTTTATTTATAAATATGAAATGTGTGATTTTTTCGCAGCGTGGAAACCCAACTGGTATCGTAATTAGTCTTTGTTGTGGCACAAATTTCCCTTGAACAATTCAAGCTAGCTAATGTAATGTCTATGTAGTATAGTCGTATTCGAATTTGAGTTAAAGTTTTGTGGACGCCCGCCAACACCTCGAACCTCCGGCTCACTGGGTACCTCTAACTCGCAACAACCCAACGATAAACCTGCCAAACTGCGCAGTTTTGAAGGCGGAGAGTCAACGCTTTTGACTCGGACTCGACGTGTTTACCTTTATAATAAACACATTTCGTTTCGTGCATTTGTTTCCTTTCCACCACGGCCAGCTGCTCGTGCTGCTTTCAATATATGTATATATATGTATAAGCAGAGCACATATGCGAAACACCACTGAAACAACCCAACAACTGAACAACTCACACAAAAGCCCGGTGAAAACAAGTTCAACCGCCGATAACTTGCTTTATCGCCTGGCTCTGTACTCTTCCCCTTTTTTTTGTTTTTAGTTTTCGTTGTCTGGTAAATCTCGTGCGATTTGTTGGGGTTGGCAGCCCCGCTTAAGTAGAGCCACGTGATTTAATGGATCATTGAGATTTCAGGCACATTGCAGCTAAGCCCACTTGTTGCATGTTCGATGGGAAAAAGCTCATCTAAGATTGCATCATCTCGAATAGGTAGGCTTCCTCTTTGCTGTTTCTTATATGAGGCACAAAATTGTTATTCGTTGTATCAGCTTACACCACCGATTGCGATATTGACGCTAGTGAACTTACAGCCACGATCAGTCTTATAGTATCAAAACAAATATTGATTCAGTAATATACAAAAATAAGTCTAGTAAGTCAACTGTGCGTATGATTGATATTTGAAGCCAACATTATGCAATTTTTATAATTCATAATTTATTCTTACTAAATGAATAAATCTCTCTCTGACCGGAAAATGTGATTTATTGCTATGAGTGGCACTGTATGTCCGCGATATTTACAGACGTGATTTTGTGGATCTGTTGTGAAATCAACGAAAATTAGTGGTGCTAATTAAGCCGGTCGTCTATATGCCTGAATGATAGCTTCTACGTGTTTAGTGGCTCGTTGAGTCATCCTTATCGCCATTCACCCATCGTGTAGTACTGCCAACCCAACCCTCTCCCCAATTCCATCACCCACTGCATTTGTCACACGATCCCTCCAGTTCAACGATTGCCCATAATAATTTGTTGCACTTGGCAAGCGATAAGCTGCCATGAGTTGAGTTGGGAGAATCTGGGAATGGGGGTCTTCTTATCTACGTCCAATTACTCATCAAAATTGCATCTCCATTTTATTTTTATAGGCTGATGACAAATCGCTGTTAGCCCGCTTCTTCCATGCAGATCGCTCTCTTACAGCCGTGGCCAGTGAGTTGGACAGTTTCGATGGAAGAGCAGAGCCTGATCGGTGCACCAGGTTGGTCAGCAGACTGCGGCAGAATCAGGTGAGTTTCTAAAATTGATATTAAACCATATATCTTTAATACGCTTTTCTTTTTTTAGGACAAAGTGCTGGCTATCACGAACTTGATAATGGAGGAGTTACTCGGAGAAGATCGTGATCCTCGCGCCTTCCGCGCCAAGTTCCCCGAGGAGGTACTCCAAGAGAATTTGGCCGGACAGCTGTGGTTCGGTGCTGAGTGCCTAGCTGCCGGCTCCTCAATCATGAACCGGGAGACGGAGAGCAAGGAGATGCGACCACTGGCCCAGGCGGTGACCAAGAGCTTGGGCAATGTGCGCGTCCTGCTGAGGGACCAGTGCTTAAAGAACAATGTCCCCAACAGCAAGACACTGCATCTGGACTTGAACGATTCCACAACTGAGCAGCTATACGAAAGTCTGAAGATCTTCGACCGACTTTTTGCCGAGTTCGAACTAAGCTATGTTAGCGCCATGGTGCAGGTTAAGTCTCGCCATGAGTACGAGATGCAGCAGTGGATCGGTGTGCTCTTCTCGGAGACATTGCAACGGGCTCTGAAGATTGGTCTGCTTGACCAGGACATGGTGGATGCCTTCGATCCCGGTCTGATGTTCTCCATTCCGCGGTTGGCAATTGTTGCTGGCTTGGTGGTCTATGCCAAGGGGCCGCTCAACATGGATATGCCGGGTGATCAGCTATCGGAGATGTTCCGTCCCTTCCGCACAATCCTCATCAAGATCCGCGATCTCCTACGGAACCTCAACAACCAGGAACTGTATCAGCTTGAGAAGCTGCTGTGTACCAACGAGGATATCAATACAAAGGTAAATTGGATCCTGGTTGAAGTTGTCAGGTTTAATTAACTGTATTTTATTTCCATTCTAAAGGTGCCACTTGGTTCGAGCAGTATCGAGGCGCCAAGTCCGGAGCACAACTCCCATCCTACGACGAGCAGCAGCCAAAACACAAACGCCAGCAACAACAACCACAGTAGCAGTAGCACCGCAACCACGGGGACAACAAATACGCACAGGACTGTGGAGCGGCTGGTGGATCAGCGAAACAACAACAATAATAGCAACAGCAACAGTAGCACGAATCCTGGAGTGGAAGGAGCTACGCTGCGCTCTCCGTCCATGTTGTCGTTGTCACCCACCAGTACGCCAACCGCCTCGCCTGCCCCCTCACCCACACCCTCGCACTCGATAGCCTCCACTTCATCGGGGGCCACCACCTCCACAAATCCGCCAGCGGATTGGAGCGATGGCGATGATGAGGACGAAGATGACGAGGAGATCGATGAAGACGATTTAGAAAGCAGCGACGATGACACGGACGAGGAGCAACTGCTCAAGGACATTGTGGCGGCGGACTGTGCCTCCGGTTATCTCATACCCAACACCAATCTGGGTAATCTGCTTCAGCCCCAGGAGGTTCCTCTCACGGACAACTTCGTGGCCAGCGAAGATGATGAGTATGGAACGGGAGAGCATCACGGGCATCAGGCTCGCGAGGAGGAGGAGCCCAGCACCAGTGCTGCTATGCTGGCGGCCACCCGCACCTTGCAGCGGCTGCGCCTGCCCAGCAGCGACACTGATCCCCTAGCAGAACCCACGACAATCAAAGCGTCCGAGGAGCATATGCAGCAGCATTCAGCCTTGCCAAGCGGGCGCCATCGGGAGAGTCACAGTCACCGCCATCATCAACGCCACCACCACCATCATCACCATCACTCACATCAACATCAACATCGACAGCCGCATCCGCATCGCACAACGCGCAGTGGTCGCAAACGTTGCAGCCTGGATGTGTCTGAGGCGGAGGGAAGTCAGCAGGAAAGGGAGCAAAACCTAGCCAGTGGCGATACAAGTGCCGCCTCCTCACTGTCGGACGACGTGTCCCTGGCCATGCGCAACACCACGGCACGCCTTAAGTTCAAGTGAGTTGGGAAATTTAAGTATTCATAATTTTAATTAAGAGAAAACCATTCATTAGGTTTGGCGGGTAACACTTTTCATTAAAATGTTCGTTGTATTAAATGAGTCATAAACTAGCCACACACCCCACATCTACGAAGCTGTTTTTGTTGCTCATAAAATAAAAATAAGCAATTGAGCGCTGATAACTTAAAAAAAATTTAGTTTAAAAACATAATTTAGAGCGTTAGTTTAAAAAACCTTGACGCTTCCTATTAGTTTATTCACTTCAAAAATTAAAAATTAATTCATTTTGAATTTACTTTTTCATCTACAGGAGCACTGAGAACTTGCTGCACCGCCTGTTTGTCTGTATTGCCGGCGTGGCTGACCAACTGCAAACGAACTTCGCCTCCGATCTGCGCCAGATTCTACGCAGTGTTTTCCTCATTAACATGTCGTCCGCCCAGGAGGAGATCGACATACCGGAAAAGACAAAGGAGTCGGAACTGTTCGAGTTCCGGGCCTCCGAGAACGATGTGATACAGGAGAGTGCCGGCTCCAACCAAAGCATTTACTCAGCGGAGGAGGTTAATCCCGAGCTGGACAATGTGTTCAGCGCCAGTGGAGTCAATCAGACTGGTCAGCGTCATTCCGCTGGCGCCAGTATGCAGCGAAATAATACCATCGATCTGGCGAGTCAGACTGGAGAAGGAAGTCCCAGTGGAGATGCGATGGTCACCAGTCGTTCGCATGTAACGCGGAGCCGAAGTCTAGGGGATCAGGAGGCAGCTAGCACGCCGACCAGCAGCAACACACATTTGCGCCACCAGGAACAGCAGCAATTGCAGATCCAGCTGCAGCGGCAGCGCAACAATTCCGTTGGTAGTAATACGCCTTCCAGCGCCTCCTCCACCAGTTCTAGCTCCGAACAGAATTCACCGGTGAGTGCCAGGAGCGGGAGTCGCCGGCGCCTGCAAAGCAACAACGAAACCCAGATGCCCTCATCAGCAACAGCCAGCTCAACCACTCTTTCGCCACCGGCCTGGATTCCCGATGGCAAGGCACCGCGATGCATGGCCTGTCAGACGCCTTTCACTGCCTTCCGCAGGCGTCATCATTGTCGAAACTGCGGCGGTGTCTTCTGCGGAGTGTGCTCGAACGCTTCCGCTCCGTTGCCCAAATACGGACTGACTAAAGCTGTACGCGTCTGTCGGGACTGCTATGTGCGCGAGGTGCGCACTGGATTGGGTGTCCAAGGAGTGCAGAGTGTTCAGAGCGTCCAAGCCAGCGCCTCTTAGGATTGGCCCATGGCGCTAAAAGGCGCAGCTGACGACCAAAAATGTGGCCGAGACGGAGGAAAAGCAAACTGTGAATCGCAATTGTTCCGCAAACATTGTTTTCTTTATTTTATACGTAATCCAAATCCCATGCAAAATGGCCCCATGACCACAGCCAGGGCCCGAATACATAGATCATATATATCTTAAATATATATAACCGTAGCTATATATTTTTTATTTTCAAAACAATGACCAACTGAGCGTCTATCAAACGAGTGTAAAACAAAGCTCCAAACTGTACTAAAACGACATTTGTTCATATCAAGAGATAGCGCCAGCTTTAAGTTCGGCTTGCATTTTAACGAATATCACATTTTGTTTTCTGTTCTTCGTTTTGTTTTTTGTGGCTTAGGGAAGCACCTTTTTGTATGGACAAGAGTTTTCTATGCGTAAGCTTTAACTTTGCAAAATCCTTTGTCACTAGCCAAGGCCTTACTATATGCAGTTAAAGGTATAGATATATGTATATTTTTCTAGCGTTGAGTATCATAGTGAGAGCGTATCAAGCTGTTTAGTAGGCGTTAATTGTAGCAGAAATTTTTGCGAAACATTTTTTGTGATTTATCGTAATTTTATATGTATTAATTCCCCTATGTTAAATCGTTTCTATCTGACCTAGCTGGAATGAATAAGTTCGTAGATGTATGTGGCAAGATGAAATCCTTAAATTGAATTTCAACAATAATAACTACTATATTACCACTAAAGATAGACACATATATTTTCTGATTCAAACTTGTATAAATAATGTAACGAACGAGAAATCTGTAAATTGAGTTTAAGAAATATACGCAATTTTATGCTTAAATAAAAATCAATTAAATCAACTTAGCTTTTTTATGGGTTTCAGGTTTCAAGTCCCTATCTAGATCACAATGTATTACACTAATCACTCACACTGAAACCCTATTTTATTTCGTTTATTTTTAATTTAATTTTTTTTTTTGTTCTTTGAGGATTCCCTCGTTGACCTTTAAACGTTTTCTCGTGTTTTTCTTTGTTAATTGATACCCCAAGGATGAAGATTGTTCAGCCTAAAATGCCCAAGGTCCATAAGACCTTCTCCATACACTCCAAATCTGCTTCAGTGACGAGCATTGAGGAAAGGTTTCGGGATAGTATAGATCCGGCGCAAATAAATCTTCTGCTCGATCTCAATGGAAAGTTTTTTTCCGAATCCTATGCCATGGTCCAGACCCTGAGCGAACGCCATCCCTTTTTGGCTAGCAAGATTAAGATGTATGTGGACATCCTCTCTAGACTCCATGGGCACTATGTCACCGAGGTGAACCAGGGAAAGTCATTGGAATTTAAGGTGAAAACGGCAGACGAAAAACTGGAGCTGGCTCTGCAGACTACAGCCACTTCGGAGGCGATGATGGAGCACCTGCGTGGTTCCCTAGAGGAGGCCTGGCGAAAAGAGGACGCAAACAAAAATCGTGAGGAGACCATGCAGATCCAATTGATGTCGCTTGTGCGAAGTGACCAACCAATGAATAACAAGGACGTCCACGAGCAGATCCCATCCTCGGCGTGAGTTATTCCATTTGGAATACATTTTTAAAGATATACAACGGTTTTTTTCTTGCAGCAAAGATCTGCAACTTCGGAGCATGGTCTTTCGGGAGCGTGATCGACTGGCTGGCGAGTTGAAGGACTATCAGAAGCGCCTGCAAACGAACCGACTTTACTCAGAGTCTCTGGAGGACATGTTACAAGTATCGAGAGAGATCATTAGCAAGCTTACTACGCGGGTAAAGAGTGTCGAGGGCGAGAACTTTCGGCTGCGGCACGCGAGTAATGTGGAGCGGGATAAGTTTGAGGAAAGAATTTTGCATCTCAACAAGGAACTGGCATGTGTGCTGCAGCAAAATCAGGAACTCTTAGTGTCCGAGAAGGCCACGACGGAACTGATTACCGTAAACGAAGCACTGAGGCTTCGTAATGATATTTTAAAGCGGGAGAACTATAGCTTTTCAAAGTCCTTTCGCTTGCAGGAAGATGAGAAGCACAAGCTGCAGGTAAGTCTCCGAGTGTGCGAGGGATTCAATGATGCACAGAGACGGGATAATGCTGACCTTGATGTGGCTCGTCGCACAGCCGAGCGAGATGCCAAGAAGAAGGCGAATGACTCGGCAATCTTGGAGCGACGGTTCCACCAGTTGGCCAAGAAGAATACAGAGCTTATTGATCAGGCTCTGGTGTATCAGTAAGTGTCAAAGAATTTAAGGAAAAACCTGAATCGCCAAAAACCCACATTCTAGAAATGAAATCAAGGTTCAAGAAAAGAAGATTTTGGTGGCCACTTCTAAACTAGATGAGGCTACCCGCCAGAAGGAAGAAATTGCTAAAGCCCGGGACAAACTAAGAATCGAGATCACCCGCCTAAACGACATTGTTGCAGGAGTGCGGCATGAAATTGCCGTTACTCGCAATCAGATGCAGGACCTGCAGGAAGAACTACATCGAGCCAACAAACAGCTCGACGAGAAGGACGTGCAGGTATTTAAAATACAACGCGAAAAGAGGGAGCAGAGCATGGAGCTCAATGAACTTTACAAGAAGATCGATGGCATCGAAGGTTGGTACTCAACGTGTAAAAGTAAAAGATTACCTCTAATTTTGATCGGATTTTTTCAGAGGCATGTGCACTAAAGACTGAGCGATTGGAGGAACTCCAATTAACACTACAGCAAAAGCAGGCGGATTTCGCAAACGCCAAGAAACAGATGGAGATCGTACACTCAGAGAAGGTAATGCTGATGAAGACGATGGACATGTGCTCCAGGGACCGCACTACGCTGCAGAACAATATGACCAAGTTAACGCACCAGATCAACCAGATGACTAGCTCGCTTGCCATTAACGAGAAGGAGATCTCAACCCTAAAGAACCAGATTGAGCAGCTGAACCGTACTGTGAAGCAGAAGCAGAACGAGATCCACGCCAAAGGTCGCCTGTTGGCAAGCACACGAAACGATCTCAGGGAGATGAAAATCAGGGTAGAGCAAGCGCAGCACACTATTGATACCGATGAGAAGCGCTTGAAAACCATGTCCTGTGCCATGGATGAGGTTACTAAAGAAAAGAGTTTGGTTGGCTTGCAAATGGTCAGGAGAAATGATGAAGTGCGCCTGCTGAGGGAGAAACTGGGCATGATGCAGAAGGCTATCGATCGGGGAACCCTACAGTACAACCAAAGGATAGAGGACATCCGATTGCTTAAACTGGAGGTAGTCAATTTGAGGTCAAGTCACGAAATCATGCAAAGAGAGGTGGGCGACAAGGCAGCTATGCGCCATAATGTGATTCGATTGGAGCGGCAGCTCAACCAGGAGAGGCTTAGGGTATCTGCCTACTCTGGGGAGCTGTCCCGCCCCTGTCGCATCCATCGCTGGCGAGTCATGCTAGGAAAAGATCCGCGTCGTTTCGAGTTGATCCGCAAGATTCAGCATCTTCTAAAGCGTAATATTCGCCTATCGGTGGAACGGGAAAACAAAGCCAAAGAACTGGCGGATTTGGTGCGCTTGCACGAGGATTTCAAGCGACAGATTAGACATCTTCCCGATCCAAGTGTACGCCAGAAACTCTGCGTCCAGCAACGAATCAATCGTCGCCAGACCCGACAGCTAAAGGCCATGAAAGCCGAACTAAGGATCAACGATATTGATCTTAAGGCCCGGGAATGCCTAATACAGGGTTTCCAAGAACAGCTGCGTCTACATCACCAAAAGGATCAAGAGCCTATTGATGTCAGAAAGAATTTAAAGATTCCCATTGCTAAGACGAAGAACGATGACTTCATGGATCACATATTCGAATTGTCGTCCAACCGTGAAGATGAAACTATTTCAGCTAAGTGATATATTGGATATAAGTTGTCCTCGACTCACAATCGAAAAGGTATCTTTTACACTTTCACTAATTAAAAGAAAGAAAAAAATCATTTTATATAAATAATTAATTATTTATTAAGAGTTAGAGTAATCCACTGACCATCTTGAAACCTGCTCCCAGAGTCCTTGGCAGTTGGGCAGGTGCCGAGTAGCAGTGCATTTGCTCTAGCAACTGCCTCTCTTCGAGGAGTTTCTGCTTGTGCTTCTTTTCCTCTAGCAGTTGGGTTTTGGTTAACGCCAAGTTGACCCGCATCTCCTCCAGCTTGTCCTTTTTCGACCTCTCGTCTGCTTCCCTAGCACTAAGCTCGGCTTTTAGGACCTTCAGTTTCCGATCCTTGGCAGATAAGTTTGCCTGGTAATTAGATTAAGTTTAACACTTTTCCGAACTTATTTTCTTACTCACCTTTACGCTGTTGAGCTCCGCCCGCACTTTGTGACTAGGCAACTTAAGCATGAACTCCCTTAAAGCCGAATATAGTTGCTGAGCCTCATTTAAGGCCCTTTCCTGCTCCAAGGCAGCTACGTTCTGCTGAAGTAACTGTTTTCGCAGAATACTAATTCGGCCGAGTAAATCCATCTTCTCTGGATCCTTGCCGCTGAGAAGACGCCAGCGGTGTACATTCATGGGTGTGACCATTTCGTCCTGCAAGGCACGGGCCTTGATCCGCTCCTGGTTAAGCATGCGGTGCATTTGTAGGAGTTCCTGGCGTAGATCCGCCGCACTCTCTCTATCCGCCCGCAATACATCCCTTTCCGTTCGCAAATTCTTAATCTCCACTCCCATTAATCGCATATCATCCTGACACTGGCTGCACTGCCTCTGGGTTTGATCGTACACTGTTTGGAGGTTCTCCTGGCTGTGCTTCAGTCGCTCATATTCCTCGTTGCGTTTGGTCAGTGCCGAACTGATCGCGTTCTTCTCGTTCATTAGGTTGTCCACATCTTTGCGTAGGCGAGCCAACTTCTGCTCGTCCTCTTGAAGAGACTTGGCATGCCGATCGTTCTCCTTGCGCTTGTCCAGCAATTCTGCTTTTGTGTGTTGCTGACCCAATTGCGCATGCCGGATGTCATTGCGCAGCAGGCGACGCTCTTTCTCCATGCGGTCGATCTGCAATTGCAGTTTGGACAACTCAGCATCTCTGTATCCGATTTTTGCTTTAAGTTTTTCAATGAGCGCTTGTAGATTCACCAGCTGATCCCGAAGCTTTTGCCGCTCTTCATCGGCCACCTGGACACTACGTTGAAGGGTATGACGTTCAGCAGCAAGGACATCATGCTGCTGCTGGAATTTGGAGCATTTTGCTTCTAAGTCGCTGATAGTGCGTTTAAGTTCGATCTCATAGTTCTCCTTCAAGTGCATCTCATCTGCCGGAAAAGAAATCAGAATTAAAATACCTCATTTACAATAATTTAATTTTTAACATTACTCTGCATCGCATCCAACTTGTCTATCCAGTGCTGAATCTCGTCGAGCTTTTTGGTTTTCTCCTTCTTCAGCTTATTTGCATCTTCATTAAGTTTCTTTAGCTTGGTATCCATAGTGCTAATTGTATCCTTGAGGGCACGCACTTCGTGTTGAGCCTCTTGGTGCAGTGCATTGCTCTGCTCAAGCTGTTGGTGCTCAGCCTGCAGATCCCGCCTCAGAGAATCTCGCTCCTTCGTTAGGTTCTCGTTGTTCTTCTCGAAATGGTGAACCACCCGACGCATGGACTCCAGCTCCTTGTCTTGGGTGCCCAGCTGAGTTCTGTAAATTTATGATTTTGTAGTAAATATCGACTGATAAATATGATCCTTTACTTTAGTCTTATGTTCTGCGTTTCCACCTCTCGTTTGGATTCATCTAATCCCGCGTACTTCCGAGCGATCGTCTCCTGGGACTTGGCCAGTTTTCCATTGTCCTGACGTACCTTAATCAATTCATCTTCGCGCACCTTCAGAAGATTAATGCGCTGGTTAAGGGCCCGCTTATTTTTATCTCTTTCTTGCACTGTGTACTCCAGATCTACTGTGATCTTGGCCAACTTATTGTTTGTGGCGTTATGTTGGGTATTTAGGTGCTCCAGGTTCGTCTTTAAGGACAGAATCTGTAGGTTCTGACGCACTTTCACTTTGGTCAGGTGCTCGTTGGCGGACTTCATCTGGGATATTTGCTCCTGGTAGCGGGACTCTTCAGTCTTCATAGTTGAAAGTTCCTTAGATAAAGTATCGCTCTTTCGTTTCAAGTTAATTGCATCGCTGGAGGTTTCCTGAAAGGTTAAAACCGCTATATTTTACGTCAAAATAAGGTTAACTTATTTAACTAACATCCAGTAGCTTAAGTAACTCCTTGTTCTTGGCTTCTAATCCCTCAATGGTGCTGTCCAATTCCGTTGCATAGGTCCTCTGCAATTGCAACCGCTTATTGAGGTCAGCGATCTCGGCGTTGAGACGTTCCCGCTCCTTGCCATCGTCTCGTTTGCTCATGGCCAGTCGTTTCTCATTAAGATGGGCCACCATTTGCTCCGATTCATCTAGTTTCTCCCGGAGACTTAACACCTCATCCTGGGCGGATTGTTCACGAATTTGAGCAGCATCCTTCTGCTTCCAAGCTCCCTCTGCCAATAGAATGTATCATTTAAGTTTGTTATTAAATTGAATTTCTCCAGTTACCTATGACCCCGCGAAGCTCCTCAATTGTGGCCATGTCCATTTTGGTCACCCGAGCCGCATTCTCCAAACGCTCTTCGAGGCTTTCAATCTCCTTTCGCAATTCCTGAGACCGCTCCTTTTCCAATCGCAGATCGCTTTTATAGCGACTGCCACAAATGACCAACCTCTGGACATTGTCCGCATTGTTGGGAGTGTCTTTTTGCCGTAGAGCTTTGGTAGCCTAAAAATTAATTTTAGTTTTTAATGAGTCCTGTAATTTTAGAGATTAATCTTTATACCTCAGGGATTTTGTCGCACAATTCCTTGTAGAAATCATCATCGAAATCATCTGGAACCAATGGCTCATCTTCAGACCCAGAAGCCTTCGACATCTTTAAGTTTTAAGTTTTCCTTCACCTTATTGAACAAACTCATAGCCTTAACCTTGTCCTGGCAACAAGTTGCCATACCGGCACACGCTACCAAGGGCAACACAAAAAGTTTTATTTACTGAACTTGTTTTTTATTAAGCTAGTATGTATAAAAAGCGTCTTCGTGCTCTTAGTCGCTATGGAAACAACGTACATGCCATGGCATTTTTGTGTGAAGTCATCTATAGCTAGTTGCTTTAAATATTCCCTATGGCTTTTGAGTAAACTTTGGAATCTTGAGACTATTATTAAACTACACTTTTTCATAAAAATAAGCAGTTGACGTTGACATATTAGTTACTTTGAGCTTAAAGTTAAACTATTAACTTAAGATTGACTTGCTGACATCACAATACCTTCGATGTGCCACTACTCTATGGCCACTCATCCTCGAAGGGCGCATCGTTTACCGTGTGAAAACTTAGGCCAGTACCTTCGGGCTTGTGCCAGGAAGGAAGCAGAACAGTCCGCCAAAAAGATCTGCAATTAATTTTTAGAATTAAAATGTGCCTATGGTAAAGAGGAAACCCTAATTTACCTTCCTCGCACTAGACCCAAAAATAATTTCCAGTTCTTTTTGGTGCCAAAGTTATAGGGATTGATGTAAATGCGTTGCTGCTTGAGAAGACGTTTCCTCTCCGCTTCGTTAATGTGGGCCTCAACACTCGTCTCCCCTCGAGTTATGAGTTTTGCATGCCAAATGGAGAGACTCCCAAGAGCCAAAACAACGGACACATTTGTGAAGGCCATGAACCACAGAGCTCGTCGTCGTCCAGGAGAAGGTGCATCTGTATCCACAATAGGTGTCGGAAGATTGTGTATTGCAGGCGGCAGCATAAATTCATCGTACTCATGAGGATGGGTCTAAACAAATATATTAAATTCGGTGCTTCTTTCAAGTAACTGTTCTGCTTTACCACTGGAATGATGTGTCCACTCAGGTTAAACTTTACTGGCTGACCCTCAAGAGGTTCAATCTCCGTCCATGTTTCTCCATGATCAAGCCACAGGTATTTGTGGCCGATCTCTAGACCAAACAGAATGAGAAAAAGGCAACCCAGAGTGGTGTACATCATGTAGAGGAAAAAGTACCGATGATTACCATAGCCCACACAATTGTTAAGCCAAGCTGTGAATAGAGTATATGGATAATATTTCATGAAGCCTTTGACAATATTGATACTCACGGCAGTGGTGATCCATCTTAAGGATGCAGCGATTGCAGACGGAACAATGATGAGTACGTGGTGGTTTGGGGGCTATACACTTCCCGCACATACTGACCGCCTCCACCAGAGACACGCCCTCCGGGGGATGACCCGCCGGTGTGATCACAGCCATAACATAGTGGAAAACCACATTGAGCAGCAGCCAATTGCCCACGACTAGTAGGAAATAGGTGACCAACTGACTCTTAGCCCACCAAAAAGGCAAACCAATCCAATAGGCAATACTAACAACCGAGGTGGTTAAGGCAGCCACTCCAACGACGAAAAACTAATAGTTATGAAATATTTTAAACTATTTAAATCATTTAAGAAATATTTTATGTAGCATAGTGTTACCGGTCCCAGGCAGTGAGTGTAGTTGTCCACGAACCAAAATATTGGGGTCAAACATACATCGGAAGCGTAAGAGGAGTTCATGTGGGCATTGAAGGTCAAGGAGTGCCAGCAGTGCTTCATATAAGACCAACGAAGGCGACAAATAGAACTGTTTAATAAGTAAACAATAAACAAAAACATTGCAAAAATATTCCAATTGGAACTTGGTTAAGTGCTCACAGCAACTCCTGACTGGAGTGACCTCTCCAGGTGATGCGTGCCATTGGTATCCAGGTGTTCTTTCTTCCTTCCTATAGCCTTTTTACTTTATAACAGCATTTTTGGGGTTTAGCAAATTATTTTAGCGATTAAATTTTGCAACCAACTCTTTGGTGCGACCTTATGATATGCTGAGAAAAATCTTATCATCAGCTGTTGTCTATCGATATGCGGCTACTATCGATTAACTTAGCTATCGTAACCAGCTCACTCCTAACCACAAACGTTTGTTTTGCATTTTTCTTCGAAATAGTTGAAAAATTGTATTTCCACATGCGTTCACCCAGCAGAAGTCGCAGCAGGCACAGGGAACGGCGCAGATCCGTTTCTAGGGATCGTTTACGATCGGAAAGAGGAACAAACCACAAATCGCAACATCGAAGATCAATTTCCCACGAGCGGGAAAGGGACAGGGAGAGAGCGCTCCACAGGGATAGAAATTCCAATCGCAGCTACCGTCGATCCAGAGAAAAGGATTCAGTTCCTAGACGCCGCAGAACCCGCTCTGCGTCCTCTAGTAGCTCCGCAAGCAGCAGTGGTAGCTCTAGGTCATCCAGGAGCCCCTCCAGAAACCGCAATTCCCGCCAAAAATCAGTAGAACGCTGGCCCAACGACCGGTTTCATGAAAACAATGACAGACGTCAAAATCCTTTCCGGGGAAGGGGTCCCGAGGGCGGTTTCATCAATGATCCAGCAGAACCGTCTTCAAGGTCGTATCATAGAGGAAGGGGAGGCTCAAATCACCAGTTTAAAGGCGACGCCAAGGCGATAAGTGCGCGCCGAAACTTAAGAGTTCGCATAGCTGAAGAGGGAGTGCCAGAAGTATGGGGCAAAAGCCCATCCCCACCAGACAGCGACGATGCGGAGCTGGTCAAGGGTTCCTATTCTGGACCAAAGAAAAAAAAGAAAAAGACCAAGAGCAAGCACAAGAAAGCCGACAAGAAATCCAAGAAAAAGTCCAAGAAAACCAAGAAGAAAAAGAGCAAAAAGGCATCTAGCTCCTCGGAAGACTCATCAAGTTCTTCCAGTAGCGAGGACAGTAGCGATGATTCGAGCAGTTCCAGTTCTAGTGCAGATAGCGAAGATGAGTCCGATGAGGAAGATGTTTGGTTGGAAAAGACTGCCGAAGGTATTAAAAAACCAAAAAAGAAGAAGTCCACCAGCAAGAAGAGTAAAAAATCAAAAAAGAAGAAAAAGAAACAAAAATCAGAGGCGGAAAAGTCCAAGAAGAGCTCCTCCTCTAGCGGTAGCAAGTCCAAGACAAAGGACAGCACATCCATCAACGACGAGGACGTGGGTCCTTCACTGCGAACCGGTGGAAGCCTTAATCAAAAGGATTTCGGAAAGGCTCTGCTGCCCGGAGAAGGAGCTGCCATGGCTGCCTACATAGCCGATGGCAAGAGGATTCCTCGCCGTGGTGAGATTGGTTTAACTTCCGACGAGATCGCCAACTTTGAATCCGTTGGCTACGTGATGAGCGGCAGCCGTCATCGCCGTATGGAAGCGGTGCGTATCCGTAAAGAGAATCAGCTGTACTCCGCCGACGAGAAGAGAGCGCTGGCTATGTTCAGCAAGGAGGAGCGACAAAAGCGTGAGAACAAGATCCTGTCGCAGTTCAAGGACATGATTCACTCCAAGCTGCAGGCCAAGGAAAAGAAGTAGGAAAGCCATTTTATTATATTTAAGGATGAGAGGATAATTTCATATTTCTAATACACACATAAGTACGATGCTGACCCAACGAATGATCATGTAAACATATTTTTGTGTGAAAAAATAAATGGCATCATATAGAAATCACTATTGTGAATTGAAGACTTTAAAATATAAATATATTATATATATAAAATATTTTATATTGATCAAGTATAAACTTTACTTGAAAAGTCAGACATATTTTTTTTCATAATTTATTTATTAATTTATTTGATACAACGTTTTCATATTATTAATATAAAAATGGACACCATGTATTTGTGAGAAATGTACCCCGTGAATTATGGTATTTCTGAGGAAGCCACACCTGGTCACACTGCCACTATGCTCGAAAACGTGGGGTTGAAAAACCTTTCAGCGGAACTGTGCCAATTCCACAATAAAACCGCAAAGTTTGCATAATTCGGCGGTTGACTCAATGTCTGCACTTATTTACCAGACCCATTAACCGAATTCCGCGCTACTGAGTGTGAATTTTCGTTCAAATCGCGAGTTTTATGTGTGAATATTACTCATCTGCAGGGGGTGGTGTTGGTGCGAGCGAGAAAGCAGCAAACGAAGAGCCGACCAAAACAAACTAACGCTAACCGGCAGAAAATAAGAAGAAGAAGAAGGCAGGACAGATAAGCCGAATACAATTGAAAATAACATTAATAAACATACAGTCACACACACGGAGACACACCCACAAACACACTTGCCTCATTTAATCAATTAACGGGACAACGGCCGAAGAAACAGTTACAGTTCGTTTTCAGACGTCGCGTGTGAAGATTGTGTCATATTTAGCTGCGGGATAATAATACTATAGCTCCTGGATATAAAACATATAGCCACAATGCCCGCCGCCGATGAACTCCAGTCGCCCTCGAGCGAAATGGTTCTACTCACCCCCAGTTCTGGTAATCCGCCCTCCAGTATAGCCCAACCCTCGACCAATCCCCCGGAGAAAACTGAAGGTCGCGAGGGATCCGCTGAATCGGACAGCAGTAGGGTGGTGATCAAAAAACAGCTGGGCTTGCTGGAAGGTGTGGCAATAATCTTGGGCATTATTTTCGGATCTGGGATCTTTGTATCCCCGAAAGGCGTTATCCGGGAAGTGGAATCCGTAGGCGCTTCGCTGGTAATCTGGATTCTCTGCGGACTGTTGTCTATGATTGGTGCTCTATGCTATGCTGAACTAGGCACCGCCATACCCAAATCTGGCGGGGATTACGCGTACATCTTCGAGGCGTATGGATCGCTACCGGCGTTTCTGTATCTCTGGGATGCCATGATGATATTCGTGTGAGTTTAGCAATCAATATGGTAAAAATATTTTTGTATATTAGGTCTCTTAAATTTCCTTATCAATATCTGCTTCAAGAACATAAACATAGTATCAAATTTCCTTTGTTGATCGATTTCGAATTACAAAATAATTCCCATAATCAACAGATTGCTGTGATATATCATTTACAGGTGTGTTCCGAATTTGATTTGAAACAAGTTTTCTCATTTTTTAGGCAAATTTTTTTTTTATATATAAAATGTACAATTCATTAGATTTCTGTAGAAATATTACCCAATAACCTGAAAAACTTCTTCACGAAAATGAATTCTAGTACTAGACATTGAATTATATTTTTTGACAGGGTCAAGTTCAAAAACTTTCCTAGATAAGGAACTAGATCGTTTTGGATGCAGACGGTTTTTCAAGGTTAGGCCATTGGGTTTGTTATATAAAAAGTGAAACGAGTCTTATCACGTAATCTAGAGCCTACAAATGTATTTATTGAGTTTTGCATTGACCGGTTTATTGCCTCTGCTATTTTTGCGATTTAGGAGTGGCGATAAGGGTGAATATCTGCTTTTCCACTTTTGCATGCGGAGATTATCAGCTGGGAATATGTCTGAATGCAGTATGTGTAAATTTTCCACTGATTATATGCTCTTATCTCTTGCAGACCCACGACGAATGCCATTATGGGCCTGACCTTTGCCTCCTATGTGCTGGAACCCTTTTTCGGCGGAGCTTGTCATATACCCAAGGCAGCCCTTCAGCTGCTGGCGGGAATCACTATCTGCTTCCTCACCTACCTAAACTCTTACTACATGAAGGTTACGACCAAGATGCAGAACATCATTATGTTCACCAAGATCGCTGCTTTGGTCCTGATCATTCTAGTGGGTTTGGTTTGGATGTTAATGGGCAATGTGGAGAACTTCACCAGGCCTTTTGATGACACTAACACGGATCCTGGCAAGATGTCGGTTGCTTTTTACTCCGGCATCTTTTCGTATGCTGGTTGGAACTACTTGAACTTTATGACGGAGGAACTGCGGGATCCCTATCGCAATCTGCCGCGTGCCATTTACATTTCACTGCCACTGGTCACCGCCATTTATGTGCTGGCTAATGTGGCTTATCTGGCCGTACTGTCGCCCTCCGAGATGATCGCCTCCAACGCCATCGCTGTGGTGAGAATTAGCGACCCCGTTCCCATTTGCATTCCGTTCAGATTGGGCGAGAATCAAGATCTTATATTCTTTAAAAAAATCTAGTAAAAATAAAATCGATTAGCTAGTTGTGTATTTATAAATTAAACTAATTTCAAATCGAATTTTTAGCTTAGAAAAGACTTTTTTATAATTCCCGTTACTTAAGTTTTTCAATATGGAGACTTGTATCTTAGTTCGCAATTATGTCATATATATCTAGAAAAGTTCATTTACTTGATCGGAATTGCAAATGTCAACAATAGTGTATAGCTTAATTAAACCTGAGCGGATTGTCAAATGATTTTAATTGTTCTCTCTCCGCAGACCTTCGGCGATAAGATTCTTGGCGCCTTTTCTTTGGTCATACCCATCATGGTGGCCATCTCTGCCTTTGGCGGCCTGTCCGTCCACATCATGACCTCGTCCCGCATTTGCTTCGTGGGTGCCCGGAATGGACACATGCCGGCGATTCTGTCGCATATCAGCGTGAAGAGCTACACCCCACTGCCGTCGCTCGTTTTTCTGGTGAGCTGCGCCCATCAATTAGCGCACAAATGATATTATGTAATTAATCCCTAATTGATTTGTCTGTGTTCCCCTCGGCAGTGCTTTCTCTCTATTGTGATGCTGGTGGTGAGCGACGTGTATGTGCTGATCACCTACGCCAGCATTGTGGAATCGTTCTTTATAATGCTGTCGGTGTCGGCGGTTCTATATTTCCGCTACACCCGACCCTGCATGGAGCGGCCAATCAAAGTAAGCTTTGCTTATTCAGTGGTGCCAATCTAACTTTAATTTAGCTAAATTAAATGTTCGAAGTTTTTGGTCAATGATATGAAATGTATAAAGATTGATTTGGCTATTGAACATCATCACCATCATGGCGACACTTAACTTAACTCATATTGTAATATATTGCTTTTTCTGTCACAGGTCGCAATGTGGATTCCCGCCGTTTTTGTCATTGTGTGCGCATTTTTAGTCGTTGTGCCCATCTATGTGGCGCCCTATGAGGTCGGCATGGGGGTATTAATCACCGTAATTGGCATACCTTTCTACTACGTGGGTGTCGTGTGGAAGAATAAGCCAGAATGGGTGCAGAACACGATTGGTGAGTATTCCTTCCCATTAACCCCAACGTATGGCATTGTCCGACATTTATATGGTTTTCTTTTGTAGACTCGGTGACCTTCACTTGCCAGAAGCTTTTCATGTCTGCCAAAGAGGAGAAGCAGGACTAAACTGCCTCCTAAATTAATGGAAAACAAGGAATTAATCGGAACGTCATTTTGACGATATACAAAAGTCAGCAGCTATTTTGACTTCCAAATGGGGTATACTAAATCTCAATATTTATGTGAATGCTTGAGGAGGAGAACTTTGACGCGTTGAACCTGAATACCAAAAAAGAAATTACCTAAAGAAAGCGAAAACATGACCTGTACATCACAAGGACTAGAAAACGAAGTCAATACTATTTCATATTTTTATATTTATAAACCATTACAAAAAACTTTTACCTAAAGTGCAAACTCTTCGAATAGTAGTTTAGTTTTCATTAGCTTATTTCATTAGTTTATTTTGCACTGATTTCGTAAGTTCAAAACCAAAGTAAGCCAAAATATTTGCCATACCAAGCAGTTTCATACCATTTTTCGTTGCATATTGTTAAATTTTGTTTAATTTATTGGTTTTGCCCCTCATTTAACTACCTAAGTGCATTGCAAATTGTAATAAACATTTTTGTACGTTTCAAAAAGCTTTTTTAAATCTTTTAGGCGCTACCCGCAAAAGTATGCCACAGTATTTTAACCAAAAAGTGAAACAAAACAATTGATAAGGTTGAATTGATTGAGCATTGCGTGGGATATAAGCCTATGCCTCCGCTAATCAATTAGGGCTGATAAGTAATGGGTCTATTTTAAGCCATTCATGACGGAGAAGTTGCGATTTTGGCCAAAAATAAATCGCAACCTGTCGCCGTATTTGACATTTCGGACAATCGGAGGCTTGTGGAATGACGCCAACGCTATATTCGATCACTGATAGAGTATTCCGTGCGGATCCGTACTCGCGTCTAGGTGTTTTTAATTGATAAAAATGTAGCGCATATCGGAGATTCTTAGCACGGTTCGCAGGTGCGCCCATCTATGCGAAAACTGGGCGAGAGTAGTGGACTGATTTGTATGCGACGTATTCGGCGTCTCGTTTAATGTCTTTTTAAGTATTTATATGCAAGGAGTACTTCTAGTTACCAGATCGCTCGTAAAATCGCCTCAATCGGATTTGATGTTTTTTTATTATGGCCAAATAATTGAGTTATTGCGACTGGCCGAGCATCTCAAGTGCGATGGGAGACTCCCCGATCTCCGGTTGTAACTGCTACATTATAGATCTTAGCTTAGATTATTGCTATTTCACAAGTTGGGGTGATAGATAAAAACAACATAACGCTAAAAGGCTGCTAATTGCTGGCACGTGACTTTTGGCACAAAAGGAACCACCTTTCGCTCTTGACGAACTATTTCACATTTAATGATCGGTGCGGACGGTTGACTTAGTGATCGATAGCGAGGCGTAATCTAGTAAATATTGATTTATTCTGCAGCTGGAAAATACTTGACGTTTGCATAATCAATTGCATGTTAAGTTAAATGAATTGATCTCAAACAGCGGGGACTTCTTCTAAAGCCAAGCTGTTCATGTGATAATCATGGGATTATTCTCTGATAAATATTGACACCTTTTTGGGCAATAGTCTGAGGTCTGCACAATCGTGTTTAAACAATTAAATTAGCAATGGGAAAGCCCGCTAATAACTAGCTGAACGGACCGAATAAAACTGGTAGCTCAATTTTTGCATGGCTTGCTTAACTGATTTAAATTGGATTAGTTAAGTAAATATTTCTTGGGCAACTTAAATATTTATTTAAATACGGAATTTTCCTTGGTATTTTCTCTATGAATATGGTATATGTATATGATATAAAAACAAAAAGAATATACCTCAAAACATAAAGAGTAATTACTTATTTTATTATGATAAATTACAGGGTAAAACATAACTATTGATTGATGCCTACTTTTTTCTTCACATAGTAAAAGTAACACCCTTTTCATTACTATTTTTCACCAGCTTTTACGACGGAAGCCTGACAGTTGAAACCCATTCTAAGCCTTGGTATTTATATGTCTGGCCTATGATATCTGGAGAATTCCATTGTAAAAATCCGAGTTCGTGTGACTGCTCAATACCCACCATAAAGATATAAATAGCTATCAGAATGCCCTCTATACATATATATTAACAATTCTACATTCCCACATGTGGATCACGAACTGCCCATACAAGCGTAATGACAACGTTCTGTAACGCACAAAAAACATCTCATAGCAGGCCAAAAGATTTAAAAGTGCTCTGAGTCTCCGTCCCGAAATTGTAAAACGTGCGAAAATCGCTCAATGAATATGTCACTTTGCCTCGGATCGAGCGATCGATCGCTCTGTTTTTAATTTTTTTGGTGAGGACTCCGCTTTAAATTAGCGACTTTCGGCATGACGTTGTCGCGACTCGTTGGCTTAGTAACGCCAACTGACTTGGCCGAAAGCAAACAAATAAATCGGCAAATTGTATGCAAAACAAAATATTATCATAAATGATCGAAGGCGGCATTAGGTGCGAATTATGACGAGTTTTACCCTTTGATTTTGTTTGGCTCAAATTGATCGACATAATGACGCCCTTTTTTGGGCTTGGCGGTCCCATTGAGTTTCCGTGACGTTAAGTATACGCACTGTGTTTTCCGTTAAGTATACGCAGGGTGTTGCAGACTTTTGGCTACTTGGAACTCAATTTTGCTAAGTGGGTGACTTAGTGGGGTGGCTTGCAATAACTGCCGATCCTCTAGCTGGCCCCTTTCCCCGCATTACCCCTAAAAATTCTCATCGATCGATCGATCGTCGGCTGTTCGCGCGACTCTTTTTTGTTAGTGGTAGTACGTATTTGTGTGAACGGTGCACGCGCTTCGGGCGGGGATTTCAGCTTTCGAATTTTCAAGTAGTTCGTTGACTGCCCGCTGAGGAAGTTGTGAAGGTGCTCCGCCAGCGAAACGTCCGCGCAGTCTAGAATCCGTCATCCGATCGGAAGGTGCTATAGCCGCTCGTCAGGAGTCAAGAACTTGGAACGGAACACCGATCGCGTTAGAACATCGAAGTCCACCATGAAATTCGCAGCTATCTTTGAGGCTTCGTTTTTGGTAATCTGCTTGTCGCAAGGTAATTGCATTGCCATTTCTACGAAGTCCTGTGACTCATTCGTGTTTGTCAGGGTCCAAGTTGCGCGAAAAGTTATTGTGAATCAAAACAGAAATAACCATAAATCGATATCTATTAGCGAGAAACACTTTTGACTAAGAATACATGGCTAGTCATGCCCTCATGGTATTATTGAAAAGTGTCCATTGATAAAATTACAATTTTTGAAGGAACTAATTTAATTTACTCTTACTGAGTATTGTTTTTTGTATAAAAATCTGAAATTTAATTTCCGATTTCCATATCCTTCTTCCTATTGCATAATATTTTAAATAATCACTTTACTTTTGCCAAATATCAAATATCACAGAATGATCTAATAAATTAACAATAAATATAATTCAATCAAGCTAGGCTTGACCATTATTGAATAAAAAACACATTAGGAATGTGTCCAACATTCTTTTTTCTTTGTGCTGTTCCTCCAGAAGCGTGTGTGACTGTCCGTCTTTATTACGAAATGTCAATACCTGATACTGGGGATCTTGGCATTAGCAGTCATAAGTACACACTTCACGAAACTAATTTTGACCAGTTAAATGGTGCTTGTCCCACTTGAAGCTGTCAATTAATACATTTTATTGGCCACCGATTGATTTAGATGTATTGCTAGACTTGACGGGAAGTTGTTAAGGTTTTCCATTTTGGCCAGGCATTAGCACTTAGAATATTACACAAAATGTAATCTGTTATCTATGGAGAAGCTCTATAAATATTATTTACATGCTAAATGAACATCTGTTATCTACAGACTGTGACAGTTTTAATTATATAGTTAATTACCCCGGGCTTAATTGAATTTAACTTCCAATGACAGGTTCGATTACAACGAACTAATGCAAATAATAAGGCAAAGTAATATGTTTATAATATACAAAGTGGATGACATAATACTAAATGGCCATACCTGACAAAATACTAATTTTAACTAATTTATTATCTAAGACTTTGATAGCCAGGACTGAAATAAATAATATAATATATATTATTACAAATAATCAAAGTTAATTAGACTAATTCATCAACCGTCGAAGCTTGTGCTTTATCAACCACTTGTGCAGACTATCCCCATACAATGGAAAACCGTGTCATATGATATGTTAATTTGCAGCGAGCTCTTCAAACTGAAATTATCACCCCAATCACATGCAAATTAGCCTTTAAATAAGTATTTCCTTTCGCCTTGCAAAAGATTCCATGGAATTTGCTGCCAGCTTTCAATCGTGCTGGAAAATAATGAAAACTGTTTGCTCGCGGTATTATCTGGATCTCTATCAATATCAATCGCGGCGATATCTTATTATGGGCCCGAACGTGCCCTTGACGTTCGCACTCTCCGAGCTTTCCCTGGAAGCCTGTTTACCCAGTTAGTTATTTATTTGTCCAGCCATTGACTAAAAAAAGAAAGAACGTTACCTTAAATATTTGCTCGAAGCCCCATTTATTATTCCGTAATTCACAAGTGCTCATATATGTCAGAGATAGCCCCGGAAAATAGGGAGAAGGTCAACTGAGGGGGTGAATAACACGGGCACGTGATCACTCATCAATCGTGGATTCAAGATTGCAGATTGTGGCTGACGGGGTATCCGCATACGTGGGAAACACTTTAATCATTTTGTCCAAGTCAGGACTAAGCGCACATTCCGGCGGCTAATTGATTGCGGCCTTATTGAGAAAAGGTATTAGCCATTTTTTTAGGGGGCCAAACAAATGTTTTTCGCTAAATAACTTTAGTTAACTATTTTAATTTATCACTTTATTTTGTTTGTATATAAAAATTCTAAAACGCCTCATCATCCTTTTCCAGCTGTCAGCAGTCATGTCTTCGGCTACTCTGAGCCCAATCAGCGTCGCTGGGCCCGTCACCATGGTCATTGTGCGGGGAAAACTCAATCGCCAATTGCCATCACCACCAGCCGGGTAAGACCAGGAACCTTAAGTCCAGCTAAGCGGACCAATAACTAGGCCTCTTACCTTCTTTTCAGACAATGTCCGTTCACATGCCGGCGGTGGACATGATTGGCTACCATAACCTACTGCCCTATCCATTGAAATTGCTCAACAATGGTCACACAGGTAAGAATTTGTTATTACACAGAAAAAAATTTACGAACCTAATAAAACATAGAAAGTTCAGTAAAATCAAACCATTTTTCATTTTTATAGTTTTTTATTTTCTTTTAAAATTTACGAATAAGTTTAAGTCTGGTTTCTTAGTGTAGTATTAGTGCTAATTGATTTCCTGCTTTCCAGTTTCCATCAGCATACCTAAGGTTAATGTTACCGAGGTCGGCGAGGATTTCCTGCCCTACATCAGGGGGGCCAAACTGCCCGGCGAATTTGAGTTGGAGGGCCTACATTTCCACTGGGGCGACAAGAACAACCGGGGATCCGAGCACGTCATTAACGACATCCGCTACACCATGGAGATGCACATAGTGCACCGCAACAAGAAGTATGCCACCATCGGAGAAGCTCTAAATCATCCGGATGGTGCCGCCGTCCTGGGATTCTTCTTCAATGTGAGTGGTTAAGGGGTTGTTGTGCTCATTCCGAATGATTTGTAAGCCTATTATTGTTTTCCAAACAGCTCGATGAGGATGAGGGTCCTGGCCTGGTGACCATTAACCGGCATTTGCATTTGATTGCCGATGCCAACCAGGAGGCCATGCTCAACGTTACCTTCTCGCTTTCATCGCTGATTGCTGGTGTGGATGTGGACAAGTTTTACACCTACAAGGGTATGTACAGCACAAAATCACAGAATTATTTACAAATGAGCTTTTAATGCCCCAAAAATACATCTTTCAAAACTTTAAATGCATAAAATATCAATTTTTAAGTGTAATGAAAAGTTGCCCTGCCATTCTCAATTAGCATTCAGTTAGCATACAGAGACTCAGTCAATACCTGATGATAAGTTGACATCGAATCGATGTCTACAAGCGATGTTTATCTGTGATGTCACTCAACTAAGTAATATATATCTCACCCGCAGGTTCCCTAACCACTCCGCCTTGTTCGGAGGCCGTCACCTGGATCCTGTTCCCCGATCCTATTCCAATTTCGCCCAAGCAGATCTCGCGATTCCGCCAGCTGTCGGACACGCAAGATGGAGCTTTGGTTGATAACTTCAGGACCCTGCAGCCGGTGGGCAATCGCAGGATCTTTGCTCGCACAGGACATGTGCGTCACACCTCGATCGCTGCTCTGAAGCACGAGAGCGACTATCTCAAGTACGACTGGTTCTACTGATCTATTGACTCGAACTGGCAGCCGGATGTGGAGCACTGTGCCATCCCATTTTAGGATACCTCTAAACTAAGTATTTGATAAGTTACACTAACATTTAGTCTAGCCATTCACAGAGAATAACAATAATTACAAATTCAAGAGAATTAAATAACATTAAATCTAGCACTTGAATGTTTTTTTTTAGCAAATACTTAAGTATGGTTTGTTTTTAAATCAAAAGTAAGTTGGTAATATAAATAATTATAATTCTTAAATGCAAAATGGAACAGTCAATATTTTTCATAACAATTATATTTATTACTTAGATCACTTTTTGTTCAAAGACGATTAAAACTGTCTTTAGTCAGGGATTTACGTTTAAGCTACTTTTTCGCCATTAAGTATTAACTCTCTTAAGTGACCATATGCGATTTGCGACCATACAAGGCCAAGGAGGTTGGTATGTCTTCTACAAAAAAGCTAGCTGGGAAAATTGAAAACGTCTTATGAAGTAGATCCAGTAGAGTTCGCTCTACGGTCTCATCCACCAGAGGACGTAGTGCCTCAAAGACATCCTGCCAATTGTCGTTGAAGAACTGATTGGTGCTCCGTTCCACCTCCTTGCTGTGTCCATTGAATAGGTTATCCATTCTGGTCCGCACTTTGCCGACTTCTAACTTTACCTTCACGGAAGTAACATTGTAAAAAGTATAGCCGCCCTTCTCATAGAGTCGGGTCTTGGTGCTCATCAGTATGTCCAGATCATCTGTTAGTGGGTTAAAAATCCGGTTATTAAGTATATAGATAGTTTTAGTGATAACTTATTATTACCTATTTCCATTACGATTTTCCCAGATCCCTGCAGGGGCACCAACAAAATTCGCCCTAGCATTTTGTAATGACCATCCATTCGCATAGCGGGCAAGTAGATCTTCGTCAGCCAACTAAAATCCTTCTTGCTGACTCTAAAAGAAAATTTAAAAAATTCTATTATTAATCATTGTAATTGATTATTTATTTTAAATGTAATTTTCATAGGTTTGATTTGAAGTGTTAAAATTGAATCCAAAATCATTAAGCAATAAAATATACCTGAGCTGAACTAACTAATTGACGAACTATATAATTTTAGATGCTTATAATTGATACCTGTTTAGTTACTTTAGTGCATTATTAAATCAGGTTAACTATATGGCTGGAAACTTCCCAGAAAAGATGTTCGCCTATGGAAGCTCATCGACCTCCATCGGGCAACTTTTAATCGTTCTCGACAGCTTGATGCAATCGATAGCTATATACTCACTTGCTCTCCTTGATCACCATTTTTCCAAAGCCGCTGATCAGCATATCGGTGAGATTGGCCGAAATCGTGGCCACATCGCTGTTGTCCTGCTTGAACACCAGCTGATCCTGTCTCATCGGATCAATAGGGCCAAAGGATTCCTCTAACTCGGGAACACCTATAAAATTTCACCCTGTTATTCAGTTAACTTTAATTCTATACAATGCCTATATCTCACCTTTGACCAGCTGGTTCATGAAAGCCTGTATGGAGCGTGTTGAGCACTTGGTAAACTCCGGTTCATAAATCTTGCACGACTCAATGTACGAGGCTGCAAAAGAGAGCACAATTTTTAAATAATATTTTAATTATTTAAAGCATATCATTTGTGGTTTTAAGTTTTTTCTCATACAAACTTTATAGTCACGTAGTTTAAAAATCCTCAGCTGAACTTACGTTTTTCCGTATAAAACGCATTACAATGGACCTCCCGAAGGCCGGCATGAAGTAGCATCAGTAACCCAATTATGAACATGTTGGAAAACTGTCGTCGCTGCCACCTACAAGTCACTGTCACTGCCGGAATCACTATCGCTATTAGGAGAAGCTCCTAATCGAGTTTACTACGCGCGAATCTCGAATGAGATAGAACTCGAAACGGTGCTGCCTTTTAACTGGACAATATATATAGCCGATGCCGATAACTCGGGTGCAATTGATGAATTGAATCAGAAGCCTCCGGGTAATACCAGAATCGAGCTATTTTCATTTACTCGCAATGCAAAATGAAATTTATTCCATATTTATGGCACGAGAGTACGAGAAAAACACAGAACAAAAAAATATCAATCATTTTATTAAAAGCTCTTAAAATATATGCATTTTGAGTTCCACTAATGACTTTGAACTCATAGATCATAAACCCAGTTGAATAACTAAAGTAAATCAACTCCTTGTGACTTTTCTTGCAGTGTAGCTACTGTTAGTGCCGTTGTTATGCGACTCTGAAACTGTAGCGACTTTACCTTGCCACCGAACCGGTAAGCTAATTTAATATCTGGCTGGAAAAAACGCTGACAACTATGGCAGCAGCAAGAAAACAATGTTTGTAAGAGTACTAGTATCATTCTCTCTGCACAGATCTGGGCAAACTTAATTGCTGGAAGTGAGGTGTAATAAAAAACTTAAGCTGCCATAATAGAAACATTAAATGGAGTGACAAGATGCTGTTTTCAAAACGATCAAACGTTTTGATTATAAACGAGTGAGCACTTAGATCAAACTTTAATAATCGACCCAGTGATGTCATGACTTTCAAGGCCTTTATCCTCTTATCAATTTGCTCTTATGTTTATTGAAGGGAATTTTTTGAGAGGATTCGGTGTCAAGGAGAAAACGCCTTAGACTTGAGACAGATTACGAGATAATGTTGTAAGTTCCAAAGCAATAGCAACAGAAATATTCTAGTATGACTATATTATTTATTATTAACTTTAAAAATGGAGCAGCGTACTTCCCGAACGATGGCCTGTAACTATGCAAAGATTATCCATTTCTTATATCGGTTGTATATTTTCCTAAGAAGTTTATAAAATATGCAAGCTTGTCTCACTGCTGTTCAACTATAATGTTTCAAATATATTCATTTTTATAAACCATAAATGATTAATTTTTCAATTAACTATTTACTTGCATTTATTGCATTGGATTTATTTCTCAAGATTAACTTTCTTTATAGTTCCAAGAATATTATGCAGCTTTACATTATCATCTGTATTACTGCAAGGTTATAAATACTTCGTCTGCACTTTTCTTTTATTAACTTTTCTGTTTTTAACACAAATATACAAGTCTAATTTGATAAGCTACACTATAAAAAGAATTAGCTCCGATAAGTCATTGGTTTTTATTATATAGGGCGAGCCAAAGGCATTTGCGAAATTGATTTTGCGGATCCTTCTTTAGTTACATTTTGAAATAGCTCAGAATCGGTTGTAAATTAAAAGCGACCATGTTGATTTCTAAAATAATAATATTTTCCTTGATCTCGGGTCTCGCAGCGCAAAAGATCTGTACTTTCCCCACAGCTAAGATTATCAACGGGAAACTAAAGGTACATCGTTATCTAAATTTTCGACTTATATATAATAAAGTTGTATTTGTAACATTAGCTACGGATAGGTGTAAGTTGCTGCGAAGGTTACAAGCAAGTATGTGCGGACCCTCTCGAGTGCGTGCCAATATGCAAGGTATCATGCAGAAGTGGCACCTGCACGGAGCCAAATGTGTGCACCTGCAACAAAGGCTATGTCAATTTCAACAATGATAGATCGAATCGGTAGGTAAAATGTTTTAGATATAAGCCCTACTAACTCTAAAGCACTTCATCAGGAACTAAATGGAGAACTTGTATACAAAAAAATTAAAATTAAAATTGGAAATTGGATACACACGATTTTGAAATATAATGAAATATAATCTATATATGTTTACCATAAAGACTTGCAAGGGTTGCTGATTATAATTTTGAGAATGACAAACGGAAAAAGCTTTATAAAGTTTCTATGGCAAGTTTTATTAAAAAATGCACAATCAACCAATTCCACTTCCCTTTATCAAGAGGGATTCCAAAACTTGACATCTTTTAATATTTGAGCTCAGTGAATAATCTTTTTTAAAATAATATTTTCGTAATTTTTATTTACATCAATTTGTCCAAGCTTTTAAAATCCTTCTTAATTACAGATGTGATCCCTTCTGTAAGGGCTGCGATAAAGGAACCTGCCAATCGCGTGGCCGTTGCGTCTGTTCGAATGGCCACCAGCTAGACAAAAAAACCAACAACTGCATTCCCCAATGTGCCAGTGGTTGTCCCAATGGCAAATGCATAAAGCCTAACAAGTGTGCGTGCAACAAAGGATACACGTTGAAGGACACCACCCAGGTGTGCGTGCCAACCTGCAACGATAACTGCGAGAGAGCCTTTGGCTTTTGTGCTGCGCCGAATCGTTGCCAGTGCAATAAAGGTTACGTTCCAAAACCCAATTCAAAATCGTTTGCCTGCCAACCCGTCTGTGAAAGTGGCTGTGAAAATGGAGTTTGCCGAGCTCCTGGTATCTGCGAGTGCAATACATTTTATCGAGAAGATGCTGATAAGAACTGTGCTCCCATCTGCGATAAAGGTTGCCCAAACGGAAAATGTACCGCACCAAACGTATGTACGTGTATGGCGGGATACACGAAAGTCGGGAACAATGCCTGCGTTGCTGTTTGTACGGCGGGTTGCAAGAACGGAGTCTGCGTGGCGCCGAATGTTTGCTCATGCGACGCAGGGTACGCTAAGCGGGAAGGTGTGTGCACTCCAGTATGCAAGGATGGTTGTGAGAACGGATTCTGCGTGGCACCCGGCAAGTGTTCTTGCAAAGAGGGATACGTAAGGTTAGGAAACAAGTGCGTTCCCGATTGCAAAGGCGGCTGCAAGAACGGATTTTGTGCCTCTCCAGGAAAGTGTTCTTGTAATAAAGGATACAGCAAGGAATCGAATTCTACTTGCTCACCAGTTTGCACGAAAGGATGCGAGAACGGCCTCTGTGCTTCACCAGAAAAGTGTTCCTGCAATAACGGATTTGAAATGGAGAGTGGTAGTGAGAACAGGTGTGTTCCAGTGTGCAGAGGTGGATGCAAGAACGGATTTTGTGACTCTCCAGGAAAGTGTTCTTGTAATAAAGGATACAGCAAGGAATCGAATTCTACTTGCTCACCAGTTTGCACGAAAGGATGCGAGAACGGCCTCTGTGTTTCTCCAGAGAAGTGTTCCTGCAATAACGGATTTGAAATGGAGAGTGGTAGTGAGAACAGGTGTGTTCCAGTGTGCACAGGTGGATGCAAGAACGGATTTTGTGCCTCTCCCGGAAAGTGTTCTTGTAATAAAGGATACAGCAAGGCATCGAATTCTACTTGCTCACCAGTTTGCACGAACGGATGCGAGAACGGCTTCTGTGCTTCACCAGAAAAGTGTTCCTGCAATAACGGATTTGAAATGGAGAGTGGTAGTGGGAACAGGTGTGTTCCAGTGTGCACAGGTGGATGCAAGAACGGATTTTGTGCCTCTCCAGGAAAGTGTTCTTGTAATAAAGGATACAGCAAGGCATCGAATTCTACTTGCTCACCAGTTTGCACGAACGGATGCGAGAACGGCTTCTGTGCTTCACCAGAAAAGTGTTCCTGCAATAACGGATTTGAAATGGAGAGTGGTAGTGAGAACAGGTGTGTTCCAGTGTGCACAGGTGGATGCAAGAACGGATTTTGTGCCTCTCCAGGAAAGTGTTCTTGTAATAAAGGATACAGCAAGGAATCGAATTCTACTTGCTCACCAGTTTGCACGAAAGGATGCGAGAACGGCTTCTGTGCTTCACCAGAGAAGTGTTCCTGCAATAACGGATTTGAAATGGAGAGTGGGAGTGAGAACAGGTGTGTTCCAGTGTGCAGAGGTGGATGCAAGAACGGATTTTGTGCCTCTCCAGGAAAGTGTTCTTGTAATAAAGGATACAGCAAGGAATCGAATTCTACGTGCTCACCAGTTTGCACGAAAGGATGCGAGAACGGCTTCTGTGTCTCTCCAGAGAAGTGTTTGTGCAATAACGGATTTGAAATGGAGAGTGGTAGTGAGAACAGGTGTGTTCCAGTGTGCAGAGGTGGATGCAAGAACGGATTTTGTGCCTCTCCAGGAAAGTGTTCTTGTAATAAAGGATACAGCAAGGAATCGAATTCTACCTGCTCATCAGTTTGCACGAAAGGATGCGAGAACGGCTTCTGTGTTTCTCCAGAGAAGTGTTTGTGCAATAACGGATTTGAAATGGAGAGTGGTAGTGAGAACAGGTGTGTTCCAGTGTGCAGAGGTGGATGCAAGAACGGATTTTGTGCCTCTCCAGGAAAGTGTTCTTGTAATAAAGGATACAGCAAGGAATCGAATTCTACGTGCTCACCAGTTTGCACGAAAGGATGCGAGAACGGCTTCTGTGTCTCTCCAGAGAAGTGTTTGTGCAATAACGGATTTGAAATGGAGAGTGGTAGTGAGAACAGGTGTGTTCCAGTGTGCAGAGGTGGATGCAAGAACGGATTTTGTGCCTCTCCAGGAAAGTGTTCTTGTAATAAAGGATACAGCAAGGAATCGAATTCTACGTGCTCACCAGTTTGCACGAACGGATGCGAGAACGGCTTCTGTGCTTCACCAGAAAAGTGTTCCTGCAATAACGGATTTGAAATGGAGAGTGGTAGTGAGAACAGGTGTGTTCCAGTGTGCAGAGGTGGATGCAAGAACGGATTTTGTGCCTCTCCAGGAAAGTGTTCTTGTAATAAAGGATACAGCAAGGAATCGAATTCTACTTGCTCACCAGTTTGCACGAACGGATGCGAGAACGGCTTCTGTGCTTCACCAGAAAAGTGTTCCTGCAATAACGGATTTGAAATGGAGAGTGGTAGTGAGAACAGGTGTGTTCCAGTGTGCAGAGGTGGATGCAAGAACGGATTTTGTGCCTCTCCAGGAAAGTGTTCTTGTAATAAAGGATACAGCAAGGAATCGAATTCTACGTGCTCACCAGTTTGCACGAAAGGATGCGAGAACGGCTTCTGTGTCTCTCCAGAGAAGTGTTTGTGCGATAACGGATTTGAAATGGAGAGTGGTAGTGAGAACAGGTGTGTTCCAGTGTGCAGAGGTGGATGCAAGAACGGATTTTGTGCCTCTCCAGGAAACTGTTCTTGTAATAAAGGATACAGCAAGGAATCGAATTCTACTTGCTCACCAGTTTGCACGAAAGGATGCGAGAACGGCCTCTGTGTTTCTCCAGAGAAGTGTTTGTGCAATAACGGATTTGAAATGGAGAGTGGGAGTGAGAACAGGTGTGTTCCAGTGTGCACAGGTGGATGCGAGAACGGTTTCTGCGTTTCTCCAGGCGCTTGCAGTTGCAATGATGGTTTTTTTTTGTCGAATGAAACGGGTCGTTGTCTGCTTGGTATGAATGGACGCATGAAGGTAAATTGCGAACAGATATGTTGGAATGGAACCTGCGTAGAAGAAATGTGGATATATGCATATTTCTGCCAATTTATGGATTTATTCGGGGCATTGGAACTTTTTCCTCATGAGGGCAATACCATTGAGCATTTGAAGTGGTTATTTATTATTACTGGTATAATAGCCTTCCTCCTGGCTGTGGTGATAGCCATTATGATGATGTGTATTTTCACGAAACGAAACTTATATGTGGACAAGAATGGTAAACTATAATTATTAACATAGTTCTTCGAAAACTTAATTGAATTCCTATTTTTACAGAAGGGAAATTTGACGTATATATTTCTCGGAATAAAGTGCCCTCGAATGTCGTCTTAAACTAAAAACCATTTAATATTTTCATTATTCATTAAAAATATAAATTTGATTTAAACACGGACTATGCATTTTTTCTAATTTTATCTTATGAAAAAACTTAAATTTAATGGCGTTCTGTGGATGAACAACATACTATGTCATTCAACTATTCTTTTTACCAATTGCCTACTTTTGTCCATACATATTAACATGGTAACACAGTCAAACCGGAAACACAGTCGCTATCAGGAGAAACCCCTAACCGAGTTTACTACACGAATGAGAGCTCGAAGCGGTACTGCCTTTTAACTGGACAATATATATAGCCGATGCCGATGACTCGGGTGCAATTGATGAATTGAATCAGAAGCCTCCGGGTAATACCAGAATAGAGCTATTTTCATTTACTCGCAATGCAAAATGAAATTTATTCCATATTTATGGCACGAGAGTACGAGAATAACACAGAACAAAAAAATATCAATCATTTTATTAAATGCTCTTAAAAAAGATGCACTTTAAGTTCCTTTAACTATTATTAGTTCAATGATCATGAATCCAGTTAAACAACTAAAGTAAATCAACTCCTTGCGACTTTTCTTCCAGTGTATCTACTATTAGTGCTGTTGTTATGCGACTCTGAAACTGTAGCGACTTTACCTTGCCACCGAACCGGTAAGCTAATTTAATATCTGGCTGGAAAATACGTTGACAACTATGGCAGCAAGAAAACAATGTTTGTACGAGTACTAGTATCATTCTCTCTGCTCAGATCTGGGCAAACTTAATTGCTGCAAGTGAGGTGTAATAAAAAACTTAAGCTGCCATAGAAACATTAAATGGAGGGACAAGATGCTGCTTTCAAAACGATCACAAATTGTTAATTTAAAATACTGAGTACTTGATCAAACGTTAATAATCGACCCAGTGATGTCATGACTCTATTCTCTTATCAATTTGTTCTTATGTTTACTGAATAACATTTTTTGGGAGAAATCGGGGTCAAGGAGAAATCGCCTTGGAATTGAGACAGATTAGACGAAGTTTTTCAGTTGGGTTTTTGACCACATATATTTATTTTTAAACAGGTCAAAGGTCCCGGAGCAACAGCTATGGAAATATTACAATAGTTAATATAATATTTATAATTAACTTTAAAAATGGAGCAGCGTACTTCCCGAATGATGTCATGGTCTTGTAACTATGCAAAGATTATCCATTGCTTTTATCGGCTGTTCATATTTTTCTAAGAATAATTTTGATAGTAATTATGGCAGCCTTTCTCCCTGCAGTTCAACAATAATGCTTAAAATATATTTATTTTTATAAATGAACTTTAAACTATATATTTGGTTATGTATTTAAAAGTTTGCATATTATCGACCTTAAGACTTACTATGTCTTGGTTTAAGTTTACTATTTACTAATTAGTTTTGTTGATTATGTCCCATTGCACTTATTTCTCAATATTAAATTTCTATATAATTCAAAGACTATTATGCAGCTGTTTTATATAGATCATATGCATAGCTGCAAGGTTATATACGACGAAGTGTATCTTCTCTTTGCTCTCCTTTTATTCTTTACCACACATAAGTCTAATTTGATGACACTATAAAAACAAGCAAACATAAATAAATTATTTCGAAGTCTTAAAAGAAGTAAATTAGAAATATCTTGCAATAAGTCTTGCAGTTTCATATTTTATTTTTTTTATTTATTTACAAATACTTTAATTTTTTAAATACATATTACATTCATTAGAATTCAAAAAACATGTAAACTTAAATAAGTTTCAGTGGAGCCTTGGTACACAGGAAGAGCGTCTCTCCCCCTCGTACTGTAAAGAGCAATAGGATTGTGATAAGTAAAGAAACAAATTATGCGCTCCAGTACTATTGCTTTTTACATAGTATTCTCGGGTCTTGGTTGACTTGAATTAGCTCTGATAAGTCCTCGGCTTATATTATATAGGGAGAGCCAAAGGCATTTGCGAAATTCATTTCATTTCTTTAGTTTCATTTTGAAATGGATCAGAATCGGTTGTAAATTCAAAGCGACCATGTGGATTTCTAAAATAATAATATTTTCTTTGATCTCGGGTCTCGCAGCAGAAAAGTTCTGTAATCTCCGCAGAACTAGACTTATCAATGGAAAAAGAGAGGTACTCGGATCAACCTTATCTTAAATTTCGACTTACATGTAATAATACTCTATTTGTATCGTTAGCAAGTGATAACTAAAGTATGTTGCAAAGGTTACAAGCGGCTGAGGACGACACAACTGAAGTGCGAGCCAATATGCAAGGTAGCATGCAGAAGTGGCACCTGCACGCAGCCAAATGTGTGCACCTGCAATAAAGGCTATGTCAATTTCAACAACGATCGATCGAACCGGTAGGTAAAATGTTTCAGACATAACCTATACTAAATATAGAAAACTTCATAAGTAACTAAATGATGAGCTTATATCACATAAGGAGATAAAATTAAAATGAAATTTTTAAGCAAGAAAAGAAAATTAGATATACTCCAGTTTAAAAGTTGAAACAATAACGGAAACAGCTTAACAATCTCCTATAGCCGTTTTTTTTTTAAATAGTGCAATATTAATGTGGATTAAACATTTATGACTCAAAGGGGGCTTATCAGGCGCGGCTTCAGAGGGCGGTACTTGCCCCAATTTATTATTTTCAAACTCACAATTTCACTCCTTTTATCAACAGGGGCCCAAAACTGGAATTCTTTTAATATTTTCATTGCTTAAAACAATTTGTCCAATTTTTTCAAACCATCCCTCTTACAGATGTGAGCCCTTCTGCCAGGGCTGTGATAAAGGAACCTGCCAGTCTCCTGGCCGTTGCATCTGTTCCAATGGCCACCAGCTAGACAAAAAAACCAACAACTGCATTCCCCAATGTGCCAGTGGTTGTCCCAATGGCAAATGCATAACGCCTAACAAGTGTGCGTGCAACCAAGGATACACGTTGAATGACACCACCCAGGTGTGCATGCCCACCTGCAACGATAACTGCAAGAGAAACAATGGGTTCTGTGCTGCGCCCAATCTTTGCCAGTGTAATAAAGGTTACGTTCCAAAACCCAATTCAAAATCGTTTGCCTGCCAACCCGTCTGCGAAAGTGGCTGTGAAAATGGCGTTTGCCGAGCTCCTGGAGTCTGCGAGTGCAATAAATTTTATCGAAAAGATGCTGATAAGAACTGTGCTCCCATCTGCGATGAAGGTTGCCTAAACGGAAAATGTACCGCACCAGACGTATGCACATGTATGGCGGGATACACGAAAATCGGGGACAATGTCTGCGTTGCCATTTGTACGGCGGGTTGCAAGAACGGAGTCTGCGTGGCGCCGAATGTTTGCTCGTGCGACGCAGGGTACGAAATGCGCGAAGATGTATGTACTCCAGTATGCAAGGATGGTTGTGAGAACGGATCCTGCGTGGCGCCCGGCGAGTGTTCTTGCAACGAGGGATACGTCAAGTTAGGAAACAAGTGTGTTCCCGATTGTAAAGGCGGCTGCAAGAACGGATTTTGTGCCTCTCCAGGAAAGTGTTCTTGTAATAAAGGATACAGCAAGGAATCGAATTCTACTTGCTCACCAGTTTGCACGAAAGGATGCGAGAATGGCTTCTGTGCTTATCCAGAGAAGTGTTCCTGCAATAACGGATATGAAATGGATAGTGGCAGTGAGAACAGGTGTGTTCCAGTGTGCACAGGTGGATGCGAGAACGGATACTGTGCTTCTCCAGAAAAGTGTTCCTGCAATAACGGTTTTGAAATGGAAACTGGAAGTGAGAACAGCTGTGTTCCAGTGTGCACAGGTGGATGCGAGAACGGATACTGTGCTTCTCCAGAGAAGTGTTCCTGCAATAACGGATTTGAAATGGAAAGTGGTAGTGAGAACAGGTGTGTTCCAGTGTGCACAGGTGGATGCGAGAACGGATACTGTGCTTCACCAGAAAAGTGTTCCTGCAATAACGGATTTGAAATGGAAAGTGGTAGTGAGAACAGGTGTGTTCCAGTGTGCACAGGTGGATGCGAGAACGGATACTGTGCTTCTCCAGAAAAGTGTTCCTGCAATAACGGTTTTGAAATGGAAACTGGAAGTGAGAACAGCTGTGTTCCAGTGTGCACAGGTGGATGCGAGAACGGCTTCTGTGCTTCTCCAGAAAAGTGTTCCTGCAATAACGGATTTGAAATGGAAACTGGTAGTGAGAACAGGTGTGTTCCAGTGTGCACAGGTGGATGCAAGAACGGATACTGTGCTTCTCCAGAAAAGTGTTCCTGCAATAACGGTTTTGAAATGGAAACTGGAAGTGAGAACAGCTGTGTTCCAGTGTGCACAGGTGGATGCGAGAACGGCTTCTGTGCTTCTCCAGAAAAGTGTTCCTGCAATAACGGATTTGAAATGGAAACTGGTAGTGAGAACAGGTGTGTTCCAGTGTGCACAGGTGGATGCGAGAACGGCTTCTGTGTGTCTCCAGAGAAGTGTTCCTGCCATAGCGGATTTGAAATGGAAAGTGGTAGTGAGAACAGGTGTGTTCCAGTGTGCACAGGTGGATGCGAGAACGGATACTGTGCTTCACCAGAAAAGTGTTCTTGCAATAACGGATTTGAAATGGAAAGTGGTAGTGAGAACAAGTGCGTTCCAGTGTGCACAGGTGGATGCGAGAACGGCTTCTGTGTGACTCCAGAGAAGTGTTCCTGCCATAACGGATTTGAAATGGAAACTGGAAGTGAGAACAGGTGTGTTCCAGTGTGCACAGGTGGATGCGAGAACGGATACTGTGCTTCACCAGAGAAGTGTTCCTGCAATAACGGATTTGAAATGGAAAGTGGTAGTGAGAACAGATGTGTTCCGGTATGCACAGGTGGATGCGAGAACGGCTTCTGTGCTTCTCCAGAAAAGTGTTCCTGCCATAACGGATTTGAAATGGAAACTGGTAGTGAGAACAGGTGTGTTCCAGTGTGCACAGGTGGATGCGAGAACGGATACTGTGCTTCACCAGAGAAGTGTTCCTGCCATAACGGATTTGAAATGGAAACTGGTAGTGAGAACAGGTGTGTTCCAGTGTGCACAGGTGGATGCGAGAACGGATACTGTGCTTCTCCAGAGAAGTGTTCCTGCCATAACGGGTATGAAAAGGAAAGTGGTAGTGAGAGCAGGTGTGTTCCAGTGTGCACAGGTGAATGCGAGAACGGATACTGTGCTTCTCCAGAAAAGTGTTCCTGCAATAACGGTTTTGAAATGGAAACTGGAAGTGAGAACAGGTGTGTTCCAGTGTGCACAGGTGGATGCGAGAACGGATACTGTGCTTCACCAGAGAAGTGTTCCTGCAATAACGGATTTGAAATGGAAACTGGAAGTGAGGACAGATGTGTTCCAGTATGCACAGGTGGATGCGAGAACGGATACTGTGCTTCTCCAGAGAAGTGTTCCTGCCATAACGGGTATGAAATGGAAAGTGGTAGTGAGAACAGGTGTGTTCCAGTGTGCACAGGTGGATGCGAGAACGGATACTGTGCTTCACCAGAGAAGTGTTCCTGCAATAACGGATTTGAAATGGAAACTGGAAGTGAGAACAGATGTGTTCCAGTATGCACAGGTGGATGCGAGAACGGATACTGTGCTTCTCCAGAAAAGTGTTCCTGCAATAACGGATTTGAAATGGAAAGTGGTAGTGAGAACAGATGTGTTCCAGTATGCACAGGTGGATGCGAGAACGGCTTCTGTGCTTCTCCAGATAAGTGTTCCTGCCATAACGGATATGAAAAGGAGAGTGGTAGTGAGAACAGGTGTGTTCCAGTGTGCACAGGTGGATGCGAGAACGGATACTGTGCTTCTCCAGATAAGTGTTCCTGCCATAACGGATATGAAATGGAAAGTGGTAGTGAGAACAGGTGTGTTCCAGTGTGCACAGGTGGATGCGAGAACGGCTTCTGCTTTTCTCCAGGCACTTGCAGTTGCAATGATGGTTTCTTCTTGTCTGAAGAAACGGGACGTTGTCTGCTCGATATGACAGAACGCATGACGGCAAACTGTGAACAGATATGTTGGAATGGAACCTGCCTAGAAGGAATGTGCACGTGTGAGGAAAATTACAAGCTGCACCAAGCTGAAGAGGATAATCAGAGGCTTTTATGTCTGCCAATATGTGACCCCGTATGCATCAACGGATACTGTGAAGCGCCAGGGACCTGTAGCTGTTTTGGTGGTGGAAGTCCTGAAAATGGATATTTTTGCCAATTTATGGATTTATTCGGCGCATTGGAAACATCCCCCAATAAGGGCAATACCGTTGAGCATTTGAAGTGGTTATTTATTACGACCGGTATTATAGCCTTTTTCTTGGCTGTGGTGATCGCCATGATGATGATGTATATTTTCAAAAAACGCAGCTACTATGTGGACAAAAACGGTAAACTTTAGTTATTATCATAGCTCTTTGAAAACTTTATTGATTTCCTATTTTTACAGAAAGGAAATTGGGCGTCTATTTTTCTCGGAATAAAGTGGATATAATTCGAGCGTGATCTTAAACTAAAAACCATTAATATTCTCATTATTCATTAAAGGTTATAAATATGCTTTAGAAACTGTATGGTAGTTTTTTTCCGATTTTATTTTATGAAACAACTTAATAACTTACAACGAAATTTAATGGCGTTCTGTGGATGAACAACGTGCTATGTCACTCAACTATTCTTGGTACCAACTGCCTCCTTTGGACCATACAGTTGCTGAGGAGTTGGTATGTCTTCTACAAAGAAATTGGCTGGTATGAGGTGGAAAACCGTGGACATTACATCATAGAGGATGTTCTCGACCGTTTCAACGATTAGTGGCTTTAGAGCCTCGTAGAAATCACGCCAGTTCTCGTTGAAAAACTCATTTGTACTACGCTCAACCTCCTTGCTGCGACCATTAAATAGGTTGTCCAGGTAAGTTCGCACCTTGGTCAGGTTCAGTTGGACACGCACAGCGGTCACGTTGTCGAAGGTGAAGCCGCCCTTTTCATACAGACGGGTTTTTGTTAGTAGCAAAATGTCAAGATCATCTGTGGGAATATTTGCGAGAATGTTACGTAAGATAATAATTGTAGATATTATTATTTAAATTCAAAGCTTGGTTACCGATTTCTATGAAGATTTTGCCAGAGCCACTAAGCGGTATGAGCAGTATACGTCCTGCCATTTCGTATTTGCCATCCAATCTCATTTTCGGAAGAAATATTTTGGTCTGCCAGCCAAAGTCTTTCTTGCTGACACTGAATGCAAAAATAGAAAGATCTGATTATACTCAGAATAATTTTAATTGACTGTGTATCTACCGACTCTCCTTTACAATTGTTTTGGAAAATCCCTTGACCACCAACTCGGTCAGATTGGCTCTGATGGTGGCCACTTCGTTGTTATCCTGCTTGAAGACTATATCTCTCACTCGCATGGGATCGAAGGGACCGAACTTCTCTACCACCTCTGGTATTCCAATGTTCAACTGATCGAGAAGCTTCTGGATGCTATTAGTGGAGCACTTGGTGAAGCCCGGCTCGTAGATCCGACAAGATGGCAGAAAGGCAGCTGGGAAATTGTGATTGTGTTCCCATGGAAAGGATCTTGGTCTGTTGGGAGATATACTTACGCTTCTCTGTGTAGTAGGCAACTGCTGAAACCATCACCATGTCCGAGGCGATCTTGTTTAGGCACAATAGTGCTATTAGTCCACTCCAAATGCTGAGCAATCTGCGACCATGGCGCGTGCTGTTCATGCTGCCGTACTTGCGAATTGTCTAATAATTAAGTGGTTAAGTATCTTAGTAACCAGAATCTGTATCTGCGACTGGGACAACCGCTGCTCAGTCACATCAAACGGTGTCACGGTGGAGAACCGACTAGCCGGCGGCTGGCTGCGGCCCGGCGTTTTATTCTCAACTGCCAAGATCCGAGATTCAAGATCCGAGTTCTAAGATCCGAGCTCTCATATAAGGTAACGACTTACAGCAACTTAATGATGCCGGGGCCAAGTGCAACTCATTTTGCTTAATTTAATTACATTTTATTTCATCTATTTCCTGACTTTATAAGCGAATATAAAAATTATTCTTTGTCTAAACCGACAAAAAATATGAGTTTGCGTTTCAAGAAAATCTAAAAATATTTGAGAGCTTGAAATAATTATGAAGTAAATTAAGTCATCTCGCTTTGAGACTATAAACTTCGTTTTAATAGGTAAACATAAATTTAACAAACCAACATATTTTTCAAATCTTATTTATTTTAATATGAAGATAGGTCACAGTTTCTTTCTGTGTAGTCTTTAGTGGAAATCTTTGATCAAATACGTGGCTGGCACATATATAAATGTCTTCTTGAATCGATCCAAGAGCACACCGCTAACAGTTTGCTCCACAGCAGGACGCAGGACCTCATAGAAATCACGCCAGTTCTCGTTGAAAAGAGTGTGGGCTGTGTCCTCCAGATCCTTGTTGCCGCCAAACAGATTTTCCAGCTTTATGCGGAATTGCTTAATCTCACGGAACGAAGCTTTAACATTCTGCACATCCGCGAATATGGCTTCTGGTGTACTCAGGGGCTTGACAGCCATTTCCAAAAAAATCAAAGCATTTTCTGGAATGAAATGATCTTTAGATAATAATTCTAAAATAATATAAAGAAACTTCTTACCAGCTTCGAAATAACCGGTGCCATGTCCATTGAGGTTAAGGGCCACAACATGTCCCTTAACTTTGTAATCGAAATTGAATCGCATCTTAGGAACGTTGATCAAAGCCTTGGCCACATAGTGATTGGGATCCCAACTGAGTGATATATAATTCAAAAATAAATACAGCTAATGCTTATGAGACAACTAACCTGGCTTCCTTGACCACCGCTTGGCCAGCACCTGCAACATAGACTTCCTTCAGGTCGGCATTAATGGCTATAGCCCTGTTGGCATCCTGCGCGAACTTAACTCTCTTGATATAGAGGGGATCAAAGGATCCCACAGCATTGTTGCCAGGTATGCCATCCTTCCACTGACGGAAGAAAGTCTGGAAATTGCTGGTCAGACAGCCATTGAAGCTGGCATCGCCCACAACACAAGGAGTAAGGAAGTCGGCTGAAGATAATAACATGGATTAAAATAAAAACAAGATGTAGATTCAGCACTTTATATTTATAAAATAATTTGAGAAATTTTCTAACTCCTAGTTTTTCTCACGTTTCTCGGCCAAATATTTGGCTCCTTCGACTGTTGCAAGGAGAACCGAGAAAAGGCTCAGGAACTTGGCCACTTTTATGAGCATCTCGTTGGTTTTATTCCAAAAATGGATGACTAGAACTGTTTGCTTTGAATGCACTGATTAAAATGACGATTCTGGCCGGTCTCCGGTAATTTTATTCGAAATGGACAGCTTAAATGTACAACTTTTAAAATCATTTCTTTGTTTTGACGTTTTATATATATTTAGTTTATTTATTCCTGCTCTGTTTTTTGGTACAATTAGTAAGTAAACGAGTTTGTCCGCATTAGACTGGTTGTGGTCGTACAGGGTGCCTTAATCATTCGAGTCATCTGATACGATACCCTAACCCGAAAATGCATTAAACTTGACATTATTACTTAGCCTTTGCCTCGGCGACGACTCAATTTCCAGTTGTAAGAAGCAGAAGTCATATATAACTGCCTTTATATACGTACATCTATATACTACACTTATCTAGATATTCTAGACACTGATTACTTTCGCTGAAGTTCAACTGGTTCTACAAGACCATTAAAAAGTGTTAGCTCACTGTGACGACTGTCAACTGAGTGCTGCCTGAGTTATTTGCCTTTATAGATCTCCCTTAAGAAATTAATTTTTTTTATATAAATCATGGATATTACTTTTGCAAACTACTTTTGCATAGATGCATACTTAAATGAAGAAAAGAAGCCAGGCGAATGTGTTTAGTTGCATGCAACCATGACCAAGGTCTGCGGCTCTTGGGTTAACGAACTCGTGGTTTTGTGTTTACTTAAATTAAGTTTATGCACAGAAAACAAATGTTTATGTACATAAATTATTTATTGAATTCTTTTTTTCCGTAGTTAAGTTACACAATCATACGGAATTTATATGTTATTTAAGCATTACCTCATAATATAATTCCCACATACTTACTTATTAAAAATAAGCATAATTTCTGGCTGTGTATATAAATGTTATTAAGCTGGATAAACGTCACACTGTCAAAAATCCCCAAAAGTGTTTGAATAAATTAAATAATCTAATGTAGGTGGACAATTGACGCCGTTTCGATTGCGGTTCTGGGATTTTAGATACTTATTTTTACCTTACTTTACCTGTTGTATGGGAATAAAACAAACAAGACAAGACAAGATTTAAATTGCTTCTAAAAATCTTACTTTCAGGTCTTTTAACTCTACTAATCGTAGCACATAAAAAATCATAAGAAAACTAGCAAGAAATCATCGCCTTTTTTTGGCATGTCTTTGACGTAATAACAGCAACCAGTTTTCTTATCCAAAGTATTGACTAGGTCAGTATACCAGCATTTAAGTTTTCGTATTGCTTTCTTTCTCTTAACCCACAAGTGTGAATTTTGACAGCCTAGGAGAAATGGCCAAATCCTTTGTCAAATTGCTTGTTGTGGTTGCAGATTGTTGTTATTTTGCTCATTGCATTTAGCTGGGAGCAAGGTGTCTGGTCAGGTAAACGCAGTCGATTAGCAGCTGAGGGGGAATTGTCTTGCATAATTGGAATGCCTAACAAGTGCAACACTTCCGCACCTTTCAGTATTGGCATTTCGTTCTTTTCTGGATTGCAGTTTTCAGTGATGGCTAAGGTACTTTTTGGAGTCTAATCTAATCATAGATTTATGTCAGTCAATATAATTATAGCAGATTAAACTAAGTATAACTACTGCATCTTATGTAATCTATAAGCTATACAAGACTTTTCTCAAATCTCTACTGAATAATGTACCCAGATTTCGAAAGAATAGGTACCTAGTTCGCATCACTGGTGATTCTCTGATCTCATTGCGTATGCGTGAGTGTTGCGGTCTGGAAGCATAAATTGCTGGCCAAGAATTCGAATAGTAGACGACGTTAACAACCTGATTGAAAAACGCTTCTCGTCGACCACGTACATTACCTGTAGAGGTGAGTGAGTGGGTATATCGTTCATGTACTCACGCCCAGCTGGCTGCCGACCGCTTTCGATTTCTATGCTGCATTCCAAGCCAAGTTGAATCGGTTCTCGGATCGGGAGCTCGGGTCTCTGGTCTCCGGTCTCGGTTAGCGTTTTCGGTTTCTGATCGCAGCTGATCGCCAGATCCAGAGACTTCGGCCCCACTTCAGCTCGAAGCTTTATTTTCAGCCATGGTTATATGCCCCGCTCCTGGCCCGCTTTTGCAAAATGTTGGTTGTGGTATAAAAAGCGTTGCACGCCCTGATTTTCTTTTGAGTTTGTCGTTTCGATTCGCAGAGTCTCGAGTGCAAGTGCAGAGCGTGTTTTCCATTTTGGCAGTGCATTACTTATACAGAGATTGGTGAAAACGGTTCGACATTGATTATTGATTCTAAACTTGGCAGAATGATGAAATTGGTAAGATGCGGCAAGGTCGTTGGAAGTGTGACATCCCAAGACTCAATTTTAATGATATCGCAAATGCAAAAGGTGTTTTCAGAATTTGCGCAGTGAATTTTTAGAATGCAATTTAGCCAACCGGTTTCGCTGTGGGTCGATTAGATCAGTGTCTATGATAAAAAGTAACTTAATTGCTGGTTTATTAGTCAGCCATGTCCTTGAGTGAATGTTTGCGTATGCGCACTGATAATCAGAGCAACTAATTGAGGTGCTTAGCCGAAAGTAACGCAATAAAAGCAAACTAAAGTTCATTTGTAATTGTAGCCTTTAGAGCTGGGTGTGACTGGAAATAGTGATTAAGATATTAAGATATGCAAATGATTTCAGTCTTTGTTTAGCTCTTTGTTTTCATTTTGCAGCCCTTAAGCTTGGCGATTCTGCTGTTGGCGGCCCACTGTGCGTATGCGCAACATCAGGACTACACCACTCCGGTGCCGATTCTCAAGCAGATCGACAAGCACAACGACGATGGTTCCTACACTTATGGATACGAGGCGGCGGACAAGAGTTTCAAGATCGAGACCAAGTACGCCAACGGAGAGGTCTATGGAAAGTATGGCTATGTGGATGACCAAGGCAAAGTGCGGGAGATCGAGTACGGAGCCAGTAAGCGTGGCTTTGATCCCGCTGGCAGCCACATCAATGTGCCACCTCCGACTTTGACTAATAGTAACCCCTACCCATTGGGACCCAATGAGCTGGATGACGGTCAGTATCGCGAGGATCCAGCGGTGTACTACAAGGATCAGAAGTTCAATCGCCCCCTGTCACCTGCCAGTAAATTCAGCTTGAATGATTTTGGACGTGGTCAGCAGCAGGCCTACGCCCCGCCCCCACAACAACCCGCTCCTCAGAGACCCTACTACAATCCCGCACCTCAGTACTATAACCCCCCGTCTCCGCAGCCCCGTTACTATCAGCCTCCTGCCCAGAACTACTATAATCCACAGCAGCAGCAACCGTATAGGGGTTTGCCTGAGCAACACCATCCGTCTCTTCGTAACCTGAACCTCTACACGGGTTCCTATAGCATCGATTATACGGGCCGGAAGTAGGGAGGACCTTTTGGAGGGGGGATCACCTTTGAGTTGGACCAGAGAGTCAGCGACTGAAGTGTCCGAGGACAATGTCAACTTGTTACTGCCAAAAAAATCAGTCACTCCGCACACCCCACATATATCTATTAATGTCCACTGTTTATATATGTTTTTGTATGTGTGTAATAAATCGAGTTTCAAGACCTGAAGCGTTTACAGAGAAAACCAAAGTGTTTTTGAAATCAAACGGTATTGGAATTTAATTTTAATGTTTATAATGAAACATCAAACGAAGTTGTAGATAATCAATATCTTTTCCATCCACAGTAAGCTTGTTCCGGATGAAAAATGAAATAATAATAATAAATGTTAGTTATTAAAATTCATTGAATGGCTCCCTAATTATTCTCAGTGCTCAGAAGTATTTCAAATATCTGTTTTGGCATTCAATTTAGCCAACTACCAGGTTCCGCTTCAATAAAGCCGCCCCGCAACAGAAATTGTAGCAAAATCAAGCCGAATGGAATAAAGGCAAAGAGCCCAGCAAGTGGCCAATAATCGTTAGGCCATTACGTCAACACAGAATGATCGAGCAAAACCAAAAACTACAACACGTACTGTGGCCAATTCAGATAGAAAACCAAAGTGGATTTGCCGTTGACTGGAATTTGGTGCACTTATGCAATGTGCTGGCCCCAAACCACTTTCAAATGCACTGCCACCAACGACCGACCAGTTGGCCATAAGCTATAGGCTATGGCTATATCTATGGTCTATGTGCTGGGTGCTGGGTACTGGAACTTGGAGCCACTGCCTTTGTCTTTTGGGTGTGTATGGACTACCAGTGCTGGGCAGCAGTGGTTGAAGGCTTGGATTGCTGGATAATTGGAAGTCACCCTCGGAACAATAGTCAAACAGAGAGGTTAAATTACTGAGATACTTATCAGTTCGTTAGCTTTAATGGTCTTTTAATTATGTAATATAATTGAATATAGATTTTAGTTATTTGAGGCTTTTGAATTCATTTAAATTCGTGATCACTAGTTTCTGAAAACTTCATGGAAATATTTTTTGATTTTTAAACTGAAGCTTAAAATGAAATATATGTTAAAGAGTTAAAATGCATTAAAATTTAATTCAATTTCACCAACATAATTTTTTTTTCTTAGTATTGCCTAATACCGTGTAAGCTAGCCAGGTCAGAAATTCAAAACGTTTTCCAGGCTGCACCATTGAAGAATCAAGACCAGACTGCACCTCTTAAAAAGCAGTGCACAAACACACATTACAAGTTTGGAATTATTTGTATATTTTCAGCATTTATATAATTTTGCTGAGCAAAACTGCGAAACTGGTCTGCTGCTGCTGCTGGGGCGTTGGCATGACTCAAGAATTTCCTGAAAAATTGTCTGCTTTGTTATGGCTGACTTGTTAACAGCTGCTGCATTTACTACATTTGCCACATTTTCTGCAGCAGCTGAGGAGGCAAACAGTCGTAAGTATGGGATTGTTATGGTTTCCATTCAAAAATGGGTTTGCGTCGAGGCGACTCCCATAAGTCGAGTCCTTCTTTTCAATTCTCCAATTCCTTTTGCACTTTATTGTATTGAATGCTTTTGGAGCTATGGCCAAGGTTGGTCCCCAGTTGCAGTACAAGAAAGAACCTTTCCAGTAAAGAATTTTAACGATAATTTAAATTGAAAGCTTGCAAAGATGACTTAACTATATATTTATTTATTATTAAATAATATTAAAAGCATGAATTATATGTCTAAAAACATTAATTTTAAATCGAAAAGAGTATTCAAAATCCGTTTTTTACTTTCCGATTTTTTTCGCGAACTCTTTCGACCTTGATCATGCCAGTGCGTCTACGCATGATAGCAAGTTCAGGTGCACGCCCATTTGCCCCACAGCCCGCTTCCCACGAACTGATGCCGGACAGAAACTAGTCTTTAATGTGATACGTTGAGTAAAAAAGTGGCAGGGAAGGAAAAAAATAACAATCACACGCACTTGAAGACTGGAAATCGCCCTGCGTCATGGGCGGCTTTTGAAGGAGATATAGTAAACAGCAAAGGGGGTGACCCAGGGGTAGACAATTGTTGACGGTTTCCTGGTCTGGTATGTGGTGCAGTGGCCAACCAGTTTTGAACTGAACTATCACCATCCCGCTATTGCTTGCATTTCTGAGTGGTCCATGCGGTTGTTCAGCAATAACGGAGTGCTACTCGTGGTGGTGTGTCATTAATTCCATAGGAATGACTACGGCAAGGCCATTTCCAGTGGCTGCAGAATAGTGCAGGCGAAGGTGTGGAGTGCAGCTAACACTCTTAAAAGTGACACGTTGCCTGGTTCTGATTCCGTCATAAAATAACATTCTTTGACATAACGCATACGCACTGTTGGTCCATTGAAACAAACATGACAATAAATTCTTTAGATGTTTAACCGCAGGCTATTTGTTTTGGTTTATAAATTGATTTATTAATAGAGCTTTTATTTATTTATAAGCCTTTATATGTTTCCATAACTTTACTTGTATTTCTGTGCTTGTAGACAAGTTATTACTAGTTTATTTTAGAAGTATTTTTGACAGATTAATCTTTGAAACTGGACTGTGTTAATATAGGTAATAAAATCACTGAAAAACACGATGAAGGTCATGTCCCAAAGGGACCACCCAACTGGCCAGCTTGGGAGGATTGGCATTTACCGGCGTTTCAATTTGCAACACTTCATTTCACTTTGTCGGCTCGTTCATTCATTAGCCACGCGGCCTGACGACTTTGCTTCATTTTTTTACAATTTATGGGCCTCACAGTTTTGATTAATTGTCCGTGGATGTGGATGGCCACATCCCAAATGGGGCTAGTTGCCATAGCGCACGGAAGGTCGGGGCTGTAGTTAAAGTACTACCATGGTTTTGAAAGTAATTTGTTAAATTTATTAGATTTATTAAATAGTTACCTGGTATTTAATGAAAAGAAGAGGGCGACTTAGCTTGCATTACTGAGAAATTTGATGAAAACTTGAAACCGAACAGAAATTCTTCCAAATTGTTAAGCGGAACTGGAGTTTTTGAAAGTAATCTTAAATATATTTGTTGTTTACTGAAAATTACATTCATTTGTTGAACTTAAAGCAAAAATTGTGTGTCAACGACTGTAAACGAATCAAAGCTATAATTAAGTTATTTTCTTTTAATATAGCCATTCTTGGCCATTCCTGTGATGGTGGCCAAGAAAAGCTCGCCAAAGCACAGAGAGAACTCCCGTGAAGTCTCTATCTCAAGCTCGGTCAAGCTCTGCAGCCTCTCTCTCTCTATATATCTCCATATCTTTTTCTCCAGAGAAACGCTTCCACTAGCGACTGCTCTCCGTCCTTTCGTTGGTGAAGTTTTGTGGTGCTGTGGCCATTGGTGTGGTTCAGTGGTGCAGCGGTGCGGCGGGGCCAGGGGTCTTTGGTCCGTTATGGGAGAGGTAAAAAGGTTTTCCGCGATCGGTATATAAAGCGAAATACAACAACCTGGGCGGCTCAGTTACCGTCGGTCCCAAGTTAATACTCCACGCGATCTCCAACGAAGTCGGTCCGAAGATTTGGCTGATTTGCCCGAGATAGTCACCCGGTTCATTAGGGGATTTGGAATTGGAATTGAAATTGAAAGTGCTTTGTTGTCTTCGACACTCGATATTCAGCTGGGTGTTGCCAGCGAAGGCCTTTTGCGATTGCATTCAGGGTTTAATCGATTCGAAATAGCTGGCCCCACAAAAGCCAATCAGCGGATACAATCCAACATGAAAGTGGTATGTGAGTGGGTGGATATACATATACCTATATATATCGGTGGGTGGAAAATACCAAAGGTCGTTCGAGAGCCTGAATGCGTGGCTGTAAAAGGGGGTGTACTATTATATATGTATTATCCCTAGATATATGGATGGGAGGTACTGATCTGGAAACTTACGTCATCGCCATTGCGGCGACTGTTGTGCAAATATCGCATAATTTGCTATGCAAATCGAGCTAACCGTTAATTTGCTCCCAGCCCCAATCTCAATTGTTCAGCTTGGCTACAAGCGACATTTTCCAGCTCTTTGTGCCCGATCCAGTCAACCAATCCAATCCACTTGGCACCCAATTTGGTAACTGGATTTTGACATAATTTATGAACGACGCAGCTTCTTGAGAAAAAAAAAGTTGCAGGAACTTCAATCAGCACAAGTTGCACTAACAAGCTCGCTTCAGCCGCATAGTTCACCCCCTTCCAGTCCAGCGTGAAAATATCAAAGGCAAACTTGTGGCTCAGTTCACACGCGGCAGTCAGCTTTTTGGTCAGTTTCTGTCTGGTTTCGATGCACTGGGTCCCCCGAGCATGTCGTGGCCTGGATGTATCTCTATCTCTATCTGTATCTGTACCTGTATCTAACAGCCTGTCTGTCCACATGTCCGCGCCAAGGCTGCGGCACATGGAGCCTAGATGGTGAAAGGTTTTGGCATGCGGAATGCTCCAAACCAAAGTCCGAAATGCTAAAAAGGAGTAAAAGCCAGATAAACCAGAGTTTGATTCTGGCTATCATGGAGCGCTTTATCTGTTTTCTTTGTCAGGATGATAAATCCCCCTACTAATCAATGGTAATAACCACCTTAATGTTAAAGAGGAGTTACCATAGCGGCTTTAAAACCAGAAAATTCTCGAAACTTAAAGAAAATGTTATGAAATGGAAAGATGTATTGATTTACATATTCTTTTATTTACTTATTTTATAATTATTACAAAAAGAAATTGAATAACTTATTTATGCAAAGTTTAAAAGTCATAGAGCTGCGTTATAAAAACGATCTCTTCCTCTCCCTTTGACTGCTTCAAAAAAAAAAAAAATTTCCCGCAAATTTCTTTGGCATTTGCATGCCGCGAATGCATCTGATAGCTGCCGCAGTTGCATACTTGCAACACATTTTGGCAAGTGTGGGAACTTTTGCCAGCTTCCCATACATAATTTGTGCGGCTGCCTCTTTTGGGTTTTTTCTCCCCCTCCGAATTTGCTGCCGGATTACCCAATTGCAGCTGCGATGTGTGCACTGTGTGGGAGTCATGGGGCTGGCCACCACCGATAATTGGCATTCCCCTGCTCCTTTGCTGGGATCTTCATTCCCGGCAGCATTTCTCCACGCCACCGCTGGGCATTCAATTAATCCCAACAAGACCTATCCAGCTGAGCTGCCATATCGCGTGTCACTGGGATTGGGATTACAGCTGGGCTCGGCCTTTATGCAACTACTGCACTGGGGAAAAAACCTTTTAAAACCTCCGTTCGTTATTTTAGGATTGTTATTTGACTGAATTAGGTAAACATTAATATTATTTAATTTGGGTTTTAATTAGTTGGTGTCATTAAAATAGAGTGACATTCGCTTTATAAAATAGAAAGTTGTCGAATATTTAAGTTCTTTCACTTCTACCCAAAGGTGCTATTAACATACCAAGCCCTACTTTTGTTTATAAATAAAATCAAAGTTCTGAAATGCCTTTCTTAATCGAACGCTTTAAGGTGTTCTTTTTTTATGTTTTTTAATCTTTCCTAAAATGTTTTCTTGAGACAATTGAAAACATTTTTTTGAGTGCATGTAACTGAATCCGGGGTATCGGTTCCTGCTTGGCATTGAGGGTGTCATTGGCCGGCGGAAAAGTGAAAGGCAGCCTGACTTAAGACTTTTGTAGACATCGTCGGCGTCTGGCATTCTTGGCACCACTCAGACACTGATGCACTGTCAAGGTGTTCTGCTGGCAAGAGGCGAGGTGGAAATCCAACCTTTCTGATGGACGGGGTGCAATTAGCAAACTGGTTGCCTATTAAACACGACAGATTTATACCTAATTTTACCATATCACCAGCTCAAATTCATTAATATATCTTTTAGATACAACGCGTGCTCTTTGTCGGCTTCCTTTTAGTGGGAGTAGGAATGGTGATGTCTCAGGACTATCAGGACTACCAAGAGAACACACCAAGGACGGCTCCACTTCGCCTGCGCGCAAATTCCGCTCCTGCCCGCGCCGAAGCGCCACGGGCCGATCCGGTGGCCATTCTCAAGCAGATTAACAAGTGAGTACCAAATAATTTATATCATTGATCAGTTTATATTAAAATACCTCTTTCAGGCACAATGAAGATGGCTCTTACACTTATGGCTACGAAGGTGCCGATGGATCTTTTAAGATCGAGACCAAGTTGGCTACCGGGGAAGTCAAGGGCAAGTACGGATATGTTGATGAGACCGGAAAGGTGAGAGTAGTGGAGTACGGAGCCAACAAGTACGGATTCCAACCATCGGGTGAAGGCATTACAGTGGCACCACCCACGTTGGTGGATGAAACTGCCAAGGAGGAACCAGATTACGCAGATGAGCCGGTACCACAGCGTCCTCAGAAACCCTATGTAAGTTGGCAGTGCTAGATAATCCAATCAATTATTTGATTACACTAATATTTTGTAGCGTGTTCAGCGTCCCCAGCCACGCCCACAGCCACAGCCACGCCCCCAGCCTCAGCCTCAACCGCAGTATGTGCAATACGAAGAAGAGGAGGAGCCACCACGTCGAGTTCAGTATGCCCCACCACCTCAGCCACAGCCTCAACCGCTGCCGCAACCACAACCGCACCACCAGCCTTCCGTGGGTCCTGCACCTCCAAGAATCCAAGTTCCTGGCGCTCAGCGGACCACTGATGTTTTGTACTCACCGCTGCAGCGTCCAGCTCGTCCGGAACCGGATTACTCGCAATCGCAGAGTTTTGGTGATGGTCCTTCGAACGTGCGGATTTCCCGACCCGTTTATGCCCTTCCCCCTGCTTCACCTGCTCCGAGCAGTGCACGGGCTCAGGGATTCCTGGCCCCCGCTTCCGGAGGACGTCCACTGCTGGAACCGGTGGGTTTCGGCCCAACACAGGGACCCATCGCTCGTCCTGTGCAACAGCAGCCGAGTTACCAGCCACAGCCGCAACCACAGTCTCGTAGTGGTGGAGGCGGTGGCTCGGGATTGCTGGATCAGTTAGCCCGGGACTATGCCCTGCCTCAGGGAAATGCCCAACCCCTGCACGACATCACCTTTGGCTACTACTGAGCTAGAGTTTGAGAGGTGGTTGCAGTCCCCATCCTCCTAAATAACCCAGAGATTCCTTGCTTCTAGGTCCTAATAGCACAGGTGTGCCCTGTCCCCGAGATTTTCTAAGCGATAATAAAAATTCCCTATTAATAAATTAAATGATTTCCGGTATAGATTTTATTACTTATAAGTCATTTGCGAAATCTTGCAGAAATGTGGCCTACTTTCGGGCTCTAAACTACTCAAAATTTGAACAGATAAAAAAGATTCATAAAATAAATTTTTTTATCTTATAATCACAATAAATTTGTTTGAAATATATGCAAATATATATTTTTTCTCAATTGGTTAATCTACGATCAGTTCAGTTTTTATTAAATTAGTTTTACGTGGACTATTAGAATCGCTCTGAGTCTACGTAAAGTTAAACCGCATTTACATGAACGATACACGTCGTTTTCTACTTCTTGGAGCATACTTTTGGGCTCAAAATGCTTACAAGCATGGAATATCCCGACCATACGGTAAGAGTCATGAATTGTATTCAACGATTTATTTAATTTAAATACTTAAACTTAAGATGGGGAAGTTCAATCAATGCGAACTGCAGTTCTGGGAAGAGAACGGGTTCTTCAGATCAGAAATGTATATAGAATGATAGGGAGTGACAGCAAATAGATTCGGAATAGGCAGGAACGGTTTGACTAACTCTAGGATACGTGGAGATGGACTGTGCTGTAAACGAAATAGGCGTGGTCCACAGCTTCCTCATCGTCCTCTACTGTTGGTAGACTGCAAAGAGATCGATGAGAGGTGAGAAAAGGGTTCCCGATTCTATACTTGAGTGGTGCAACAGCGCAGGAAAGTGGGTGTGCGAGAGGAGAAAGTGGATGATTGGTGGTGCTGGGTATATTTTTCTGTAGCATGCTGTGCTTAAATTTTTGGATGCAATATTTTTGGCTCGCTTTATTGCAAACCTAATTTGGGAAGCTCAATAAATAATTAATTACGATTAATGATTGCGATAACGAGAACATAAATAAGTTATAGGTAAATGCTGAACATGACTTAGAGGGCTATAAGCTAAGGACTACAGGCTATCCGGTTAGACCTCCAAAAGGCGATTGAACATCAGAGGGTCCTGTATTTCGTAGTCCTGCGGCCGAAAGACGCGCTTCGGATGCTTGCCACCGGCCACGTGGCGACGCACTTTATAACCACCGCTGTGCCCTTGGTGGCTCGGTGGTGCACTGTACACGTACTTGGACTTCTGCACCACTGGCGGAAGGTACTGGAAGTGTGGTGACTGCTTGTGCACCTGCTTCTCGATGGAGTAGACGGGTCCCGTGCCACGGCTGTTACCCTTCCGTTTGGCCACCTCCAAGGCAGCTATAATGGGCGTCAGATCCTTGAGGGCGTTACTCTTGCTGGCATGATAATTCTCCACCCTGTAATCCCCGGCAGCTTGAGGTGGTGGTGGTGCAGCTGCAGCAGGTGGTGGATAGTCGTAGCCCTCATTCGGATGCTTCTGAATGTAAAGTTCCTCAGCGGATGGACGCTTGGCCATTTGATGGTACACATCAGCGGGATTTTTAGAGGCGGGATTATAGGCAGCAGTTATGGATTCCGTGTGCGACAGGGACTCCAAGGTGCCTAGGTTATTGGGCAGCGGTAGGCCATAGCTATTATAAATCTCTGCCTGTTCCAAGCCCGTTCCCGTGGGCGCATTAGTATCCAAAGCCACTGTTTTCGAGGCAGTATACTCGGTTTTGCCATTGGGCAGTAAGCTTAGGATTTCCTGCAGCTGCAGAGCCGCTTTGCGGGCTTCCTCATCCGACAGTTTGGTGTGGCGTCCATAGATGTTAAAGTCATTGCTATTTGCACTGGCCGCTGGCGTTTGATGTGGTTGTTGGTTTGAGTGGGTGGGTGTATGTGGTTGTTTGTTGTGGAGGTGTTGTTGTTGTTGTCGAGGTGTGTATGCAATGAGTGAGATTTCATTAGATTTACCAATTTAAATATTTGCGTTTTTATGTCTGGGTATTTACAGTTTTTTGGTCGGTGTTTGTAAGAGTTTGTAAGTTAACAGAGAAAATGTATTTCCAACTTTTCATTTAGTGACTTTAAACTTAGTGTTATAATTTAAATTTCTTAAGAAATATATCTTTCTCTGCTTAGTGTGCTTGATGTTGTGTTAAATGACTTTACTTTTTTTTATACAAAATGATTGGTTTACTTTACACATTTTGTACATTCTTTGGCTGCCTTCGGGATGAGAGATTCATGATGATCACAGATGAATTCCGGTTTTAGTTTTGGTTAGCTGAATGAGGAGGAGAGTCGACAGACCGCGTTCCATTGAAGGTTTTCGCTAGACTCTTTAATGGGCCACTGACTAAATACGTGGACTATGCGCACTTTTATTAAGTATGCGACATGTGGCCACTGCAAATGGCTCCATTAATATCTGTACAATTCGCTTACGTACTATGTCTTGTTAATGGAATATGTATGTGATAGTGATTAATACATGCCTTGATGTCGATATGTACAATGAATCGATTAATGCTCGCTTGCGCAATGTGTTAAAAAATCAAATAAACTTAGTCTAGGAAATGTGTCATTGGAACACGTTACAGGGGCCTACCCGTACATTAATGCTCAGAGAGAGGTAGAGATTTCGCCTGGTGGTGTTAATATTTACAGTATTTACAATGTCTCTCTGGGATTTCAGCTTCGTCTTCACGAGTTATGAGCAACTGATGATGGGGCTTTCACTTTCTTCTCGTTGTTTGCTACGTGCGGAAATGAGATGAGGACCGAAAAAGGGCGGTGGTATAGGGAGGCAAGGCAGTTGGGTATGCAAATGAAGCTGAGTGATTTGCGATTGCAAGTTGATGAGACAAGCTAACGCCTGTCATTGTCATCTTGAGGATACTCTTGTAGAAACTTTTACATATATACATCTACAATATCCGTTTGCTTTGACACACTTTAAATTGAATTATTTCGTTAACCATTGAACTATGTAAGTCTGAACTCTTAGCCTGAGACGTAGTATTAATCAGCAACTTAACGTTCTATATAACATCATATTTACATGTTTAAAGTATCTGTACATTATAATATACATATAATATATACAATTTCATAGTTGATATGTTAGAAATGAGTTAAAAGCCAATCACCTAGTTTAGTTTAGAAGAGTATATACAGTGGAGATAATTTACATAGGACCAGGCCCCAATAGTTTAGTATTTTATACCCGCTAACTACGCACCATCTTGTCCATAGGCCGATGGCAGGTAATTGCTGGGTGGCGACTCGAAGGCCGCCGGGTGGCTAACGCTGAAGGGCGCTCCGCCGCTGTAGCTGGCACCGCCCACCGGCGGAAGATACTGGTGGGTGGCACTGCTGTAGGACGGCGGCTTCGAGGGCGGACCGTAGCTGGCGTGGCCGGTGGGTATCTCGTATGTGGTGATCGCTGCAACGAGACAAATGCGGAGACAGTCAGCCAAAATGGAACACAGACACAGAAGCCGACGGAACGAGTTGCTGGCGAAAACGAAAGTTGCCGGCCAGGTTCATTGCACGCTCCACGCTCTGATTTGGCCATTGGATCTGCGGCTAAATCGGAGCTGGGAGTTGCCTCTTCCGTTTTGGCCAGGTGGGCTGTGTTGTTTATTAGGCGGCTTAATTGTCATGCATCTAGTTCAGCGACTGCATTACATAAGAGCAAGACAATATGTTTTGATTTCACGGCCCAATGGACAATGGCATATACATTGGGATAAACATAATACTTTCGCGACCTAGTCCAATTTATGGAAAAATGAATGCCTGCACTGCACTGCATGGAAAATGTTTGTTTGTATAAATTTAAAGTGATTTGAAGGAATCTCAAACTTATAAATATTAAAAGTCTGTAAAGACATCCGAATTTATAAATATTTTTAGATACGTATCGTTGAATTTTTATTTAGAGCAACTGCATTGTTTAAACTTGAGCTGGTTTAGGTTTTAGGTTGAATTCATTTGCATGATTTTCGATTTTATTGATAAATAATTTGGAACTTTTTAGGAAATCTCTCTAGCTAATTAAGGTATTAAGTTGGAATTTACATACTTCTATTAAGCTTTTGACATAAAAATTTAATTTTCTTTCAAGAGATTCGTTATGTCTAGGTTTACTTACTCTCGTGATGCAGGACGGGAGCGGAGACGGCCTTGTGACCGCTGCTGCCGCCAGAGGAGGCACCCGACAGGGAGGTTAGCTTAGAGAACAGACCGCCGCCGCCGGAGGAGTGACTAGTGGCGTAGGTATGGGAGTTGATGTGCGCAGAGTTGATGATCGATTTGCCCACGTCGGTGACCTTGTCTCCGCCGGCGGCCACCAGGTTGCCACCCGCACTCAACGCATAGCCGCTGCCCTTGATCAGCTGACCCTTGAGTGCGGTGACCCCACCGGTGATGGCCTTGACCGCCTGGAAGATGGTGTTCAGCACGGACTTCTTGAATGACCAAGGGTCGTAGTCCACCGAGTTTCCCTGGGAACGGAGGAAGGATGAAATGGTCTTACTTGAAGTATATAAGAGGATCAATTTTCATAACCAAACATTAAAAGCTTTAAGTGTTTTAAAAATGTTAAATATTTTTCATTTGCCAAATTTAATTTATGTGAATAATAATGAATTTACTTTCTCTCAATAACTTTTGAATTACGAATTTTCATTTGAAAACTATTAATAAATTAGTTTATGTTAAAAAGTCTAATTTTATAAAAAAAAATTGGAAAAACCTCAGCTACAAAATCAGGTCGTGAAAATGTGGCTCTCAACTTACATGGACAACAATCTCGTGGGACTTGTAGCTGTCCCCGCCCCCGCTGCTTCCGCCGGAACTGCCTGAGGCGATCGATGCTGAGGCCTGGCCAATTCCGGACAGCAGGCCGGATTTCAGGTGTGCCACATAGTCGAAGCTGCCGGAACGCTTTTGGACTTGTGACTCTTTCACACTCTCGCCCGGTTCATTGTCCAGATCTGTGTCCTCCAGTGAGAGGGATTTATCAGTGGCGGGGAGGCCGTGGCACATCAAGGGCAGGGCGACCACCAGCAGAAGACTCAGTCTGAAGACCTATTTGGGGTTATATTTAGTAAATAATTTGCAAAAGTGGAGTACCTATTGAAAAATATGAAACTATTTATAAAGACTTAAAAGAAATGACAGAGAGTTGCGCAATCTGTTCAGGAATCTTTTCAAATTTAACATGACAGCGACAACAATGAATATGTACAACAAGGAAAATTCAATTGCCGAAATGTGTCACTGCGGTGGTTGCACCACCATCACATTTTGTTAGTGCTCTGGCCCGCTTGCCACATCTTGTGCACTCATTTGTCAACTGTCACACACACGCACACCATGTGCAATCATAATCTACCACTTTCCACCGATACGAATGTACCTCGTAATCCTCGCTATGCATATGCAAACCACTTAAAGCAATCCCCCCAATCCTTACCCCTATATTACGCGGTTTACAGTCGAGCGAACTTAGCCTAATTGAAGGGGGCGGATGGGAGGAGGTAATGGTCATACTCAATTTGGCCAAAACAGTGGTCTCTAAGTTTGCTTTGACTTGCGGCGTTCGCAGGCGTTTCATGCTCCATCAAACTGGCAATATGCTAAATGGCATTTAGGTTTAAAGGAAACTGTTTAAGTTGGGATAATTGTTGTGATTTAAAGTTGTGGGAAATTTACACTTGTACGCCTTAAAATTGATGGAAATCTCTTTTAAATAATAAGAAACTTTTAAAGTCAATTTTTGTGGGAAATGTTAAAAAGAAAATGAAATAATTATTTAATTTTCTTTGCGGTGCTTTGATACAATTTTCTAAATCATATCTCTCCACGATTTATTTTAACACCAAAAATGTTCGTGAGTTGCAACCATTTCCTGCCTCTAAATAATCATGTTTGAAATGAGTTACATTTTTGAAAAATGATAGGAAACATTTGTTGCTATTACACCTGGTCTTATTGGTGGTCATTGATTTGTGCAATCCACTTACTCCGAAGTAATCTTTTGAAACCAATTCGGGCCAGGAATTGCGGAATGTTCAATAAGCGTTATTGATATTTTTTTGACAAATGCGTTTTAAATTAGTTTTTTATTTGGGTTAAAATGGTAACGCCTTGAAAAATATTAATAATAATGGCAACCTTTCTCCCCGCGATGGCGCAACCTCAATTATGACGGGCCAAATATGTTGCGATTTCTTATACAATGCATAAAATGCTTCAGCCCTGGGCCAAACTATGTGGCCCATTGCAATCTGCATACAAATGCACTAATTAATCAATATTAATATTGTTCTTCGTTTTGGGATTGCATAAGCGAAAACATATATATGAATCAGTAGCAAAAAACCAATAAAAATAATTGAAAGTTAATTGCCGAAGCGGCAATTATTATTTATGGTTCAGCTGGGTAATTAACGGAATGCAATTTGTGTGCAAAATTCGCCTGAATTCGCTGGCATATTGAACTATTGGCCAATATTTGCCAAAGCCATTTTCCCATCTTACCCTCTTCTCTTTGATTGGTTTTTTAGGTGGTCGACGCTGTTTGTTGTTTTCTTTTTTTTTCGCTTGGTTTTTTGTTTGCTTATTGTTATGGCCAATATTTTGTCTGGTCTGAGAGTGAAAGTGTTGTATTTGCCGGCTTGGCGGCTTGGCGGCTCTAGTACTCTCGCTCTCTTTTTCCGTGTTCACAATCAATTAGCGTATTTCATATTATTGCTTAATGCATGATGAGCAGAATGCCTACATTGTTATATTTTGTTGTGGAAATATACATATTACTAACAAGCTCAACTTTGACTGCTAAATTAATTGCGGTAGGTTCAGTTTACGGACTCGTTTATTGTCTCTACGTGTGCCGCGCCTCACCTGCTTCGTCTTCGTTTGCCAGTTGCTGTTGGAGTAGCTTCACCTGGTCTGTATTCAAATTTCTTAACGATTTTCGAAAGCAACACGCTGACGGGTAGAAGCCAGCAGGTCTGACATAATAATTATGCACGACATTTACCTTCACACTCGGTCAAATGGTCATCGCTTCTTGGGAGTCATGACATAAGGTTCCGATCGAATGAAGGTCTTTTGAAAAGCCCTAGCTCTTCGAGTGCACTGAAGCATCGATTGGGATTTTTGGGTTATTCGTTTGGGTTACGTAACGAAAGCATCTCTATAAGTCATTTATGCGAGAGCGCGCGATAGACATCACGCAGCCCGGGGGCTTAGCTAATAAAGTCAGCGATGTGTGGCCAACATAAAACGGGTTTTCCGGTGCAGAATGCCTTGCACTTGAACTTGTTTGCCAAAGATAAAATTGCATAAACGAGATATATAGCTATGCGGGGGATGGGGTGGTGATAGTGGTGCATTTCCATTATAAGTACGCTCAATTAGTCCAGTATTCGAATCAACTTTCACTGCGGCATCCTTTAACTTACCTTCATTTCGAGCAGCTGTGTTTTACGTTGGATTAGCTTAAATTGGGCCTTGGATTAGCTGGGCGGCTAATCAAGATCAAAATTCACTTTTACCGATGACGTCCTCGGGTTTTTTTTATTTTTTCGTTATATTTCTTCAACGCTGTCTCCTCTTTACACCAACTTTCTTCACTTGGTCACTTGCAATTGGCACTTTGGCCGCCGCACTTTTTCGACTTCGACTTCGATTTCGAACCGTTTCGCTTCACGTTTGTTTTGTCATCGGCATTCGTCTCAGCGGTTTGGAGCGCACACCAAAAATTTCACTCTCCACTTTCTTTCACCGATTCGAGTTGGCCCGATCAGGGGGATTGTAGCTGCGGCTTACTATATATCTCGGCAACGTCTGCGCTCGAACTGTGCTCGAAAATCACCGTGTGCGGCTTATTTAAAGAAATCACCGGAGAGTGCATTTTGAGCGGTTTTGGGGGTCTTTTTGGATCGCTCTTAGGCATGGGGTTAAGAGTGTTGCCCTCTCTTTCCTACTCTTTTTGTGTTACAATTTATTTGATATTTTTTTCGGCAGCATTGCCGACATTTTCATGATAGCCGAGGGGGTGAGGGTGGCTGCCTCTTGGCCATAAACGAGTGTCTGGGGTTCAATGCGTTTCGAGTGGCATCGGCAAACGGCCGCATGTGGCAATCTGAAAACTGCAATGCGGCTCATTAAGTTCGGTGGCTTAAACGTGTTCGACTGCCTAAAAAACATTACTGTTGACTTCGTTTTCTGACATGGCCCAATCGAAAGACTGAGGCAACGAACTTGAAATGGAGTGATCGTTAATGGAAATGTCGGCATCGAAAGAAGTGAAGCAAGGACAACTTTTGGCTTTAGTCTTATTCTAAGCTATTAAGTGCCTTATTGTGGGTACAGAATATCCACTTTAAGCTTCTATTAATACTATATATATCGTTGACTAAGCCTAGATAGGTGGATTAAGTACTAATTACTCGTTGGCGTGAGCCAATATTTGCGATACGTTTTTAGCTAAGATTAAAAAATTATTAGTCGATATATAAACAAATGAGTCATTTACAAAATCAAAATGTTTTGTATAATATTGGCAAATATTTTATTTCCACGATAAGGAAAATTATGAAAATCGAATTACATTTCCGAATCCAATAAATATATAATAAATATAATATAATAAGTCGAATGAGTCCAATAAGTCACTTTTTTAAGCCATCCTTCATTAGCGTTACAGATTCTTGACTTGAAACTAACTTGATCCCTAATCTCTGGCATATTTGAGACCAACAGCCTTGACCCCAAGCCCGTTGCTTACTGATTAAAACCTTCAACTGTAGACTCAGACAGAAACTAAGTCCCAAAATAGCAACACAAATGATAGCATTAGGTCAAGCTATTATCTAATGTTGCGACAAATGGGTGCAAGTCAGCTTGTAGGCCGTCCTCTCGGTGAGAGTTCACTGTCACTATGTCAGAAGCGGTTTATTTGTAAGCCCGCCAAACAATTAAGGCAACAATGCCGAGGCAAACAATAGCAGTGTGCCTGAAAGTTGGAATTGCCTGCTGCTCAACTAGCCGATGACAAACTCAGGCCAAATGAGCAAGTCCTCTGTGGTTAAATCCCCAAATCACAAAAATCCCCACCTCTCACCGGACTGTGGTTATCTAACCGAAAGTAAAATGGGCCCAGACCGACCAACTGCAACTGCCAACTGAAGTTGCAATTGCAATAGCAACTCCAACTGCAACTGCATAAATGCAAAACGCGAAATGAGCATGAAGAAAACTTGGCCCAAACATAATACTTAAGCACTCGTAGTTAACAAACTGTAAATTTGTTAAACAGCAAAAGGAAAACAAGACAAGGCAAACAGAAGCAAAATAATGAAAATGAAAATAATAAGAAAAACCCCGACTCATGTAATAGCCAGCGAGTATATACTAATGGGACAAGATAATTGCAATTGGGTGCTGCCGTAAAGATGTTTTAGCATGTAATACCCTAGGATAGAAAAAGGTTTAACTTTATTTTATATATCTTAGGTGAAGGAGTTTCTTTAAGGAAAATGTTTATGTTGTTTTCATTTTTAAGCCAATGTCACAGATTAAACCATATTTAGATTGTATTTTGTTATGTATCTAATCATCTCTGAAACCTCTGAAGGCCATTCCCAGTTCGTGGAATTCACTTTTCTTTCATTGGTTGTATATTTTGCCAGCTGTTTATTGGGTTGTCAACTTGAAGAGGGGAGCTGGGAGCTATAAATATTTCTTTGCTTGATATAATTTGTGGTTAAGTTAAATTTCCGCTGAACCGACAATGTGGCTCAGTTCAAGTTGAATGCACAGAAAGTGAATCCAATTTAGTTTAACTTGTGGCCCGCACCCAATATTGCGTATACGCCACCGCAGCGATAAAAAAGAAAAACTATCGAACGGCAACCGGTCAAATTTAAACAGGAAGGAAGTAACTCATTGGCTTTAACATACCATTTGTATTGGCAAATGGCAGATCACAGAAGTGATGAGATAACACGGGAATGCAATAAGACAACGATTAAAATTAATTCATTACTGTGACTCGTGTCCTGAGTCCTCTCATAAATAAATTTATAAAGCACTCGGCTCCGGAGTGCAACTTCCTGACATTATTGCGTTCGGCTTTTTTATATCTTTTATATCATCATTCAGGCAAAGTCGGAGGCCAAAAACACACATGTGCTTTTAATTTTTCACTCACTTTTCATGGGTTTTCCTCGGCTGCGGCTGCTGGTGCTGAGCTTTTTTTTTGTTAATTGACGTGGGGCAATTGGCAGAGCTGCCAGGCAAAAATAAATAAGCGCAATGTTAAAATGTGTTGGGAAAAGTTTTCAGAGTGTAACGTGAAGTGCGATAACAAGCCGCTGCGCATTGGGAAATGCTAGAAAATACCCGAACACCAAAGCTACCAAAGAGTCCACTCCACTTCCTCGACTTCCTGCTGCAGTTGCTCGTTAGTTGCGCAATGAACTTCAACTTCAAATTCGCAAAAGCTACGCTGAGGCCGGCGACAAAAATATCTGAAATCCATATCGGAAATGAACTCGTTTTCGGCACTTTTTGGTCGATTTCTTTTATACTCTTTTTTGTGTCTTTGATTTGAGAGGAAACTGCACGAAATAATTCAATTTGATGCATTGTATAGACCAAAATGGATATGGAACGCCAGCCAGCTGGCCAGGAAAAAGTGAAAGCCTGCTTGGAAATTTGAATTTATATTTGCCTAGCACTTCAGCAAGGGGCATCTCCATTTTTCATACCCCCACTATGGCTAAAAAGAAAAGAAGACAAATGCAAAATAATATAGTAGAGCTTATGGCTATGACGCAATCGAATCGGCCGACAAATTGAGCAACAGCTGCGATCTCGTCCTGGTTGCCTGTTTCGAATGTTTATTTTCGAGGCGAACGCACAAGAAATACGCTATCGTGTGTGGCGCTGTCATGGCTGCAATTGCATTTTGCAAAGTGGTGCGTCCACATTTTTCTCAGGTGCCGTGCCGCTTTAATTGTGCCCGTTTGAAAATATTTTATTGAATGTGCAATGCAATTTCATTATTTATTCAGTTGGACACACACCGCGATTCCCGCTTGCCCCCTTGGACGGACACACATCCATGAGCAAGCTGTCATTAAGCGTATTTCACCATTTTCACATTAACTTGACCCGGGAGTTTGGTTCGCTTGACTTGCCCTGACTTTTGGGCCATCCTCGCTCGATTGGCCAATCTGGCAGGCCGTTGGATCACCCAGGTGCCACATCGATTAATGTGGTGTACCCGAATGAAGCTGTTTCCCTGGCGATTAATAACTATTACCTTAATTGGATCAAGTCGTTAGGAAAATGGTGGCTCATTTTAAAATAACTCTGCACGCACGCAGCTTTTCTTTTCACACCTTGAATTAACTAATGGCATTTTAGGTGGCGTTGATTTGAGGATCTTAAACTTAATAGTCGACAATTGGTCGAAAAACTTAACAATTATCCAGAATAGTTTTTTGGGGTTGAGGTGAAGTTAAAAGAGGAAGCACTTTAAGACATCAAGTTAAATGTTTATATTGCCAAAAGCTATTAACAGGTTTTTTTAAAGTTTGAAAAACTTTTTCACATATCATTTATTGCAAAACATTGTGCAATGTCTTGACCTTTTCCAATAAATAACTTACCTTAAATATGCAAGTCGTATAGACAAGTGAATGACTCAATGTTTACTAATAAGTTGTAATTTAAGTCGCTTAGTTAAATATATTTACTAAAGTTATTTGAGGATTCAAGAAAAATGTAAAGTATGCAGTAAAAACTAAGGAAGCAAATAACACCTGTAATTACGCCATTGAATTTAAAATGAATTTAAACCAAGGAATATATGTTTTCCACTATTTTTGAATTGGCCTAGAAATAGGCATCGAAATTTAAGTTATTCCGAAAAGTATGCTATAATAATAATACATATATTGCGCAATAATATGATATTGAGCAGTAGGCATTACATATAATTGTTTTCTTAGAAACTAACAATGTTCATGATTTTTTAGAACTGATATTTCTTGACTGCAAAAAAGATAAATAATTTTATGATTAAACAATTTAGATTGCAAGCACGTTCGTCCACTTACAAGTAACTTTTCTCATTTATTGCCATCTTATTACGTACTTGTATTTATTTATTGATAAAACAAAAATTCTTATGAATCAATGATGGAGCCGACACTTCTGCGAAACAGCTTTATAGGCTGTGAGCGCAGCTAATAAATGCATAGGGGAGATATAGGAGATATGGCCAAGTCCCAACATATTGTCAAGACAAGTTCAAGGTTTCCCCTGCGAACGACATCCACTTTTGTGGCCCATAAACCTCAACCGCTCAACAAAAAGTATTCATTCATCTCATGGGTGCACGACTGCATCAGATGCCGGTTACATGGCAAAAATTTGCAGTACGCCACTTTAAGCTGCGGTTTTTGTCCGAAGTTCTCGGAAATACCAATTGAGTCACCTTCTTTCCCACCATCTTAGCACGCTTCAAGGCGGCGACTTGGTGGCTAATTTAAGCAGCTCGTATCTCTGACTCCCATGACGCGTGTGCCGACGGAACTGACGTGTGCGGTACCCGTTCGGAATATCAAATGTATTAGATGGATTACTAGTAGTGGTGGCGAGAGCAGGTGTGCTCATAGAGCTTTGTTGGCGAGCTTTGGCCCGGCTTCACTTTTACTTTCATTAGTAACAGGTCTTAGGCGGCAAAAAGGTTAACTTATCCGACTAATGGAAGCCCTACAACTGCTGGGTTTATCCCCAAAAGAGAAGGTAGAAATGATTTACGCACGTGATGCGTAATTCGGTTTTTTTTTGGCTTGTGCAAATAATTGGGAAATGTTTATTAATAAAAGACAAAAATTAAACAAAATTTTAAATAAGCAAGTTTCTGAATGTTGGTCTCCCATTAAAGTATTATTTTTATATTCATCCACTCTGACTGCCTTCTTCTAATGAACGGAGCACTGATAACGTTTATTTCCAAATCTTTCTTGACCTTATCTAAACATAAAAACAATTGAAAAAAACAACAATATAAAATTCTAATAATCAAATACAACAGCTTCCTGTTTAAAATTGTTTTCTACCCTTGGGACAGACTTCACAATTTTTATGTTTATTTTGTCAGTCTTTCCATATTCACGAAAATACTTTAAGAACTGAAAATAAAAACAGCTTAACTTTAAAAAAATAAATTTTATACATTAATATTTGCTTAAAAACGGCATTCTGCTGACATATATAAGATAAGAAGAAAGCAATATAAAAGTGTCAACAAAAATGTTATATTTCTAATCATTTACAGCTGTCAACTATTTTGAATCATAAGCAGAGAATTTCATAAAGATAAAGTCCGAACTCCGAAATTATTTATTTATATTAAGCAAACTACTTTTGCTGTATATAAAAATGGCGTAATTATTGAATATTTCTCTTAGTTAATCTCTATTATAAGATAAGTTATATAAAAACATATACAGTTGTATTACTTCTTAATATCGGTCAAAAGTTCCCTAAAGTTTAATATGACTCAAGTATCATAAATGTATGTATATATGATTGATAACTAGAGTCAGAAGAACCAAATATTTATAATTTTAATTTAGTTAGTTTTTATATTTGCTCTCATTTTAATAAAGCAGTTTAAGACCTAGAATAATATTGTCTCAGTGTACGATGAATCAGCCTCTTAAAGTGTACCATGAAGCAACACAATTAGGCGGCTCGCGGCAAGTCAGCTGTTAATACGATCCACAAACGAAAAAGAGCTCTCTCTCTTTGCCCCCTAAGCGCTTCATCACTCTCCCGCACAGTTCCCTCGCCCGCTCGCACTCTCGCAAGCTTCGTTTCAAGCTGCACTTGTCAATTGTTTTCTGGTAGCTGGCCGAGTCGGTCTCTTGGTTCCACTTTTCAGTTGCCTCCCAGACGTTCGCTCTCGCTGTCGTGTGTTCTCGATCGCGAGAAATCGAAAACGAAATTGAATTTAGTTAATGCCCCTGGATCTCCGGGAGATATGGTGAAACTCTGCGATCTGATCGGAAAATCCCAGCGCGCGTCGCCATAAAACTTAAGATCAGTGGTATACGGTTTCGGTTCCATAAAAGCGCAGGCCCCACACGATTTTCGAATCATTCAAAGCCGGCGCATAGAACCGAAAAGTTCGAGATCGCAGTAATAATTTTTGTTTGGGATTACCAACTTGGATAAATACTATAAAATCGAAACTAAAATCAAGGCATTTCATCAAAGCCCTGGCCAAAAACGGTTCCACTAAAGCGGCGAGAGCGAATCTAAAGTGAAAAGCAAACCGACTAATTGAAGTGTCTGTCTGTGTCTCGCAAACGTGCAAAGGAAACAAACAAAACGGAATAGGCAACATATCACAAAGAGCCACCGCACAAAATATTTATAAATAAATAGCCACCGACGACAACTAAGGCAACAGTAATAACAAAAGCCCGGCATTAACATTTAGTCGTGCCAGTTTGTTTATTTTTTATATACGCAAAGCTCATAAAAAACAACAGTCTTAGATCGACAACAACAACGGCGATATAACAACAAAGTTGTAGCAATAAGAAAATTGGCATAAGCTAAGCCTCCACCGATCTGCCAATCTCCTGCTGTTTATTAATATTAATACCCGACGCAGACGTTAGCCGTCCATAGAATATATCTAGCTATATACCCAACTGAATACCTCGATATCAGACATGATGACGCCCATGTGGATAGCCCTGTTCAAAGTTCTGGTCCTGATCTTCGCCCTATTTACCACGGTGAGCATTCTTTTCCGTATTTCGTAACAGTAGAACTTCTATAACACGAACTTTCACCTGTCTTGAAAATATAAATAACAAATTGTTTTTCTACAACCCGATATAAGGTTAAAGTGTCCTTAAGTTAAAAATAATATGTGAGCTGGTTTACCACTACCTTAAGTTTCCAAAACTTGATTTTTTTATGAGACAGGTGGTTGTTCCAGTTATGAAAGTTTGACTGTTTCTCTGTTGTTTCTGTGTTTTTAACTTCTGCTTAACTAACTCTCATCTCATTGCAATTTAATACGGGCTTTGGGCTATTCCCTACTAAATATCATTTTCGATCTGTTTTTCTTTAGATTTTACGTTGATGTTCGAGCATTTCCATTAGCCGAAGGGCATTTTCAAGTTTATATTTAGTAAGAGATTGAAAACCTGTTCGCATTGCCAACGACAAGTTATGTGCAATTTTCATTCTGTATAGTATAAATGCTTATCATAGGAATTGCAAAAATATTAATTGACATCAATAATGCCAGACATTCTGCACACGACTTTTGAGGTAATTAACTGCCGACAAAAGGGATGATCATCTCTGTGAGAAAAGCAATTAAACTTAAATAATAGCATAGAATGTTAGAAAATACTTTTGAAATGCGACTGTTACTTTGTCATCCAGGTTTTCCGCGAATTCCATACCGAACCGGTTTCAAAGATCGTTTTTTTAGTTCTGGCTAAGTTCCAATGGGTTCATGGAAAACCTAAAAACTGTTATGGAAAAATGATCCAATGTTTGCCTTAGTTGCCTCAAACAAAAACGCTGATGAACGCGTTTAAAAAAAGGTTGATTGCTAATTGATTGTCGAGCTTGGGAAAAAACATTTCCGAGAAATCGCAAAAGTTCTCAATCAATTAAGTTTATATGGGGTGGCATCTAAATATCGGGTTTTATAACAGCTCGGCAAGTCCCAATATGTTTTTCGGTAAATTCTTTTCTTATAACTCTGAAGGCCTAAGCTTATTTTTGCAGTTTCTAAGAGGGAGAGTAAAAAAATAAATGTCTGCCCTACCCGAGATTAGAGACCATTATCAAAGTTTATTTTCTACATCTTTATATATTATTTTTATTAGTTCAAAGTTTAAATGTTTGTTTTGTTTGATAAAGACTTGCCATTAACTTTTGGTTTTGTATAACCTTCAGATTATAGGATTTTATTGGAATTCGCCCGTTTATATGTACATTTTCGTTTTCTAGTATTAGTGCCCATTCATTTCCACATGCTTCTGCTGATAACCAAAACTCATATTCGATATGTCCCCGTAAGAAACCATTTTGTAGTTAAATAGTAGTTGTTGTGCTCCCGATCTCCAGAGAACTATCAGCTCAGATTTGGGGCTATAGCTGGAGTTATCTTGAGGTTCGGGTCCTAACTCAACGCAACTATAGAACCGTTGCCGAGAGAAAAAACTGCGCCTGCCCGGAAAACAGCTGTTCAAACTTTTCAAATAAGCAAATGTAGTGCCGACAATAAGGAGAGCGAAGTCTGAGTGGGAAACAAACGAACGCACACCGACCCACGAATATATATCTCCGTTGTCTTGGCAATGTTGATGAACCGCAAACCAAAACTCTCACCTGTATCTTTCAGATAGTTTGTATCAATGTCGAAATAAAGAAGCGACGCGAGGCCGAGGTGAAGGCAGCGAAAGCAGAGGAACATTTTAAGGCCCTTTTGGCTTGCACGATGAGATCGGAATCAGGAAAGTCGGCATGTAATCATTTCCAGGTGTGAGCACAGAATAACAGGGTGTCCCGAAACAGACCCACTTGACTCCTCCCTTTCCCCAAAAACCCTTAGAACCTTACCTTTGTGTCTGTGTGGTCAACATTTTTGAATTGAGACTAAAGCCTTTCGTCTTGTCTTTTCATTTCGCCACTTTTGCTGTAGTACGAGGCCAAGGATTTTGATGGTGTCATCAACGAGATTTTTACAATAACCAATGATACAGGAGTTGTCCTTTTTAATAATGTAAGTGTGTCTGCACTGGGAAAGTGCATGGATTTTCAAAAACTCGCCTTTGATTTTAATGACCGCCTTAGGAAAGACATTCATTCAAGCCAAGCTTGGGCTTTAATTGGTTTTAATATTACTTTTTATCAATTGATTAAAAAATCAAAGGCGAATTTACACTGCTGTCCTTTAAGTATTTTTCATCCTGTATGACATCTCCATTTCATTGCTCATTTGATCTATTGTTGGGTTGTGTTGTGTTTTTGTGCATTTTTATTGCCATTTGGTTAAAGACTAACACGATCGAATTCTACCCGTACAGACAACGACCGCGGACAGTGCACCCTTCATGCCCATACCCACCAAGCGCGCCGATCCGCCCCAGAAACAGTCCCCAATCCCCGAACCGAACCGCCATTACCATCAGTATCACAGCCTGAACCAACCAGATCAATACTTCAAAGTGCAGCGCTCCCCGGACGGCAAGCTGAATCTGGTCTTTAACGATACATTCGTCTCTTTGCAGGAGACAAGCACGGAGGTCCTATCCGACCAGCCGCCTTCGCCGCGTCATCCATCGGACTGTAAGTATCTCTATCTACATAAACTGTATGCTTACTTCTCAGATACATTCGATACTCTAACATGCTTTACAACTAACAAACTAAATCGATCCCATACTCACTTGGCCAACTGCCTTTGGCGCTTGCCTAATTTTAGCCTTTGTCTTCCCCGATTCGCCCTTAGTCAAGACTCGGCCACCAACGACTCGGCCCCTGAAGAATGTCACAAAAAGCCTTAGACCCTGTGGAAACGCTGTCAGTCAAGACTCAAAGACCTTCTGCTCGGAGGTGGACTACTATCCGGATTTGTCTGGCCTGAAACAGAAGCTGGAGAATAACTTTTCCAAGTTCTTTTTCAACGACCTTCAGCCCACGGAAGTGAGCTCACGCTCGGATGTCGCCGAAGAGCGGTTTTTCTGCAAGAGCACCAGAAGGCTTATGTATCCGAAAAAGGGCATGAAAACGGATAACACCTGGCAGTTGATCGTTAATAATGACGACTACAAGCAGGCTATTCAGATCGAGGAGTGCGAGTGAGTTTATTGCGTCACATAAATATTTACACAAATAATGATCATTATTCCTAACTTTCTATCCCCAGAGAAGAGGGTCAACCTTGTGATTATGCCACTAACTTCCCTAACACGTATAAGCCGTTCTGTAAACAGCTCTATATGCAGCAGAGCCTGGCCAGCATTAAGAATGAAGGTGAACTGGACGTGGTGCAGGAGAACTTTCTGATTCCATCCTGCTGCAAATGTGCCCTGAAGACTTAAGGGACCTGCAGATTGTGGTTTTACCAGTCAATGGCTGCGAAATTGTGATTTTGAGGTAAAGACCACAATTTATTCGTACATGGAATTTAAAATAGGGGACAAAACTGAAACACTTGACAGTGAACTAGCCATGGAATTGAGGAATTCCTTTGGCCAGCGAGCACTTCACTTGACCAACTTGCGCAGGGTCCAGCCAACGGCGTAGAATCCCACCAGCTTCAGAGCCATTCCCTTGCCTTCCGCTTTCACCAAGCACTTGAACTTGTCTCCAAAATTCCCAACGGCGTTATCCATAGTTATGCAATAATATCAACGAAAAATTCGCAAGTGAACAATTCAAAATGTTGGTTTTTGGAAATACTTTTCAACGAATTGGAATAAATTTCCTGCGATTGAAAGGGATGGGTTCTACAGACTGAGACTAAAACACAAAACGATTGAGAACTGCTTTTGACACTTTTACAATGGCGACTTGATCAGAAGTATTAATCATTTTTTTCTTTTCTCTTTGCAGCATCAAGTTTCACCCACCACAGAATGGCCGGCCAAACTGTCCTGGGGTCGTTGATTTATTTTGTAATCTGTACTTTTGTAGTCCTCCCACGCACACAAAATACGTTTGTAATCTGCTCTTCAGTGCAGAAACCACACATAGACTAATTTGCATATAAATTTAGAGTTTTAAATCGAGTCACTGTAAACATATTCGTGTCATATATTCGTTTTTGGCTTCCTCACCTAATGTCTAAGCCAGAAATGCATGCAATTAGTCCTAGAAACAAAACAAAAAAAAAAAAACACAAAAAAAGAAGCAAGAAAAAACTATATAAAACGTGTATGTTAAAAAAAGATAATGTATAATAAATGTATGCAAGTACATGCCAGCAAAGTAAAGTTCTTTGAACCCATCAGCGATTACCTGGTGGACAATTTATTTGCTTATTAAGAATAATTCGGTTCGCCCCGCAGCGCCAACCAATTACTCCCTAGTGAGTGTAAACACATTCCCAAGAGGGTGGCTTTCAACGGGACAAGGAAGAATAACATGCACTGCTTGTATTTGGAGTTTCACAGTGACAGCTGGGCGTATGCGCGATGTGTCTTAAGGCGCTGACGATGGCACATGTAGAAATCAATACCATTTATCGATTCCCAAACACAATAAACTATGTCAAAGTTAGGGCGAACAATGCGAATGCTTGTGGATTCCTTGTGGGCGGGCAAAGTGCCACCATTTAATTACTATTATTAGGTATCCCTTCCGTTTGGCCAAAAACCAGTGTCGTGTGCTGGACTATTGGGCTTTGCCCAGGGTCATCAATCATGCACTTCCCCAATAGCCACACAACCTAGTCCATATCAATTAGCAACTATCCATATATCTTCCTCTGCGTAATATATGAATATATATATATAGAGTTTGATTGCCCTTTGTAATGTACTTTTCCTCATTACGCCACTGGCTCCGGTCCGCAGATTGTGGTCACTTGGTGTCCGTTCGTGTTGTGTTTTGATTCTCTGTGGAAACATATTGGACTTTGTATCCGACCAGTGAGTACCTCACATCTAAGGGGAATTTTTCCGTGGATTTTACGAAGACGAAAAATTACGCATTTTCCATGACTCAACGAGCAGTTGGATATATGGAGACTCATTGAAAAAGCTGTGCTAAATCATTTAACGAAAGGTTTGCAATAATATTAGTCAGATTCTACTACTAAGACGCACAAAGTAAATACTTTTAACTCATAATAACCTTCGGAATTTTTCACATCTGCCTGTCTGGATTTTTTGGTTTTAATTACTTCCTAAACATCTTTCAAGCCGTGCGCACTGGCAGCTGGCTTTTGCTGTTTTTAGTGGCATTTAACTATGATTTACCTATTTTCTTTTAAATTGCACATAAATATATAAATAATCATTAAAATCACTCATGTTCTACACATTTAAGAAGTCATCATGTGACTTTGTGAGTGTTTAATAGCTGAATGCTACATGTTATGTTAAGTTATACGAATAACCTATCTACCCATACCATAATGGATACGATGAAATAAACAACAATAAGGATAACATGCAGGACAGTCAGACAGTGTCGGCGTTCTTTTTGGGTGGGAATGGAATTGGGCGAGTGGGCCGCTTTGGTGGCTCGTAATTGCCGCAGCACATTTGCATGGCCGAAGGAGTTAATGGGGGTTGCCTGATTTGTTTGTTGGTAGTATTATTGCTACTGCCAGTCAGCCTGGTAGCCGTATTGTTGTTATTCGGTTGCTGGTGGAGGTAGCGGTGCCGTATAAATACCAACGGTTGACGACGCCAGGGCTCCAATACGCCGGTAGTCGCTGCTTCAAACCAGTCGCCCGCTGCACTGGCTCCACTTCAAGTCGATTTTTCTAGAGTTCTACGCGGTGCAGTTCTCCAGCTTTCGTTTTGGCCTCACATAATGCCAAATTATGCAACTGCCTGCTGTTGGTCGTTGGAGAAAAACCGTTTTGTGTAATGAGCAACGTGATAAACTGTTTAGCCGTCCGCACTTTGTCTCGAAACTGTTCCCTGCGTCAGCGCAACATGTGGGCGTTGTGACGTGCATTCGGATGATGCTTATCCCCCCAGCAGCTCATTGATATGCCTTGGAGTGCCTAGGAAAATCACCAGTAGTTTGTGTCAATCCAGCAGAAAAATCACACGGAATATGCATTAATCTTGGGGAAGTGCACTTGATTGACTCATGCCATGGCAATGGAGGATCGCAACAGAATCTGGACCACGGGCAACATCAACCATGGCTTCTTTGGTGATAATCTGCAGCAGCAGCCACTGCCGCTTCAGAGATTGCAGACACCGGGTAAGTTCCAGATAGGAATTATTTATTTACTTTACTATTAAATACAAGAACTCAAATATTTCTAAACATATTAAAACGAAATATACCTTTCTTCGATTGAAGAAGCTCATCAACCTGAGAATTTGAGCATAAGGCGCGTGTTTCCTTGAGTTGTTAATTATACCTGCGGTTTTAATAATTGCGAAACCTTCAGAATTTTCTACTTCTAAAGCTCCAATAAATACACAAATAGGGTCTCATTTGTCGCACAAGCACTTGCAATTAATAAGTAAATTTGTTAGTAGTTCTGGTTTATATTTTAATATGCCTGAAAATCTGTTTTGGACTACAGACTTATATTAGTAAAGTTGAAATTTGAAATGTTGTGTGGATTGTTTTTTATTACATTATTATGAGTCATGACCACGTACTAAATATATGTTCACATCGAAATAGGCTTTATATAATGAGGCAATTTGTGGTACTTGAATCAGCTCAATAACCAATTCAAATTGTTAACCGCAAAATCTCGAAGATCCGTATGCAATATGGCCAGGAAAATTACCGGACTTATATACAAGGCCGACGTGGTTTTTTAAGCTACCGGATCCAGTAATCGTAAACCGATCCAATGGCTTTTATTTTCATGCCGGACAGCCATGAAAAGGCCCATTTAGGAGTTCCGACCATTTCGAGTCTATGATTTGGTTGAACTTCTACGCTGTTGTCGTCTTCATCTGCTGGTTCAACGGAATTTTCATTATCATTTTCCAAAGGGAGAGTATTGGTAGCTTTCCTTGGATACTGAATACTCTTCGTATTCACCGCAACCTTTTGGGTGCTAAGTTTGAATATCCCAGCGTGTATTGCGAACACCACTATACGATCGTACATTATGAAACCAACTGCTATTAGAGCCACCGTCATGAAAACCAAACAGTCTATAAGGTTTGAAATCATTTTATAGGGCCTAACGATCAGGTCCTCGAATCTGGCTGCCTCCTTGAAGATCTCAATCGTATTGTACACATCGTCGGCCATGCCGAAGAGATTCGCCTCGATTTCGGAAGTATTGAAAAGCAGTACGGATAAAGAATGAAACATTTTGTATTTTTTTTGTTTTTATTAAAAAGTTTTTGAATTTAGTATTGTCTACTTATTACCTTTGACAGACCACTGAAAGTTACATGATTAAATCTATCTATAGATCTGTATACATTCTATATTAGAAATTGTTTAATGATGAAAACAAAAGCATATCACTGGGATTATATGTTTTACACAGTAACAGTAACAGTACAGACACTATACCTATTTCGCATGCAAATTCCAGATCGGGACGTGTGGCTTAATGGGTTTTGATTTTTTAAAATGGGTTAAACTGCTGCCAGACACGAGAAATACTTTTAAGGCCATTGAACCGGACGTTGTCACCAGTTCCTAATGCTAGTTGTCTGTGGCTGTGTAAACAAGTATATATGGTCATGCATTTTCGCATTTCCAGGACATTTCCTGTGACAGGTGTATGCATTAGCTCGACGATTAGGGACACCCAGTGGAATGGGCTCACCACTGTCCAATGACGACAGGGACAGAAAGTTGCGCCAGATCAAGATTAGAGGGCGAACACGAACACAACAAACAATGTACTACGGTGGGTGGTGGATGGTGGGGGGACAAATACAATTGACAACATTTGACTAATTAGTGTTAATAAAACGTGCCTCTCTCTATCTGCCTTCGATTTGAAATCCATTTCGGAAATCTAATTGAGCTTGGCTCGAGACCAATTAGTGCTTAGTCTTGGCTTTGTAATCAAAGATTGTAAAAAACCACTTACAGGTAACCTCAGCCTTCTTTCGGCACCCATTCGGGCCAATGGCAGTGACAATGGAAACGCAACTGCCAATGGACATGGACAGAGTTCGGCAACGGAGAGTGCCAATGGAAAACATCTGCCTTATGAGCCCATATCCCCAAATCTAATTGGTATACAATCGAAGTAAGTACACTGCTATTAACTTTGCCGTTGTCTTGAGTTCTGTTATCTTTAAACTTAGGTTTCGTCGAAGTTATTACCACAAAGTGGTTCTGGGAGGGCTTCTGGCCCTCGTAATCATTCTGCTGATAGCAATCATAGTTGTAAGCGTAGGCCGTAAGTACTTTCATTAAAGAAAAATAAACAAATGCTAAGCTCACCTTTTCCTTATTTTCCAGTTAAGAAATCCAGCTCGATTTGCCGAAGCAAAGAGTGCATTCGCACAGCGGCGAGCCTTATCTATGCGATGGACGAGCAGACTGATCCCTGTGAGGACTTCTACAAATTCACCTGCGGCAGGTGGGCCAACGAGCATCCGCGACCCGATTCGGTGACCTCGAACGATTGGTTCCGAGAGCGACAGGCGCACATAATGCGCGTTGTGCGGGAGTTCCTGCGCTCGAATATAACGACAACGGAACCAGAAGCGGTGGGCAAGGCGAAGACCATGTATAGAGCCTGCATGGATACAAAGTTGCTGGACACCCGGGACTTGGAGCCACTTGTGGGTTATTTACTTCGCTTTGGACTGCCCATCCTGCCGTCGGCTTTGAATCTCACCCTAGGAAGTAGTTCCAGATATGCAACGGAGGCAGCTAATGTCAGCTACAATTGGTTGCAGACCATGGTGGCCATCAAACAACACCTCAGCATGGACCTCATCATTGGGTTCGATGTCTTTCCGGATCCCTTCAACCGCTCAATCAATCGAATAGCCCTGGGAACTCCAGAGACTGACTCGGCATTTCCTTTGTGAGTAATTTTTATAAATCATATATTTAATTTTTAAAACACAATGAAATATTAAGTAATAAGTAATTTAACCTTTAGTAACAACGATGACTCCCATAAGTTGCTCCGTAAGATACACCGGAAAACGATCTTCATGCAAAACAGCGATGATGAAGACGATACTGAAGAGGATCGAGAAAGTGAAGAGGAGGAGGCAGCCAAGCAAACCAATACGGGAATGACCGCATATCTCAACTACGTCCGGAAAGTCATCGAAAGGTATTTGCTCTATGTGGATCCGAATGTGAATCAGGAGGAGGCCACCCTTGGTATCACCGAGATGGTCAAACAGGGCGTTAAAGTGGCAAGGAAGGTCCATGAGGTAGGTTTCTTAATAGTTATTTATAAAAATTCTTGCTATAATATTTAGCTATAGTTAAAAGAGGAGGCCGAAAACATAACCAAGCCATCCAAAAACCCTGCGGATGACATTATATATATTTCTCTGCAAGATCTGCAGAATCAAACGGACAAAAACATAGCTCCTAAAACACTGCCCATTTGGGTTCGGTACATGGAGTTAATCCTAAAGGGCACTCGTCATGCGGGCAACATTCAAATGACTCAGAACTTGACAATAATAACCAGTCAGGCAGATATAATGTATCTGCAGAATGTGGTGGAGTATCTGGAGGACACTCCATCTTCTCATATCGAGTCCTATCTATTTCTAAGCACTATCGAGGAGCTAGTGCTGCACACTTCAAGTTCAATGAGGTTACTCCACTCGGAATACATGAGAGTGGCCATTGGCACTGAGGGCAGCACTCCGAGATCCCTCTACTGCGCTAACGGAGTGAACAGCTTATTCGGAATGGCAGTAAGTTATGTCCTGGCAGATGATAATTTCACCAAGGAAAAGTTACCAAAAGTAGAGCGGATGTTAAGCGATATACGGCGCTCCTTCGATCGTCTGGTTAAGTCCACTTCCTGGATGGATGCCTCCACTAAGAGAAAAACGATACAAAAATCAGCTGAGATGAAGAGCTTCATTGGTTTTCCCCCTTGGCTGCGTAATGCCACCGTATTAAATGCCTATTACGAGGGGGCGGAGGTGAATGTCAGCACCCACCTGGAAAACCTCATGGACTTCGTCCACTGGCAGATGATGGACAAGCTGAACGAAATGGATAAGCCGGAGCCCATTGGCTGGGCCACTTCGCCTTCGAATGTGAATGCCTTCCACACCTTTCAATCGAATGCAATCAGTAAGTCCACTTAGAGAAATTTCTTCTGAAAGTGAAGAAAATAGATTAAAATATATTTCATTTATGCTGAGTAGTTTTCAAATGATTGAAGTATTATAAATTACGAAAGTTTTTTTATAAGATATGTTACGTTTAGCTGCTTTCTAAATTTCAGTGTAATTTTTTATGAGGAAGGACAACAATTACGTATCCCTAATCCTGACACTATCTTCTTTTGCAGCTGTGCCCATTGCCATATTGCAATACCCATTTTACGACCTTGGTCTAGAGTAAGTCCGCCCAGGAATGAGCACTGAGTACTGAGTATTGAGCACAGAGCACTGAGCACACAGATAGCCGGGCAAACAAAGTCCCGGGCACGTTCCCGCACCCTGCATCCGCACCTTGCACTAATCCTTTCCCGGAATGGCCCTAACCCGTATGTTGGTCTGTGTCCTCGGCAGGGCGCTCAATTATGGTTCGATTGGCACTATTCTGGGCCACGAACTCACGCACGGCTTTGATGATAGCGGCAGGAGGTTCGACCGGGCGGGTAACATGGTCGAATGGTGGTCCAACAGGACCATCGATGAGTATGTCAACCGTACAGAATGCTTTGTGGAACAGTACAGCCGTTACCACCTCGCGGACATCGATGAATATGTGAGTAATGCAAAAAACCCGGACATGACACAAAGTTTGTTATCATTTCGAAATCCATGAAACTTTCTGCATATTTAAAGCGTAACTCTGTACAACATTTAAGCATTCTACAAAAATGACTCATTTCTTTCGCTAGATTATATATTTGAAAATAAGTTTTTCATTTATGCTTTATTTGGCATATAAAATAGAAAATAAACTTACATATTTCCCATGCAGATCGATGGCGAACTGACGCTGGGCGAGAACATCGCGGATAACGGCGGTATGCGGGAGGCCTTCTATGCCTACCGCCTTTATGTGAAAGAAGTGGGTCGTGAGCGGTTCAAATTGCCCGGCCTGGAGCACTATTCCCACGAGCAGCTCTTTTTCATCTCATTTGGTAATCTGTGGTGCGAGACTTATACGCCGGCAGCATCCCGGTATGCCCTCAGCGACTCGCATTGTCCTGGGCAAATGCGATTACGAGGAGTTCTCTCAAATTCGGAGGAGTTCGCCAAGACCTTTAAGTGCGCCAGAGGAACTCCTATGAATCCTAACCAGCCCAAGTGCCGCATCTGGTAATCGTGATGCTCAACGAATAAGCAATTCAAACAGGAACAGTCAAGTGATTTTTCTACCCATTTGTACTTAAGTTAGCCATAGATTTAGGTCAATTATACAGGTGTCTTTTGCACGGTTCTAGATGGTGGTGCAATAAATTAAATGGTAAACGCTTCTCAATCGAAACCCTCCGAGCTCGCAGCTCAAATGTAGGCTACTTTTTATGTGTAAAACTAAAGAAATTGAAATTTCCATTGCATAATTTTGGGCTTTATTTAAACTCATAACGATCTAACACTTGTATGTGAATATTGTATATACTTTTAATTGATTACCTTTAATATACATTCAGTAAAATTACATTGAGTTGACAATTACAAAACGCGTAAAACACTCGGACACTCACGCACTCACACATATACACTCAGCAGACATGTGTCTGTGGGAGATTTGATCTTTGGTTAATTTGATTATTTTTGCTCTCAGAACTCCGTGCACTTTGCATTCGCGTTTATTTCACCGGAGCTTTCCGCTCGCCGTTCAGGTGATTTTGTGACCCTTGTGGTGGCTACCGCAACGACGACCTCTCGGCACATGAAAGCGGGTTCTAATTGAACGGAAAAAGTTTAGAAAATAAAAGATCATAAGAAATATAGGATCGTTTTAGAAAAATCTTGAGAAATGAATAGTTTATCATGATATTTTTAATAACTTTGCAAAAGTTTGATGAAATCATTTTTGTGATTTTCATGAATTCATTAAAAGGTAACCTTTTGACTTTTTAAAAAGTGATTCACTTACCGCTCGCGTTAAACTCGTTTTTGGCTTTCGACGGGTGCTGATGTACGTGGTCGACGTGTTCATACGATTGAGGTTTATCGCTGCTGCTGTTCCTTCGTTTTCACCGGCGGCGCATGAAAATAATTTGAAAATTTAGTAAAAACTGGTCATAGAAAGAACAAATTAACAGGAAAATGCTGTTGGTGCAGTTCATGCGGAAGAATTTCTGTGTGCTACTACAGGAGCATGCAAGGCTTTAAGAATTCAAAACAAATTTTTAAGGAATATTAAAAACTACAGATTTCAAATTGGAAGCAACATGCCTCCGTCTACATACAAGACAATAAAAATGGTTACATTACGGATATACTAAGTGAAGAGGGGTAGCACCTAATACGTATTTTGGATTTCCTGATTAGGGCATCACCAACTTGGCGATGGTACTTGTTGGGCGTCTCACCGGTAGGTTCGTAGCTGCGGTCGCCGCCGCTGCGAAAATAACGGTTCAGGCAGCAGCAGCGACGCAGGCCAGGAATACGATGCATGATCTCAAGGAACCCGCTTCTGAAACGGGCGTTCATGTAGCAGTAGATCACCGGATTGTAGCAGCTATGCGACATGGCTAGCCAGTGGAATGCGAACCACACATAAGGTAAAGGATCCCAGCGGGCGAACTCCTCGTCATTTAGCAAAAGCTTCATACAAAAACAATGCATTTCAATATAGAAATATAAAGTTAATATATGCTAAAAGTTGATAGGAAGAAGAAGTTCTAATTAATATAACTCTTTACCCACCTGTAAAATATTAAAGGGCAGCCAGCAAATGGTAAACACAATCACAACCGTAAGCATCATCTTAACCATCTGAAAGTGGAAGAGAAGAAAGCTTGTTAAGGGACACACAAACACCGATTCTATTTATAGGACTACGGTCTTACACCTTGGGACATCCTTCATCCTTCAGTTATTATTTCACTTTATGACCTTGAACGTCCTTGTATCGCAGACTGTCAAGCCATAAAATCTGTCGAGGGCACAACGCCACCATAAAACTGGGCCAACCAGTTTATTTATATCAGGAGGCAATGTCTCGTTTTTATGGCCTTTTTAAACTAATTTTTATCGGGAATCTTTAAGCTGACTTAGATGCTGAGAAACAATTTTGAACTTGAATTTGGAATTTTGCGAATTTATGACCTATATTTTAGCATACTTTTAGGCTTGTATAAAAGTTAAGCCTTTCTCTCTCTGTCAAGAAAACGTAGGTAAATTTGCCTTAGCAAACCTTAGCAGGTGGCATTCGACACGTAAGGTGGAAAATCCATAAGTTAAGATTTACTTACTTATCCTACATAAATACTACATATATACTTTCATAAACTGAGTCATAGGGCTTTAATAGCTCAAAGACCATAAAAAGTTACCCAATTCAGAGGAGTTTGGATTGCTTTTCTGTCAAAAGATACAATCAACCTGAGACAGAATGGCGAATATAATGGCATAGTTTACTTCAACGATGAACTCAGTGGTCACGTCTCTTCAACATGACCACCTGAAAAAACTAGACATAAAGGTTTACGGCCTGAAACAAAGCCACTACAATAATGTTAAGCTCAGTTTATACTGCTAAAGACATACACTCAAGAAATTATTTTAGTTATATTGAAATAAAAACTAAATTATTTTTGAAAACTCAGAAAACAAAACGCGTTCTCTATAATTTTATGAGATAAAAAGATTACAACGATAGAATACGTTTCTTAATGAGTTTTTGTTTTTAGTGTGAAAGAATGGATATTGCCATCAAAGACCATTTACCCGAAAGCCAGACAGATGTGAGCTGACGATTACCACTTCTGCAGATGATGCAAAGGGCAGTTAACGGCCAACAAAAGAATCAAATGCGAAATCTGAATTGAATTCTGAAATAGGAAGACGATCAACTGTATAAATTGAAACATATTTGCATGGAAATACGATGCCATAATCGCCGGTATATGCGACTGTAAATGGAGTCTTGCTCAATGACAGCGGATTATGAATTGATTCAATGGTCTCATGGATGTGAATCTCGGAATCTGCGACTATTTTCTGGAGTCAGCTGGGTGCATTTGGCGACACTTATCCGTTTGGCAAGCTGGCAGTTGGTTTTTATGAACTCGCCAAGTCGTTTTATTGGCCGCCTTTGTTGCTGGTTGGTTCTCCCTTTTCAGCTGCAGTTACCCGCTCTAGTTGCAAGTTGCCAGATGCTGGGCGAAGTTAACGAGTGCTCAACGAGGCCATTTGATTCGTTTTAATGCCTCGTTAGTTGGCCATACAGGGGGGCCAGGGAGTGTTAACAATGTCAACATTAAGTATACGCCGCGTTGCTCGGGCGTCAAAGCACAAACAACACGAGGAGCAAACAGAGAGTGAAGCCAAGCAAGCTCGTAATGAATGTTTATACAAATATGTGCATGCTGTGTTTTTTCCCCTGCCGTCTGGACACGCGTCTGCGCTAGCTGTGACCTTTGGCCCGATCATGTGTCCACCGACTGATGAACTTTGCACCCAACTTTCCCTTCGCCCACACAGAAAACTAAAAAAGCGAAGTAAATTTGGCAAAAAGTGATAAATATAAACGAACTCTGTCCTTAGAAGCTAATAAGAAGCATAAAATATTTATAGCTTAAGTTAAAATTTGAAAACTTAAAACAAATAATAATAAAATCAATATTTTCTGGCTAAATTACCACTTTAAATATTTACTGTTCTTTTAACACTTTTTTTTTGTCTAAATGAGAAAATGCTAGATAAGCCGATATTTTTTTTAGTGCATTTCCCAACTGTGGGTGGAAACTGCAACATCATCTGGCGCCTGAGGAGTCTTTATGCCTTGGCCAACTGAAGTGCCGAATCTCTAGCCATATGTCATATGTGCCGGCTAAAGTTTCTGCGCCTGCGGCTCTAGTTTCGGCTTTATTTTGGCAGTTTGTTTTGGCCACCTCAGCGTGACAGTTCCACGACTTAATTGCCGGCTGCGGAGGTTGCCGGCATTAGCTGCAATCGCAAGGCACTTGGCTTTCTCGGTGATTTGTTTTGGTTTTGAACCGGTTGCCGGCTATGCCCGAATCCGCCCATCAAAGTTTATGCCGCGTCTGGGCTTACATAAAAAATGAGCTCATGTATCGAGGCTCAGTACAGCTGTGTTGTAATTCAGCAACATGATTTTTGACTCACACCCACAAAAATCAAATGGGGCAGCTTTAGGAACTGGGCCATGGAAGTCTTAAGTCTGTGTCTGCTTAAATGAGGCCGAAAATGAGGGATTGGAATGGAAAGGTTAACAGTAATGAGGTGTAAAGCATTCTCCGTTCCAGTCTCGTTTCCTCCTAAAGTAATTCACTAATTAAATTTCCCACCACGTTCGCTCGAGCAAATGGTTGCTACTTCCAGGACCAGCTACCTGCCCTTTAGTTTGTTTAATTAATGTGGGAGGCGATGGGCAGTTGATTGCTTTTTAAGTGCAAGGCATGTGTTTTAATGTTAGAATTATCGACTCTAGGAAGGTCTTTACAGCATTTCATATAATATATTGTGATAAACTATAATATCTATTAAAAAAAACCTCTTAGGTAATGTTTTTATTGACAAAATACAAGCACTTTAAATTGCGTGTTTATTTGGCATTTCACCGGACTTAATTTATTTCCGTTATTTATTTTAATTTTTTCCCAAAAAGAGTCCACTTAACTTAACAAAAAAAAAGGCGAGGTAAGCGCATTAAAAGACTTTATTGCAAATTTTCGGACAAGCCCAAAACTGTGTTTTTTCATCTGCTTAACTTAATGCCATTGAAAGTGAATAGTGAGTAAACAAACACAAAGTTCGCTGAAAATTGAAAGCCAAATTTCATTCACAAAGCCTCTCTTTTGCGTGGGAGTTGAAAACGGGCTGCTAAAAATAAAAATCAAATAATGACTGGAAACTAGATCAATTAGAGGTAATGCTTTGCAATTCCGAAGTTAACCATCATTAATCAATCCATTTCACTTATCGATGAGCTCGTGCCCCAGGTTATCTTGTCCAATTCCCTGTAATAACCGCTGACCCCTGGGCACCCGCATGCCTGACTCTGTGGTAATTAAAGCCGCTTTTTAATTGCCAAACAATTGCGAAAGTGCCAAAAAAAAAGGGAAAGAAGCAAAGCTGGTAATATTTTCGGTAATTTTTAAGCCGCAACCAGAAATTGAGTGGAGGTGCGCACCCAGGTCTTAGCTTGTTATCCATGAAATGGCCAAAATCAAACGGTCATTAAACATTTTGCTCGGCGGTCAGCCAAACTAATCAGCAACTAATTTACACAGCAATTTACGGAAAGAGATTTCGGCAAACTTAATGTACTTTGGCTTTATAAAGTTTCAACATATTTTTTTAACTGAATTTTATTGCATTTTGTTAGGACTTTAAGGCTTCAAAAATTATTTAGTAATAAATTGTTAAAAAGAGACAGTAAGTTCCCTCAAGACAAGGAAAGTTATCTGAAGGACAAGATCATTCTCCCAATACTTAAAGATTATCTCCTAATATGTTAAAATTATCAAGATCTTCCTAATATTAACGCCTATTACTTTTCTATGACGGCAAACTTAAATGAAATCTAAAAAATGAGTAAGTGACTACCACAAATTATCGTAAAAATTCAAAAGTAATAAAAATAAACAAATAAAAAGCAAAACATGATTTGGGAGTGGAAAATTGACTTTTGTTGGCTACAATTTTATGCCACCAAGTTTATGGTCCTGAGAACAAAGCATTGACGGACATTGACCGCTAAAAAACAGAAGCTACCAATTTTAAGACATTTTCCTTACGGAAAATGGGAGCTTCATTCCCCAAGCTTCTAAGTAAGCCATATTGGGCGATAAATCCAACCGACTGAACTTAAAGCCAAAAATGTTTTGACGGGTTGCCACGGATATCGCCCTTACTGTTTTCAAGTTGTGCGTATTTTTCCACGTACGTGAACTGAGTTTTTATTTTACGACCTACATACATTATAATTAAGCCAACGCCTTCGTCGAGTAGAGGGGCGTGGCAGGAAGAGAGCGACTATGAAATACGCACAATTAATTAAAGCTCCCAAAGTGTCATAAACCCTTCAGAGCTGTCAATTAAACGCGGAAACCGAAAGTGCGACTAACCTCTAGCCCCTCCCAATTGCCGTCTTCTCTTTGGCGTTGACCTCGCGGAAGTCTTTCGGCTGCGATTTATTTTGTGGGCGTGCGACAGGCGGGACCACCACCTCGTGAAATGTAAAGGTCATAAAATGGTTCGCTTATGCCTGATATTTTCCGTGAACAAGAGGACTGGTCGTTGGTTATGACAAAAGAATTCACTCCTCGGTGTCCGCGACAGGGATTTCCCCTGTTTGCTTGCGTTCCCCAACAAATTGAATTTTAAACATTTCTTTCCCTCATAAATTGTGCTTTCCCGACTAACATATTTTTCTTGCTGACATTTATTTCGGGCATTTCGCCAGCACGTTCATTCTTTTTAATACGATTTTTATTTTCCAGGGATTTAAAAAGTTAAGCACAGCTATAAACGCGGTTGAAATAATAAAGCTTATTTGTCTATAATTTATGTCTGGAAAAGATTTGCTAACGTTTGTGTCATGTATATATTTCATGACAAAAACCACAGACAAGGTGCATATTAGCATTATATTTTCAATAGAAAACATGCTTTCTTTCCCCAATCATTCTTCCATGACAACAAGTTTCCCACGCCCCAATAGCTGTCCTTTAAAACACACCTATACATACACTTTCTTAACATACAAGTCCTTTTTTCCATATAGATTATTCTAAGTACATATGAGCTATATGCAAATTATAGAACTTGAACCAAAGGGAGAAGTTTTAAAGTGCAAAGGACAATCACACATGGAAGGGATGTGCACCAATTTGCAACAATGTTGCGTCCTTAGAAACTTTTCAAATTTCCCAACTGCAAGTGGGCGTGCTCTGCTTGGAGGCGGAATCTGTCTATGCTGGATTCAAAGACCCCTTCTCCTTTTCTCTGCCAAGGATTGGCCTTTTGTCCATCCATTTTGGCAGATGCAAAGTCCTGTTTACGGGCATTTCGTGTTACGGTTTGTCCCTGTTTTGGCCAATTTGCCGAGCGAATAACACGTTCGCATTTTTACGGGCCAACTAGGAATATTCGGGCAAAGTGAATAGCACACGTTCACCAATCGATGCATCGCTTTACGACTCGCATAGATGGCAAGGTCAAAACGAAGTAATTAGGCATATTAAAGTACCATTTAGCATACCTTAAATTAAGGTGAAAACAAGCCTAAGCAGTTTTTAGTGGCTGCTTTGTTAAGAATTCATTGAATTTGTAAAATTCATAAAAAACCTTTACTAGGTATATGAATGCCTTAGGATGGCTTTTCGGAAAGCAAATAGTAGTGTTGAGAGGCTCGACTGAATTCCAGCGAAGTGAGCCGCGGGGCAGAGCTTTGCATGACGGATTGCCATTGATTGCGCTAACAAAAACTATAGTCAAACCTATAGTCAGGGTAAAAACAACAGCAGCGGTTCACTTTTGGCCCAGACAGGCGGAAGCGAAGCATATGCCAGTAAAATATGAGGCTGGGAACAAAGGCAGCGGCACACTCCGAATTGAACTGAGCCCGTTGCCATGTACAAAAAAAAGACAACAACATCTGGTTAACCCATTTTGGCCCATTTGTCAGGTTACGTTTTCTTTCATTTTAATGGGAAAATGACACGAAGGGGATCAAATACCGATTTATATCCTCAGGAATATTATTAAAATATATAGAAGGCAAGTCCCGATTTCATCAGAGGTATTTCTTTGCAAAGTTAGCTTAGGAAATGTGAAAGTTATTATAATATATTTATTTAAAGCACTGTTCCGTAAACGCTGGGAAAACTTTCTTAAAAATTCAAATCTAATCTGGATTATTGCTATAATTAAGCAGTGTGGTGATATGGGTTAAAGGTAACAGCAGCCGAAAGAGCAACAATTGCGCCGAAGTGAAAGTGCAAAAGTTGGGCGAAAATGAGAGGAAGAAGCTCGGGCGGCAATGACAATGCCAATGCTGGCTGTATACTTAAGGCATTAAAACATTGTGGCAAAATAAAACGAAATCAACAAGAAAACAAAAACACACAAAGGAAATTAAAGCAAAAGCAGATTGTAATGTTTCAAAAGCTGTTGGTAATGACAGAGAAAGAAACCAGAGCAATAGTTTGTCATTAACGAATTGAAGGGAAAGACATTTCACCTCTTTCTGATAAACTTTCAGCATCTTTAAGTGCCACTAAAAGCGACTGTGGGATTTAAGTCAAAACTAAGATGAAAACTTGGGTTCAAATTAATTATAAGGACCCAAATTGTTGGTCAGCTGTTGTCCTTTTAGGTATTAAGCCACAGGAATGTTTGAAATTCTGAAGCTATGGAAGTTATGGCAAGAAATTACTTTCTAAGTAGTTTATACTGAAAATATTTTTATTAGGGAACTAATTGGTTAAACCATCTCTTTTACGAACTTAACGAGGTAAAGGAAAACGAGTGGAAAAATAATGTCATCTTGAAAGCTGAAAGGATGATTATTAATCCCTTTGACTGCTTATTGTATAAAGTAAAAAATCAGATAGTTTTTTTTTGTAATTTTGTCACCGTTGTTTTTTTTATTTGTGCATAAAGTACTTAAGCCTAGTATAATTAAAATATATATTTATATGTATGGAGCATATCGAGCCCCGCTAAATCATCTTCTTCTGCTACAAATCAACATCATCATCATTCGCTCTTCCGGGCGCCAAGGGAGGTTCCCATCCAAGGAACCCGCCCTTGTCACCTATTAGCTAATAGAATTTTCCAGGCAGGGCTGAAGGTTAGACTCTAATTCAGTTAAAGATGGAAATTTACAAATGCGAAAGATGGATAGGTCAAAAGAGTGAGTAGAAAATGAAAGATGGAAAAGTATTATTTACAAAAGTCGTGGGCGAAAGCGCCGCCCCCTTTTAAAAGAAGATATGTAGGTCTGAGATAATTCAGGGACACATGGTGGTCGAAGATCTTTTGTGGGTTAATGTGAATGTGGATGATGTAGTTCTCAGGTGAGAATATGGGGGCGTGTCAACGACAGGACTAGTCAGCAGCTTGGGCCGAGTTCGAAGTTCGCAATTTTGAGTTATCGATGGGCTTGAGGATCACTTTAGTAGGGGCCGGACTTTCCAGGGGGTCCGTAGTTGCTGGATGGAGCCGAAATGGAGCCGCTGTCGCCACCAGTGAAGCCAGCATCGCCGCCAGTAGTGTAACCGTTGCCGGCGTTGCCCTGAGAAAAGCCACCAGTTGAGCCAGAGATTCCTCCAGAAATGCCGCTGGAATCCTTCTGGGTCTTGTACTTGATGAAGTACACCTCGGGCTTCGAGGGCTGCGTGGGTGCGGGTGTCGGGATGACAATGTCCTGCTGATCCTCGGGCTTCTTCACCAGCACGTAGACCAAAGTCTTCTCTTCGTTCTGAGGCTGCAGAGGAATGACCGGAGCCTGGTACGAGGGTGGGGATGGGGCCTTGATGAAGATGATCTTGTAGTGCTTCTGGGACTGGCCAACTGGCAGGTTAGGGCGCTGGCGCACCTCTTCCTGCTCTGGTGGTGGCACATGGACGTAGATGTGCTTCTGCACCAAGGTGGTGCCACCACCGCCGCCGCCGCCTCCGAAACCACCAATGCTGCCGCCTGTGGATATATTTTGTTTAATTAAAAAAACTTTTTGAAGTGATCACGGCTGGATCACGCACCTCCTCCGAAGCCGCCGCCGGAGCCGCCTCCGAAACCACCGCCGAATCCACCGCCGCCTCCGCCACCTCCACCGCTGCTGAAGCCACCGCCTCCGCCGCTGCTGAATCCGCCGCCGCTGCTACCGCCGAAGCCACCACCGCCGAATCCTCCACTGGATCCACCACCAAATCCTCCGCTGGAACCACCGCCGAATCCACCGCCCAAGCCACCGCCGAGGCCACCGCCCAGACCACCGCCATGGGAGCCACCTCCGGAGCCACCGCCGCCACCAGGACGGTTGTAGTTGTAGCCCGCTTCAGGACGAGCGGCGGCCAGCGCCAGACAGGACATTAGGATGAAGGCTTTCATGGCTGCACAATCACGGGTCAACGGTGCGTATGGGTAATGGATACTAGATGCGGATGCGGTTTCACGGCTTTTTCGTTCACAACGCACTCACTTTAGCACTTGGCACTATCTCACAGTAATCCTCGGTCTGTGGTTATGTGTGTATAGATAGATATTTTGTTTGGTTTTGGGAGAAAACAGAAACAGAACGGGGATTCAGTTATACGGATTACTTTGACTCAGAGCTTAAGGTGCCTCACGTTGCTATATCCTCGGATTGCACTAGGCTGCTGTTTATTAGACCAAATCAAATGCTTCACTGACGAACCACTGCAGCCGCATCATCAATTTATACAGAAATCCAGCCAGATGCAAGGCACCACTACCAATACACGGGAGTTGTGTCTGCGAGAGGGTCTCCGTTTCGGTTTGGGTTTCGGTCTTCGCTTTTTGGTGATGATGATGATGCGACTTTGCTTTCTGGGCACTGCGCATGCGTGGCGAGCAGGCCAATAATGAGCCGCTGTCTTGGCCATCTGTCTGTGTCTCTTTTTGCCACAGTATCTGTTTCTCTATCTGTTTCTGTATCTGTAGCTCTAGCCATCTGTGTCTGTGGGGTTAACACTGTATGTCTGTGTGTGGGATGGCAAGTGAAACCGAAATTACCGCACAATCAACTTATTACAGCACCGCCGATTTCCCGCTGTCGGATGTGCTGGAGAGCTCTCTCTGTGTTTCTCTTTTTTTTTTTTTGGCCAGGCTTTTCGGCCAAGTCGAGACCCAGTGTCGTGCACTTTCGCTCTCCAACGCTGCTGGGCTGATATACCTCTGCCGATGACTACGCTGCTTTGGCTGCTGCTGGGTTAAAACCGATCCCGCACTTGAACGTCAGCTGGCCTGGCGAGCGGTGGCTTTCCTTGGGGTCTGATTTGAAAATTTCTGCACATTTCTGTACACTTCTGCTCTCAACGAAAGTGAAAATCGTAGGAAAACTCCCGATGCTCGCAGACTCTCCACTGCAAACAATGGTAATTTCGTATAATTTGAGGTCTGTCTTTGGATCTCTGGTCTGGCATTGTGTTTTATTTCCAAGAGGGGGATCAGTGTAGGGTCGTATTTCCCTACCCCTCGCATGACAAATGCGAATACGTGCCATGATGGATGACTGACTGAGTGTGATTGTGATTGCGACTGGCGGTCTGTGTGTGTGTGTGTAAGTGTGCCACTGTGCGAGGCCTACGATCCCGAGTGATTCTCCGTAAAGATAAAGATAAAACTGGGTTGGCCGTGTCTGGTGTGCGAAAGTAATTGCCAAGCGGGATCGTATTTACCGCCAGACATCCTTGGTGTCCGCGTCGCGGCACATAAATCTCAAATAATGTTGGCTCTGGAGGGGATTTGTTTTTGAACCGATAATGGCAGTGGAGCATAATATGTGGTTACTAAGTTTCAGCCGGGGACGGCATTTTTCACACCTCATAATTGAATGTTAGATGTATACAAAAATATATATTTTGCTAAAAAATATTTGCAAATAAATCTTATTGGGTAATTCGAAAATAGTATTACCTAAGAATTACCAACTTAATCAAGCTTACGGTAAGTTTTGCTGCCGATGCCAATAAATATTTTCTAAAGTCATTCTGTGTTTTTCCCATCTGCCATTTAGTTAACAAATCAATCATAGTTTTCCATTACCTTGATTACTTTATTACCACAATTACCAGATATAAACTTAGAGAATTGATGTGTTGCGTAACTCGATTTGATGTTTTTGTAAACACAGTAAAAATCGTGTTAAAAGGCCAGACTTTTTATTGCTTTTACTGTACGTAATATGATCAACTTGGTCTTATTTCACTTCACTTCCACTTTTCGTATTCAGACGTCTAATTGTGTTAAGTTTAATGAAGTGGCTGGCCAGATCGGACCAACTCAACGTTCAATGAACCGAATACAAAGCAGAGAAAGGTGACAGAGAGCGAAAATCGAACCTACACTTATTCAATTAGATGCCAATTTTCGGGTCAGCAATTTCATTGTGCCCAGCACAGTGCGATTCGATGCGATTTTTCAATTTTTTTGTGTCGGCTTTTTCAGAAGAAGACTTTGGGGGATCAAAAAGAAGAGGATTCATAAAAATGAGCAGCAGGGGTTGCAAATTGGAATGTAAAACCGTCCCCGGGGGGTAGAGTTATGCTTCTTTCAAATAAATGTACATAAAAATACAGTAGCTGGCATTAACATTTCATTAGCTGTTTAATGCTCCAAACACCTCCTACCTCGGAAATCAATAAGAGTATTTCACTTTTTGACACATCAGCGCTTTGTTTGACACTGTTTTCAAGCCCACTCCATTACTCATATTGTTTTCAGGTAATGGCATGAGCATTTCTCCAATCCTGGCAATTAACTTGGAGTGCTTGTGAATCACGGCAATTCATAAACGACACTTGACAAACGACTTTGTGAGATTGGGTGGAGGTAATTACCACCTGATGCGGGGGCAACGCAACTCCGCCTCTCTTGATGCATGTGGATGTCGGCTCCAACTTGCTGATGATCGTGCTCTTAGGAATAATAATAATAAAAATTAAAACGCAACTGCAGTCAGCTGTCAGCCGACCAATGTTTCCTATTGCGATTTCACCTTGAATCGCTTACGGTGGTTGCGTAACCGAAAACCCAAACTGCAGCAGCTTCGGGCCAAGTTGAGCTGAGGCAGGAGCAAGAGTTACCACCAAAAGCCATATGCAAACACTGACTTGGCTAACGAGCGTCGAGCGATTTTTCGTGTATTGACAAACTTGTGGCTGCAATAAATTTCTCGCTCTGGGAAAAACGAAATCGAATTGAAAGACCGCAAAAAGCCAAGTTAAGCTAAAATAAAAGCCTGGCTAACATCACCCTCCGCCAGGGAGCAATCGGCCGCCGTTCAATCTGCATTTTCGCTGCCTCCGAATGCCACCAGATGGATGGGAATGCAAATCGGAGCTGGAATCCAAGTTCGAGTTCACATCCGAGTCCACATAAAACGGTCGCCTTGAAAAGCTCAAGGCTCGACTTATACATAGAAAAATCACTCTAAAAAATTGGTGTTTTTACTTTTTAGTAAAGCTGTTGTAAGTAGAGAAATATTTGACCAAATATGGAATGTCACACGTCGCTGAGGTCAGAAAAAGATTATCTAAAAAATTGCATTTAAATTTGAACACAAAATTTTTGACCTATTTTTTGTAAATTTTGATGATGGTACCCCTTACAAAAAAGTGAAATTTTGACAAAAAAATAATTTGTCGGAATCAGCCAAAACGTGATACGAATGGATTCTATAGATAGTTAGCTGCAAAAAACACTCTGCCGGACGACTCTGAGTGTCATTTTGACCCAGTTATACGGAAAAGACTATGAAAAAATAGGTAAATTTTCAAACGAATTCTGATGGTTATTTTACACCTGAAAAAAGGTTATTCTTTGTGGAATTGTCCCTATAACTAGAGAAATATTTGACCAAATACGGAATGTCATACGTCGCTGAGCTCAGGAAGAGATTATCTAAAAAATATAAAAAAATTACATTTAAATTTGAACACAAAATTTTTGACCCATTTTTGGCAAATTTTGATGATGGTACCCCTTAAAAAAAGTTAAATTTTGACAAAAAAATAATTTGTCGGAATCAGACAAAAAATGGTATAAATGAATTGTATAGATAGTTAGCTGCAAAAACCACTTTGCCGGACGACTCTGTGTGCCAAATTGACCAAGTTATACGAAAAAGACTAAGCAAAAATATATTTATTTCCCAACGAATTCTGATGGTTATTTTACTCCCAAAAATCGATCTTCCTTTGTGGTATTTTTCCTATAACTGAAGAAATATTTCCCCAAATTTAAAATGTCATACATCGCTGAGCTCAGAAAAATAATATATAAAAAATTGCATTCAAATTTGGAATCAAAATTTTGCGCCCATTTTTAGCAAATTTTGATGATGGTACCCCTTACAAAAAAGTAAAATTAAAAAAAAAAATATTTTACGAAATGTCATACGTCGCTGAGCTCAGGAAAAGATTATCTAAAAAATATAAAAAAATTACATTTAAATTTGAACACAAAATTTTTGACCCATTTTTGGCAAATTTTGATGATGGTACCCCTTACAAAAAAGTTAAATTTTGACAAAAAAATAATTTGTCGGAATCAGACAAAAAATGGTATAAATGAATTGTATAGATAGTTAGCTGCAAAAACCACTTTGCCGGACGACTCTGTGTGCCAAATTGACCAAGTTATACGAAAAAGACTAAGCAAAAATATATTTATTTCCCAACGAATTCTGATGGTTATTTTACTCCCAAAAATCGATCTTCCTTTGTGGTATTTTTCCTATAACTGAAGAAATATTTCCCCAAATTTAAAATGTCATACATCGCTGAGCTCAGAAAAATAATATATAAAAATTGCATTCAAATTTGGAATCAAAATTTTGCGCCCATTTTTAGCAAATTTTGATGATGGTACCCCTTACAAAAAAGTAAAATTAAAAAAAAAATATTTTTCCAGAATCAGCTTAAAAATGATTCAGATGAGTTGTTGTTTTGTTATTCTTTGAAAAAATTATGAAAAGGGTACTCGCTGATTTAAATGCTGAGCACAAGATTTTCTCTTCCCCCATTAAACGGTTTTCATTCAACTTCCGAATGCCGTTGGGAAAAAAGCGCCAAAAGCGCGCCGATCGCCAAAAAGAAACCGCAGCTGGCGATAAATCTCACGCTCAACAATGCGGCTAAAAATAAGCGGCAACAATGTTCAGCGGTTGGCCGACAGAGGCTGCCAAACAGTCAATGGGGGGCACAATGCCTTGGGGACGATAAAAGGCATCTAAATTGGAGTAAAGTCAACTGGTTGAAATTTAGTGTATTGGAATCGGAGTGCTTAACTCAGTAAGTTGTAATGGATTGATACTTTAAATGTGTTGCAAAATTAGTCAAGTAATCCTTTTTGTTATATTTTGTATATTTTAAATTCAATGTATTAGTTATTAGTTATAAGGATTCCTAACTTATAATCGTATAAAACTCATACCAAATGTTTAGAATACAATAAAAGAGAAAATATGAGTTATAAAAGTTTAGTACTCTCCAAATTTACAACTTTAATTATTTAACACCCCCAATAAATTTTTTATTCACCCTAAATTATTTTATCAATAAAATTTCGTTTATGAGCTGTCAACATATTATTCGACAATATAATTTTATATCTAACAGCAATTAAAAAATGCGTGGCCTATAAAAATAACCTGCATCCCAT